TAACTTTAGATATTGGTACATATTTAAAAAATAAATAAATGAATATACAAAAAAAAAAATCAAAAGGATAGTACATAAAAGAGATAATATAATTTCTCGTGAGTGTGCCACAGTAACACAAAATGGTCACAAGTCAGTTTATTGCTTTGCCCTCAAAAGAGCAAAACCCTGATATACTGTTGTGGCCAAAAGCCAAAATAAAGAGTACAAGATATCATGCATCAAGGCATGTTGCAATGTAAAATTTTACCATCGATTGCGCAAAGCATTGTCACCGATGCACTCAGGTCCTTGATAAAACTTATCTGACTGTAACAACGCAGTAGCTGAATATGGCTGATGCAAGTACACCGGACGTGGGCAACGCCCGGCTGATTCACTAGTACAGTCACACAACAAGCAAAATATCCCAACTCAGCGGTAACGACGATAAGGACGTGTCCCGTCAGGTCGACCTCCCAGAAACGGTCGTGATTAATTCCTCTTGAATTGACCACTAGTCAGCTGTACTGACTTCATCTTTACTATTTCGACACCCACTGGCCCGCTATTGTAATTTAGTTAGTTACATAGTAAATAATTACTAACGGATAAAGTTTCCACTATTAACTATTACATACAGAGCAGAAGAGGTTCAAAATAGAGCAATAAGTACAAAAAAAAAATAAAAGACTATACTAAGCCGCAAATATTATTACAGTGTACCTCTGTTCCATTCGTGTTTCAACCGTGAAGCAGTTGTGTTTGCATGGCTGTGTTTCGGTTTGAAGGGTGCGATATGGCGTAAATTTACTGGGTACAGAGGAATAACACCGACTGCTCATGTTTATAGGCGACGGTTACCACTTTCCATCAGGAGGACCGTCAGCTTGTTTGCAATTCTAAGTTGTATAAAAAAAAAATTGATTTCTTCATATTATACCTAATCAGCTTTTGAAACATTGCAGTTGAGTTACTATGGCAACGTTGGAGAACAATTTATTGTAATTGGTACAAATGCGAAATACGAATGTGATTTCAGCACATTTTGTCATAGCTCAGGTGGTGGCTGCAACATTCCATCCTCATCCAAGCTTAGTGCGTAACATAAAACCAGAGTACATCTGTCTCACTTATTGTCGTTACCAATAGATTGCTTGCACATTGTTCCGCTTTCAAAATACTGGGAAGAGGCACTGTGAGATTGTGACTCAAACTTCTCAAGTAACAAAGGATGGTTTTTTTTATGTAACTTGGAATAGTAAACAAGCTGACCATCCATCTGATGAGCATGGTCACCATTGCTTACAAATATAAACATATTATAGTATACTACACAGTATACTATAATATGTTTATATTTGTCATGATACCCCCTCATGTGTTGCTATACCAGCATTCCTCAACAGTAAGGTGTTTTGGTAACGAGCGAGTAACCATTCCAGACATTTACTGTATACAAGCTGTGATTCCCATCGAACTAAAGTTGAATAAGGCTACCTAAAGAGGGGGAGAGGGGATAGGATTGTTAGTAATGCAGACCACCTCTTCCATTGCAGTTGTGGCAATATACAATCTATCGGTAAGTCAGGTCAGCCCCCGTGGACAGCCCACGGGGGCTGACCTGGAAGCCATCGTGCTGAATTCCAGGTGTATTCAGCACAACGAGCTAACTGATCTGCCTGGGGGGAAAAGGATTGTTAGCAATGGAGTTTGACAGCCCCATTGATAGCAATATACCTTATTAGGTCGACCTCCACGTGGTTCCCCCTGAAAGCCATCGTGAACAATTCTTGTTGAATTCGTCACGATGGGCTAACTGACCTGCTTCATCCTCATCTATCATCCTTCACTGGTGCCCCGCCAGTGTATACCGATAGCGCGGGTGGGGTTACCATTCCATTATCATCCATTAAAAAAAACTGATCTGCCTTTTCATTCTCACTTATTAGCACTCACTGGTGTCCCGCCAGAGTGTACCGTCAGCGCTTGCGGGATTACACGGGATTTACGGGGTTCTATTGCCATCTATTAAAAAAAGACTACCCATTGTTGCCTCTTTGCTTCTTGTAATGCTCTGTTTTGTAAGTATATCTTCTTCATTATACGCCACGTCCGTTATCGCAGCATAGTATATCATAACATCCCACTGCTGGGCTTGAATCTCTGGCCATAAGTTAGATATTCGCCCATTGCTATGCGCGTACAGCGGCACGGTACAAACTTTCATTTCGAATTCACCATCTGATAAACTTGAAATTACACCTTCTGACACTGGTTTTTATTGCGCTTTGTTTTAGACGCAGATCGCTTCTCAGTACCTAATGGTACGTTAATGGGATGTTATGGTAAACAATACACACATTACAGTGTCCATAACGCACGCCTACACGCTTGTCGGCCACCGTATATGGTGGCCATAGCTTGATGGAGCCTACGTGGCTGTTGTACTAGTGCGCCGCGTGGGTGCGTGGACGCACACGCAAGTTTACTCAAGGGCAACGGGATCGGTGATTGAGACTGCTTTTACCCGACCGTCGAACAAAAGAGAGTAATGTCATCTTTTATACAATAGTATACTATTCATACTAATACTATAAAAAGAGAAAATTTTATCGTTTGTATGTATTAAAATTTTTTTTACTGACTTTTACTTCCCATGAATAGCCTATTCTCATTTTCCTTAAATTGATGGAAATTATATTTGGATGACCGTGTGGTCCGGGCATAGAATAGGCCACCCCTTCTTTCTCGTGGGTGTCGTTAGAGACGACTAAGGGAGGGCGAGAAATGAGCAACAGTATCCCTCTTAAAATATCTCTAAAGCCTAACTGCGATTGCCAATCCGCCTGTCAAGCGTGGCAACTACTGATAAGCCCCAACCCCCCGAATTCAACGATAAATTAGTCACGCTAGTTTCCAGGGGGAACCGCGTGGAGGTCGACATGATAGCGTATATTGAAATTTCATAGTGATTAGTTAAGCCGTTAAAGTGCATATACAGTAAGAAACAAACTCACTATCACATTTCAAGTTATAGTAAAGATTACATGGATTTACATTTACTTAATACTATCATTTTTCAAATTCAACATTGAAAATTCTTTTACAAAATGTATTTCAAGTAGACATATCCTTCATACTATTTGAACTAATGCTTACGTAGAGACCAAGTATGTAATATTTATTGCCTTCAAAACGACAATGTTGTATTGTTACTTCATTCATGTTTGATTAGTTCTTTATTCACGGTTGAATGAGGACATACAAAATTGATTCGTAACATTTAGACAATATGAACTACTTATAGGTATACATATACAAGCTGAGCCCATGTCTATAAGTAAAGGTAACATCAAGGAGACCTACTGAATTATTAGGTATTAATTAAATAAAAAAAATTGTTTAAGATATATATTTTTTTATATTTCAACCCTTAACTGTCCACTGTTGAACATAAACCTTACCCATAAGGGGAGTTTTGCCAGTTGCCACGTTTGGCAAGCAGATTAGCAATTGCAGTTAGGCTTTTACAGATGTCTTAAGAGGGACGCTATGGTCCATCTCTCCACCGTAAGCTCATAGAATAGAATAAATATTTATTGTGAGCTGTACATTATAATATTTCGTAAGATGTTCATAACGTCTTGAAGGACATTTAAACAGCCTGCCCATACATTGGGCATACAATACAATTACATAACATTTATTACAGTTACTACAGTAGTATTTGGATTTTTCAAATGGATGAAAATGGGATGGAAACTCCACCAAAGCTATTTGAGCTATCAGTATATGCTGGTGGGCACTAGTGAAGGATGATAAGTGAGGGCAACCTATACAACGAAATCACTAAGAAATCACATAAAGGTCAACTTGACAAGGTAGGGCGGAAGGGATTGTTAGTCATGGGAATATAATGGCTTCATTACTAGCAATGTACCCTATCAGGACGACCTCCACGCAGCTTCCCCTAGAAACCATTGTAATTGATTCTTATCAAATTCATCACAATGGGTTAACTGACCTGCTTTCAACCTCATACATATAATTTCTCACTGGTGCCCTGCCAGCGTATACCAATAGCACAGCCAGGGTTGCTATTCCATGTTCACCCAATAAATAAAACTTGACAAAGTATGTTTCTAGTAAAAGGGTCCACTAGTTTCCATAACTAACAACCCCTTCACCCTCAAGTATTTGGCTAGACAGAAGTCAATTCCAAATATTAAATAAATTCCTATTAGAATCTGCTTAGAATTTTTCACATTAATTGTTAAGAAGTGGATAGTGAAAGTAAGTACATAATATAAATATTTAAGTCAAATTCATCACTATACAATTGATATTTTTTTTCCTGTTGAAGACATAAATAGCTATTTTATTAATATAAATTACTTTAAGTATATATTATTGCTTAAGTGTGCTTTAACAACACAAATGGCAGAACAAAGATTCAATTCCAATGAAATTTGGTACATAAATGAATCATAACATTTGGACAAAGGGTGATTATATAGGTATGAACAGCTAGTGGATATTATTAAATTAATGGTGCTTTTTGGGACATTACAAGCTACAAACTGACTGATCAAAACTGACTACACAATATTATGCAGTAAGTATAAAAAGACCATAAAACTGATGCATACAACTTATTATAATAATGACGTGCAAGGTTCTTTGCCTACCTTGACATATTTTTGTGACTTAATCTACTTTAAAGGGGTTATTACGGAAAAATATGCCCAATTTAAATAACATCATACTCTTCGACTTACATTCGATTTTCACACGGGAACTGAGCAAAAACTAAAGCATTCGAAGCACGCAGCGCCGCGAGAAAGGGTAACGAACCACTACTTGAACTCGGTACTTCATCCAAGCTCTATTATTTACGCTACAACCCTAATTCTAGGGCAATACGGATCACGACTCTACCGTTTTCACACATTCAAATGATAAGCATTTTACATTGACTGCATTTGCCTTAAATGGTAAATATTAAAAAATCCACTCACCAGCAGTTCAGCTTCTTTATCGCTGACAAATCCGACTGTTTAGAGCGAGCGATCACCATCTCCTCTGTGAGGCGAGCCATTGTCACTGCACTACACTTGTTTCTAGAGAAAATATTATAAAATGAACACTATCGGTTTATATCGGAACTGTGGTGAGGCCGCTCATCGTGCAGCCGACACACGGCACTGACGAAGCGAACACTCAGAAAAACTGACGAAAACAATGCATGAACGAGACTTGATTCGTCACACGTTCACACAAAAAGGAATGCAAGTGTCCATTATATCATTTGTGAAAATCGTGTCGCTACTGGAGCTTTTGTAAAAAAGTGTCTTTTTCTTAGCAATTATAATACCGCATTTCAAAAATTTTTACTAAATATATATTTATTAATATATAATATAATTAAAAGCAATAAACTGAGTTATGACCATTTTGTATTGTTGTTTTGGACAATTTTTGACAAAAAATTGTCCTTGGCTTTATGTATTTTTTTTAATTATTTATGTTATCTTACTTTTTATGTATATCTGTATATGTTATAATTTGTGCTGGAAGTAATGCAAATAAATTATCTATCTCTCTATATTGACGATGAAAAAAGTGAACACTGTAATTAGAAATATGGTATAAATTATACACAAAAAGAGACTAAATACTTAAGTATACATACATTACTAACATAAAAAGTGAAAGAATTTGTTTATTTATTTGAACGCACTTATCTCTCGAACTACCGAATCGGACCTGAACTCAGAAAATATATTCATGTATTCAAAATCACAATAGATACGACGACGGAAGAATGTACAAAGTATTTTTAATGGGTTAACATGGAATGGTTATACTATCTGCGCTATGTATTGAAGTAGCCAGGACTCCAGTGCAAGATGAAAAGGATGAGGATGAAATCGGGTCAATTAGCCCTTTGTGACGAATTCGACAAGAATTAACTTATAGTTAATTAAATTATAGTTTCCAGAGAAAATTGCGTGGAAGATGCCCTGTATATATAAGACTGCCATTACCTAAATTGCCGACACCGGATAAACACGACCAAAATCCCGGACATTTGGGCGAAATATTCTCGGACACTTCTGAAAAAAAAAAATTGTAATAAATAATAAAATAATAAAAACATTGTTATATAAAAATAGGGTTATTGTGGATGAATTTGTAACTAATATTTATTTCAATTAATTGCTTACCTTTAAAAAAATTGGATTTCCCCTGACAACAAGTGTCCAGACAACTGAACAATTTTCAAAAATCCATGCCGAACAGCCCCCGGACGCTATTCAAACTAGGACAAATCCGGGGAATTCCGGACGGATGGCAGCCCTATGCATATACTGTTAGCAATAGGGCTGTTAGGCTCCATTACTAACAATGCCTTTCCTCTCTAAGGCGAGGGTTATATGTAGTCTATATAAGTTTCTTATACAATACCATCAGTTGGGTTATCTACTATTTTGGACAATCAGTTGATGAATAATTGCAAGCATCATTTATAAATCTAGACTGGATTATTGATGTTACAGAATATTCTATGACACACTATGAAACTCGAAAATATTATTTTATTTTATTTAGGATAATGGAAACATACTTAATTGCCAGTTACTGAAAGTCAACAAACTGTCAGTTAAATTTTTTAGTAATCTTCAATATCTCAGTCAAAGGAACTAACTGCATAAAGTTATATTTAAACTCCTTGTTAATTTTATTACATTGCAACTCCTTGATGTATTTGGTTTTAAAATAAACACATTTTATAATAATAACTATCATCATCATTTCAGCCATTATCTGTCCATTGTTGGACACATGTCTCCCCCATAGACTACCATAAAGAACGGTCTTGAGCCACCTGCATCCACTGACTCCCTGCAACATTCATGTCGTCACTCCATCTAGTCTGGGGGGCGCTCTACACTGCGTTTACCCGGAGGTGGTCACTACTCAATAATAACAATTATTGTGTTTTAATATAAATAAAATGAATACAATGCAAACTGCAGGTTAGTGGCAGATTTATCTGTCAATGTCAGTGATATATCTGTACACTGCACGTCAATGTCATTACACTAATTGTAATGCCGACGTCACTGACTGTCCGCTGTCACAGATATCAACAATGTTTTTCTACTTATTTGTATTCTTTCAAAGTTTTTAAAGTTTTATTCATAAAAATGGATTCTTCTGATATAATTGACGATAAAGACAGCGGGCCGGAGGTCCAGATGAACTTCCCAAGTTCTGTGATGAGTAGAATAGAAGAATTGATGGGAGGAACTGAACAGTTCGATAGCACTGAGGTATGACTTGCTTTGTAAGCTAAGATTGTCTATAAAAAGTCAATATTCACATCTTTTTCGGTTATTTAATAGAAACTGTTACCTTTACTTAGATGTCGGTCCCAGTTGCTTTAATTGGAATTTACTAGTTATTTAATTTAATCCTTTTTTGGATCTTATTAATATTACAAAGATGCGGAAGTTTGTAAGCATGGATGGATGTTTATTACTCTCTTACTTAAAAACTACTGAGCAGATTTGAATGTAATTTGGTACACGAGTGGATTATGTCCTAACTTAGCACATAGGATTACATTACATATTTTGATTTATGCGGACAAACCTGCTGATTTGTTTATTTTTATACCACTGAGGTGGCAAACAAGCATACTTCCCACCTGATGGTAAGCGGTTACCGTAGCCTATGAACGCCTGCAATACCAGAGGTATTACGCGTGCGTTGCCGACCCTGAAGAAACCTTTTTACCCCCTTTTTGAAGAACCCCATGCTGCAGTCTCTTGGGAAAACCTCGGCAAGGAGCTCATTCCATAACCTGAGTGTTCGTGGGAGAAAACATCATTAATTAATTATAAGATCAATTATGTCCAGTGGGATGCAGCTGGTTTTATATAATTGGATGTTTTCACATGTGGCGCCTTATGGTGTAACCAGAATATAGTGAGAATGGTCTGCTAAAGCAGCTCTATCATTATGTGCCTCCATATATCCCTTGCTTTATCTATGTTTCATAACTGGCCTCACATATTGTATGCACAATTCCTAAAGTATCTTAAGTGTTAAGCTCAGAGTGTTTTTTATCTTGTAAAAAGTCTGTATATATTTATTTGGGAAAATAATGAAATAACATTTAATAATATTTATAATGTTATTTTTTTATTGAGTTAATTTATAGTAAAGATGCAACTTTACCCATGCTGTAACCAAGGATGTACAGATGGTGTAACCAAGTTGCAGAGTATCTGTGTATATATCCAAGTCCTCTGTTTATTTGATTATTTAAGTCTTAATTCTCAAAAGACTTGTTCAGTTTATTGAATTTTATTTTGTCTATTTTTTTAAATTGTATAATTGATAGTCACAGCAGCGGTGTATTCATGGCTCACTATTAAAGTAATTTTTTTTCTAAACAGTATACACTTATTTTAGCATTTCGCCTATATCAGGAGAACAAAATTCAAAATCCTAAAAGTTTATTATTCATAGTATGTAGTATGTAATTTAAATAAAATAAAAAATAATTTTATTAAAAATTATGTTGATTTATTCAAATAATGCATCACACAGACTTATTACCTGAGAAAAATATAGGCTATTCTGACCTATGAAAAGAAATGAGATTTCATCAAAAAATAAAATGTAAAAAATGTCCAGTCTTGCAGTATATTTCTTTCACTACAAAAAGTTGTGAGATCTCAAGTCTACTATAAAGACTTGGCAATTGCCCGGCAATATGTTCTACTAATAAAATACTTGATAGATAGATACTCTTTATTGTTTCCCCCAAAAGATTACAATAGCAAATTTATTACAGATACAAATAATTACAAATGAAAACAATGGGTGATCTTATCGCTAAAAACTTTCTCTTCCAGGCAACCTTTGAATGGAGAGGAGTAGTTGTAAACAGTTTGAAATTAAATTTAGTAATTAATGTAAAAAGTCGATTTTATAATTTAATTGGTCTAGTTTTAGATTATATAGACAGAGTGTCTCCATATAAATGTATTGAGAAAAGTGGGTCAACATTTTCATACAATTTTGCCACAATTTGGCATGCAAAATTTAAAATACATTGAAAAACTTTATTCTAAACAGTGCATCTTTAGATTTCAATAGTAGATTTGGAATTATACAAAATAGGATTGTTCTTTTATGATTATGGAGCTGTACAATTGCCAAAGACATTAAGTAAATTTTCTTACAACATTTTGCAGCAAAAAAATCTTGCTAGATTTGGAATTTTTAACATTTTATGTTTTTGATGGGATTATTTTAATTTGTCACAGTTTGATCCAGTGGCGTACATCAACCGGGTGTTCCCGACGGAGCAGTCCCTGTCCGGGGTGGAGAGTGCGGCGGCTCGGTGCGAGTTCCGGCTGTCTGGCGTGGAGCAGGACATCCGCAGGCTGGTGCGGGCACAGGCTGAGCAGCGCGAGGCTGGACAGAAGGCCTTGCTTGAGGCACAGAAGTGCATCGCTGAGTTGGCATTGCAGGTATTACTCATCTTAGAACCGCATTTTAAAACTATTTTCATAAGAAAGTTCGTGATTTGTCTGATATTTTTGTAAACTCTGTTACATGCTTAACATAGTCTTGTCTATGATTCTTTTTTCTTATACAACTTAGAATGGCAAACAAGGTGACAATCCACCTGATGGAAAGTGGTATCTGTCACCTATAGACATGAGCAGCACCATGGACATAACAGAGTATACTGTTTCGCCCATGATACCCCCCATACATTGCCATTCCTGAAAACTCAGATGTTATTCCTCTGTATCCTGTAAATTCACGCCATATCCCACTCTTCAAACCGAAACACAGCCATGCAAACACAACTGATTTACGGTTGAAACACGAATAGGACAGAGGTGTCCAAGCTAACGACTTTTGTACAAAGTCTCTGGTAGATTCTGAATACAATTTGGTAATATTATAAACATATATTTAGCAAAATCTAACTTGTTGTAAAAAATAAATATGGTTTTATAAGAACTGAAGACCACATATTAAATTAAAATATTTTTCAATACATAATTAAATATTCTATTCCACAAATAAAGCAAACTTCAATTGTGACAAAATCAGTTAGTTTGATTTAAAAAGTACTCCTAAACTACTGAACCGATTTCGATAAATTTTATTCTTTATAATAGAAAAAGATATAATTAATTACTAGTTTGAATCTATAACTTCTTTTCCGTTACTAGGTTATTTTCATTATCCTGTATAAAAAGTAGTGTATGTTCCATCCCATCCTCTTTAGAATGTGTATACAAAATTTTATAATTACCTACTATTTTATGATTGTCTAAGTCGTTAGGACACCAGATGGTAATAAGCAAAGTCACTATCACATTTATAATGTTAGTGAATACATTCACCTCTGTTTGCACTGGGCCCATAACTGTTCCGTATGCGAGTAGTGTCTAAGTATTGCTCGCCAGGTGGCAGACATAAACAAGAAGGCGGAGCGCAGCGAGAGCATGGTCCGCGAGATAACGTCGGAGATCAAGCAGCTGGACTGCGCCAAGTCGAACCTGACGGCGGCCATCACGGCGCTCAACCACCTGCACATGCTGGCGGGCGGCGTGGACGCGCTGAAGACGATGACCGACGGCCGCCAGTACAAGGAGATCGTGCTGCCTATGCAGGCCATCATGGAGGTGAGGCCGTTTGTACACATCTACTACTACTAATATGTAAAGCGGGTTAGTTTGTATGTTTGAATGCACTTATTATCGTATTTGAATTTTTTTACATTATAAAGCTGATATTGAATTTCAAAGATTCATAAAAAAACTATTTTTACAAAATGTTTAAAAAGCTCATTTTAATAAAAATTACTTAATATTTTTTTTTCATACAACATAGAATGGCAAACAAGCTGACGGCCCACCTGATGGAAAGTGGTTACCGTCGCCTATAGACATGAGCAGTACCATGGACATAACAGAGTATACTGTTTCGCCCATGATATTCCCCCAATTATACAATCTCATAAATACATCACTTATGTATATGATATATATATCTCTCTCACTCTCTCTTTGTACATGTGTATGTGTGTGTGTACAATTCTACATGTTAAATGGTCAGTGTTGTTAGATTGGACATTGTTATTGCAGTTTTGGATGTACATTTTTATGTACGCGAAATGTTTAAGGATTAATGAAATAAGCGTGGTAATTTTGTTGGCAATTTACTGTATTTGTAGATCGTATAATGAGTGTATATTTCCGTCATCTACGTGTGGTTACGTGACAATTTGCAAAAGGTAGTGAAACTGGCCCTCTAGACAAGTGGCAAACGTATTCGTCGATGGAATCGACATCGCTAGTGAGTCCGTGAGATAGAATGAGATAGCAACGCCGGGTGACTCATTTCAACTCACGGACTCGCTAGCGATATCGATTCCATCGACAAATTCGCTTGTCACTTGTCTAGAGGGCCTGATCTATTAGCGATTGGACAAAAGTAAATAAAATTGTACCAATTGGGGAAAAATAAAAATTGGCAATCGCGTGCGGTGCAGGTGCTGCAGCACGTGGCGTGCTACGGCGGCATCCGCGAGCTGGGCGCGCTGCGCGAGCGCGTGCTGGCCATCCGCCGCCGCCTCGCCGCGCAGATCCTCGCCGACTTCCAGCACGCCTTCACCGGTGACCGCACGCTCACTTGCTTATTTATATATATATTCTCTATCGCACTTTAACACTAGATACAGCGGTTAGTTTAACAACTTGTTAGCAAGGGAGGGCTTATCTCTGAAAGAGATCTCTTCCAGCCAACCCAGTATAGTTAGAGAGAAAATAATTAATTAGCGGGTAATCTAGTGCAGGAAAGGTACGGGTAAAAATAAGTACATAAAAATAGAAGAATGATTGGTACGAGAGGTGGAATCAGTGCTGTTTTTAAGACACTGACAGAGAATATTATATTCTCTGTCAGTGTCTTAAAAAACGGAATATGGATATTAATGGAATGGTAACCCCACCTGCGCGCTGGGGGGAAAGGGATTGTTAGTAATGGAGACTGAGAATCCCATTGCTAGCAATATACCCAACCAGGTCGACCTTCTCGCGGTTCCCCCTGGAACCTGATGAATTCATCATGATGGTCTAACTGGCCTGTTTTCATTCTCATCTATCATCCTTCACTGGTGCCCCGCCGGCGTATACCGTTAGCGCAGGCGTTAGCGCGGGGTTACCATACTATTTTCACCCATTAAAAAAATCCCTACCTGCTCTGTTGGTATACGCTAGCGAGGCACCAGTGAAGGAGGATGATTGAGGGTAATAACAAGTTAGTTGGCATATCGGGATAAATCGATAAAGAATTAAGCACGATGGTTTCCATGAGGAACCGCGTAGAGGTCAACCTGATAGAGTATATTCCTGGTAATGGTGCTGTTAGACCCCATCACTAACAATCCCTTTCCTCTCTATCCGATAGACTTAGTCTACTATATAAATTTAGTCATAATAGAACTCGATGTTTTTCGAAAAAAATAATCTTTGACCTTTCAATTTCCTCTTGTTTATGGAAATAAAGTCTGACACTAGTTATAGTGGTAGAAAATTGGCCGTGTGGTCCCAATAGCAATGGCATAGAATAACCCTCCCTCCTTCTTTTCCCGTGGGTGTTGTAAGAGACGACTAAGGGAGGGCGAGGGATGGACAGCAGCGTCTCTTTTAGAACATCTCTAAAACCTGACTGCGGTTGCCAATACAGCTGCCAAGCGTGGCAACTACTAGCAAAACCCCCTAAGAGGGAAGCTTTTGTTCACCAGTGGATGGTTAAAGGCTGGTATGATGATGATGAAGTAAAGAAGATATTCTATTATTATAAGACCAGTACCAGAGGGAGACTTTGTACAAATGTCGATTGCTTGGGTACCTCTGTCCCATTCGTTTTTGAACCGTGAAGCAGTTGTGTTTGCATGGCTGTGTTTCGGTTTGAAGGGTGGGATATGGCGTGAAATTACTGGATATAGAGGAATAACACCTGAGTCCTCAGGAATGGCAACGCATGGGGGGTATCATGGGCGAAACAGTATACTTTGTTATGTCCACGGTACTGCTCATGTCTATAGGCGACAGTTACCACTTTCCATCAGGTGGGCCGTCAACTTGTTTGCCATTATAAGTTGTATAAAAAAAAAATAATAAATGTAAAAGTTTGTAAGGATGTATGTTTATTTTTATTTCACGCAAAAACTACTGAACAGATTTGAATAACATTTGGTGCACGGGTAGGTTATATCCTAACTTAGCGCATAGAATACTCTGTGTACTGATACACGCGGGTGGAGCCGCGGGATGCAGCTAGTAAATAATAAAAAGTTTGTCCCAGCGGGCAGCAAGAGCGCGGTGTCGCACAAGACACTGTCGGAGGCGTGCGCGGTGGTGGACATCCTCGAGCCCAAGGTGAAGCAGGATCTGCTCAAGTGGTTCATAGACATGCAGCTGCAGGTACACCGGCCGTTTCGTTACAACATTAGCATCAATCAAACATCGATCTATCTCTAGAACGTTTCTGATTTGTTTATGAATTTAATTTAGTGCATATATTCCGAGATAATACAATAACAGTTATATATGTATAATGGGGATTTTATAAACTCTCTATGCCTGTCGTTTTCGGCAATTATTTCGTCTTTTTTCGGAAGTCTTATTCAAGAGCCGACGTGCTCTATATCACAGTGTTTCACCTTGCACATGTATTTTGCAGAATTCGCGAAGACGCCGTTGATTAATTGTGGGTTATGTTGATTATCTGCCGCTTCATTACATTCTATTGAAATATACTACTGTACTGTAGTGTATCAAGCAGTTTTAGAAGTTTTCCTAGGCTCGTTGTTGGCGATATATTACATGAAGCGTGCGTGATGTTGTGCAGGAGTACCGGCACCTGTTCTCGGCGGAGCAGGAGGGCGCGTGGCTGGCGCACGTGGAGCGGCGCTACGCGTGGCTCAAGCGCCACCTGCTGGCGCTCGAGGACGCCGCCGCCGGCCTCTTCCCGCGCGGCTGGCGGCTCAGCGAGCGCATCGCGCGCCGCTTCGGCAAGGTCTGTAGTGCACCGCACCGCACTGCACAGCACTGCACTACACCGCACTACACCGCACTACACCGCACTACACCGCACTACACCGCACTACACGTGGAGCGGCGCTACGCGTGGCTCAAGCGCCACCTGCTGGCGCTCGAGGACGCCGCCGCCGGCCTCTTCCCGCGCGGCTGGCGGCTCAGCGAGCGCATCGCGCGCCGCTTCGGCAAGGTCTGTAGTGCACCGCACCGCACTGCACAGCACTGCACTACACCGCACTACACCGCACTACACCGCACTACACCGCACTACACCGCCGCCGGCCTGCGCGGCTGGCGGCTCAGCGGCGCGCCGCTTCGGCAAGGTCTGTAGTGCACCGCACCGCACTGCACTACACCGCACTACACCGCACTACACCGCACTACACCGCACTGGCTCAAGCTGGCGCTCACCTGCTGGCGCTCGAGGACGCCGCCGCCGGCCTCTTCCCGCGCGCGCTGCTGGCGGCTCAGCGAGCGCATCGCGCGCCGCTTCGGCAAGGTCTGTAGTGCACCGCACCGCACTGCACAGCACTGCACTACACCGCACTACACCGCACTACACCGCACTACACCGCACTACACGTGGAGCGGCGCTACGCGTGGCTCAAGCGCCACCTGCTGGCGCTCGAGGACGCCGCCGCCGGCCTCTTCCCGCGCGGCTGGCGGCTCAGCGAGCGCATCGCGCGCCGCTTCGGCAAGGTCTGTAGTGCACCGCACCGCACTGCACAGCACTGCACTACACCGCACTACACCGCACTACACCGCACTACACCGCACTACACGTGGAGCGGCGCTACGCGTGGCTCAAGCGCCACCTGCTGGCGCTCGAGGACGCCGCCGCCGGCCTCTTCCCGCGCGGCTGGCGGCTCAGCGAGCGCATCGCGCGCCGCTTCGGCAAGGTCTGTAGTGCACCGCACCGCACTGCACAGCACTGCACTACACCGCACTACACCGCACTACACCGCACTACACCGCACTACACGTGGAGCGGCGCTACCGTGCAGCACTCCAGACAACCTGCTGGCGCTCGAGGACTCCGCCGCCGGCCTCTTCCCGCGCGGCTGGCGGCTCAGCGAGCGCATCGCGCGCCGCTTCGGCAAGGTCTGTAGTGCACCGCACCGCACTGCACAGCACTGCACTACACCGCACTACATTACTTATCACCCATTAAAAAAAATTAAAAAGAACTACACTAAAACACACTACAGATAAATAGATACTATTTGTTTCCTCCAAAAGATTACGATAGTAAAACACCTCGCGCTGTAAAACAATTACAAGAAATGATCACAATGAGAAAACAATGGGCGGCCTTATCGCTAACAATGATCTCTTGCAGGCAACCTTTGGATGGAGAGGAGTCATTATAAACAGTTTGATCAGAGGCACGATGAAATTCTATTATTTCTAAAACATAGAGATGTGATACGTGTAATAATGTAAATACTACACACACGACTCTCACCGCCTAGCTCTAGCAGCGCCTGCTCATTACCACCCACTGTACAGATCACGCGCGACGACCTGAGCGAGCTGATGTCGTCGCGGCGGAACGAGGTGGACGTCAAGCTGCTGCTGTACGCCATACAGAAGACGTACAACTTCGAGTTGCTGCTGCACAAGCGGTTCACCGGTGAGTCGTACGGCACGACACGACACAACACGACACGTCAGAGGGGAGAGGGATTGTTAATAATGGAGACTATACCCAACCAGGTCGACCTCCACGTGGTCCCACCTGGAAACCATCGTGCTGAATTTAAAGTATTCATCACGATGGGCTAACTGACCTGTCTTTTCATCCTCGTTTTTTATCACACACTGGTGCCCCGCCAGTGTATACCGATAGCGCAGGCGGGGTTACCATTCCATCATAACCTTTTAAAGGACCCATAAAAGGACATGACAAGCAAATTTTGAATGGAAAAATTGACATATTAAAGCAAGTTAAATTAAAACTTGTAGAAATATGTATTAAGGCAATGAAATGTAATACACCTCCTGTCCGCAGGCACAGACTTGGAGGCCAGCAACCTGGAGAGCGCCACGGATAGACAGGCCAACGCAGATGCAGACTCCAAAGAGGTGGGACCGTTTTATTTGTTTATCACTCACGGGTATGTTTATTTATTTATTTATTCATAGGAAATCCAGGTATAACTAGAGCAAAAAGATACAGTTTAGGATCACAAAACAAGCCACTAATAGGTTTCCACAAGTAGCAACAATATAGATACAAGGCGCTGTACACAAAGCGACAAAAATAGGAGTTAACACGTTAAACGTTACGATACGTTACAAGGTGGGAGGGGGATTCGAACAACGAGTCGATTCGAACGTAATATTGTTTTTTTTTTTTTTTTATTAAATAAGCTAAGGAAGTAAAATCTCCCAAGTTGGTAACCATTTTCGTTTGATAATTTACAGGGAATTCCTCGACTGTATTTCATTATTTAATTTTATTTTATTTGTCGTTTATAATATTCGTCAATGTTGTGACTTTTAGGTGAAAATAGTTGTGTGTTACGTGACGTTTTGAAGAGGGCGGGGGAGGAGTACAAAAATCTTTTAAGGGACATGGGGGGGGGGGAAGAAATAGTTAAAAATATGAAAAAATTGCATTACGTAATATTTGAATGTTTTTTTTTATACCACTGAGGTGGCAAACAAGCATACGGCCCAACTGATGATGTATGGTTACCGTAGCCTATGAACACCTGCAATACCAGAGGTATGCTTGCGTTGCCGACCCTGAAGAAACCTCTTTACCGCCCTTTTGAAGAACCCCAGCTGTAGACTCTTGCGAATACCTCGGCAGGGAGCTCATTCCATAACCTGAGTGTTCGTGGGAGGAATGTCTCCCAAGCTTACGACCCACTTGATTGAAAGGTTGTGTAACGTAAGACAAATAAAACTGTCGAATTAGAAATCTATTTTTGAAATCATATCCCACATAGAGAACATAGAAGTAAGCTCCTACTGTCCTAATCTTATCCTGTGGGTACAAGGTGTAAGTTGAAGGATGGGATATGGCAGTGAAGTTGCAAGGTACGGAGGCAGTGCATCGTCATGTAAAGTGAGGAGTGTCGTTACAGGCGCTGGACGACGACTTGCCGGACATGAGCCGGCCGGGCTCGGCGTGGGTCGGGCTGATCGGCAGCTGCTTCGAGCCGTACCTCTCGCTCTACATACAGTCGCTGGACTCCAACCTGCGCTCCTTCATGGACAGGTTCCTGCAGGTATTGATTTACCGCTGGATTTTACTTGGGATTTCTATTTTGTTTCAATTTCTGTTTTGTTTTGTTTTGTTACTCATTCATACGTGAATTTACTGGGTACAGAGGAATAACACCTGAGTCCTCAGGAATGGCAACGCATGGGGGGTATCATGGGCGAAACAGTATACACTGTTATGTTCATGGTACTGCTCATGTCTATAGGCGACGGTTGCCACTTTCCATCAGGTGGGCCGTCAACTTGTTTGCCATTCTAAGTTGTATAAAAAAAAAACTTCAAATAATTTTCACCGCTTAGTTATATTTTAGTTTTTCCAAACATTTACTGGGAGAGAATGCTGCATAGCATTAAGTTTGTGTTTTGTATCAAACCCTTTTGTGTAAATATTTTTTCACGTGAAATAAAAAACTTATTTGTGTCGCTCTGAAAAGAGATTAAGTTTTAAACACAATTAATCTTAACAAATAAGTATTGCACTTACTAGGTATAATTTTTTAGAAAACTTGAAAAATGAAGCAATAATTTACGCTATTATTTCACAAATTAAAATCATTTTAAAATACATCTTTATGTCTCTCTAATCTGGGAGCTCGCTCTGATAATGAATGACATTATGTTATTTCGACATCCGATTCAGCTGCGTACGCGCACCACATTGAAATCAATGAAGGTCGATGAATTTTATTTACATAGGGGAAAAATAAACAAGTGTAACTTTTACATTTATAATTATAGTAGAGGTAATATTTGTAAAGTGAGATTGAAATTATCTGCCAGGAGGCGCGCGCGCCGGAGGGCGGCGAGGTCGCGCCGGGCGGGGCGGCGGTGGGCGGGGCGGGGGCGGCGGTGGGCGTGGCCGGCGGCGGCGGCGGCGGCGGCGGCGGCGGCGCGGTGATCGCGAGCTGCGCGGACCTGTTCGTGTTCTACAAGCGCTGCCTCGTGCAGTGCGCGCGCCTCACCACCGGACAGCCCATGCTCGGTGCGCACGCGCACACACGCACACACGCACACACACACGCACACACGCACACACGCACACACGCACATGCGCAATTATATCAAATTTAAATGACCTCCTTACCTTTCGTACCTCTCTACAACCTGTACAATTATGTATAGAGGGAGACTTTGTACAAAAATCATTTGCTTGAGTACCTCTGTCACTTTCATGTCTCTACCGTAAAGAAAAATTAGATGAGCCGTATGCTCGTTTGCTCTCTGTGTGGTAAAGAAAAAAAGAAGCGAGGCCTCGTAATGGGTGATAATGGAATGGTAACCCCGCGAGCGCTATCGGTATATTTAATTTATATTTGTAAACCACCGTGTCTTGGTAATCTCATATGGACTCCCGCGATACAGGTTCTCCTAGTGCGGGGTCCAATGTACTCGCTGTTGTAATTTTTTTTTGTATTTAATAAATAAATAAATAAATTTAATTTAATAAATAAATAAATAAATACCAACAAATACCTATCGTGGCAAATTCGAGTGGAGTTAGCCGCGATGGTTTGGATGGTTTGTGAACGTCGCGACTGGCCGGCGCAGAGCTGGCGGGCGTGTTCCAGAAGTACCTGCGCGAGTACGCGGGCGGCGTGCTGGCGGCGGCGCTGCCGGGCCGGCCGCCGCCCGCGCCGCCGCTCGTCGCCACCATGCACACGCTGCTGCGGGACGACGCCGCGCCCGCCAGGTACGCACGCGCACGCGCACACGCACACACGCGCACACACACGCGCACACACACACACACGCGCACACACACACACGCGCGCGCGCGCACACACACACGCACGCACACACGCGCACACACACACGCGCGCGCGCGCGCGCACACACACACGCACGCACACACACACACACACACACACAAACACACGCGCGCGTGCGCACACGCGCACACACACGCGCACACACACACACACACACACACACGCGCGCGCGCGCGCGCACACACACGCACACACACGCACACGCACACACACACACACGCACGCACGCGCGCGCGATCCTGATTACGGAATCTAATAAGTATACACGACAAAAATTTAACCAATTAGCTTGATATGATTACAATCATGAAGATGTTATAATTGTACGAGCAGGTACACGAAGCAGGAGATAGCAAAAATCACGAGTGTGATCACCACGTCGGAGTACTGCCTGGAGACGACGGTCCACCTGGAGCAGAAGCTGAAGGAGAAGGTGGCGCCAGGGCTCGCCGACAAGATAGACTTCGTGTCCGAGCAGGACCTCTTCCACAAGATGATCACCAACTGCATACAGGTATCGCGCTACTACTATACTGAACGTGGTGTTACCTTCCAGAAATCCATATCACTGGTTATTTCAATTAGAATTGTTTTGTTTAATTCCACTACCATTCTTCTTTCCATTTAACAGTTTCCTCTTGTCGGTGCAACTAATTCATGCATCTTCCTCCAGCCAGCTCTATCTCTATACGACATGACGCCTAGTGTTTCCTTTATCTGTCCCATGTAGTTAATCCTCGGTCTTCCTCTTCCTCTTTTGCCCTCTATCTTTCCTTCTACTATGCTCTTAAAAAATCGTCATGTCGTATAAGGTGGCCCAGCATTTTGCCTCTTCTATTCTTTATTATTTCAACCAATGTTCTCTTTTCGTTCACTCTTTTTAGGACTTCCTCGTTCGTTAGCTTTTCTGTCCAGCTTATTAGTACGTGTGAAATAAGTGTGGCGGCAGATTTTATAATAATAAAAAAAAACTTAATTATAAATTTCAAAGTGGCAATGGGACTGCTCCAATATCAACAAATCCAACTTCTGTTTAAACATATGTTTAAATTGTTTGTCTAACATATGTTTAAATTCCCCAAGAAAATCTAAGAAGTTTTTTTTTTTATACAACTTAGAATGGCAAACAAGCTGACGGCCCACCTGATGGAAAGTGGTAACCGTCGCCTATAGACATGAGCAGTACCATGGACATAACAGAGTATACTGTTTCGCCCATGATACCCCCCATTCGTTGCCATTCCTGAGGACTCAGGTGTTATTCCTCTGTACCCTGTAAATTCACGCCATATCCCACCCTTCAAACTGAAACACAGCCATGCAAACACAACTGCTTCACGGTAGAAACACGAATGGGACAGAGATACCCAAGCAATTGACTTTTGTACAAAGTCTCCCTCTGGTAAATATTAATAATGGTAGTTTAATGATATATATATATATATATATATATATATATATACAAAAATCGATAAAATAACCAAATCACTTCAAGTTCGTCTCTTAAATTATAACATATATATATATATAAATATATATATAACATCAACACATAGAGGGAAATCAAGGACAAACCTGCTATGAAGTTTGATTCGACTTTTTTGACATTTAGACAACATGGTCATAGATACTAAAATATAACTAAGGCCAGTACAGTTATAAGGGGGGGGGGGGGGGGGGATTGTTAGTAATGGAGATCGAGAATCCTATTACTAGCAATATACCCGGTCGACCTCCTCGCGGTTCTTTCTGGAAACTATCATGGTTAATTCCTGATGAATTCATCATGATGGGCTAACTGGCCTGTTTTCATTCTCATCTATCACCCTTCACTGGTGCTCCGCCAGCGTATCCCGTTAGCGCAGGCGGGGTTACCATACCATTTTCACCCATTAAAAAAAAAGTACAGTTATAAGGGGAGGGAGGAGGGATTGTTAGTAATGGAGACTGAGAATCCCATTGCTAGCAATATACCCAACCAGGTCGACCTCCTCGCAGTATCCTCGCAGAAACTTTCATGGTTAATTCCCCTCCTGTTCTACAACAGTTATAAGAAGGAATGTAGTTCTTTAAAGAACTCTTTATAATTTCACTTTTATAATCACTACATGGCTAAAGGAATTTAATGTTGCCAGGGATGGGCAGCAGCGTCCCTTTTAAAACATCAGCAAGACCTAAGTGCTATAGCCAACCCATTTGCCAAGCATGCCAACTATTGGAAAAACTCCCTCTTATAAGAGAGGTCCATTTTCAGCAATGTACAGTTAACGGATGATGATATAAAACGCCCGTTACAATTACAGATGCTGGTGCAAGACCTGGAGGTGGCGTGCGAGCCGGCGCTGCAGGCCATGACCAAGATATCGTGGCTGCACTTCGACACCGTGGGCGATCAGAGCTCATACGTCACGCAGATCATCATGCACCTGAAGAACACCGTGCCCCACCTGCGAGACAACCTGTCCTCCTCCAGGAAATACTTCACCCAATTCTGCATACGATTCGCCAACTCGTTCATACCTAAGTTCATACAGAACATATATAAGTGCAAGCCGATATCGACGGTCGGCTCCGAGCAGTTGTTACTCGACACGCACATGCTCAAGACTGCACTACTCGAGCTGCCCTCTATAGGTAATTAACACAATTATAAACTATATCTATACTTATAATAAATCTGTAGAGAGGTCAATTCTGTACATGAAATATATTTCCAAAATAACTATCAGCAGGTGATTAGTGATCGATACTGATGCCAAAAATGCAATCAGTAAAATTTTTGTGTCTGTCTGTTTGTATGTTCGTTATAGAAACAAAAACTACTCGACGGATTTTAAAGAATCTTGGTACAATTATTCTTCATACTCCCGGGCAGGTTATAGTATACTTTTTATCACGCTACGATCAATAGGAGCAGAGCAGTGAAGGAAATGTTGGGAAAACGGGAGAAGTTACGTCCATTTTTAAGCTTCCGTCGCGTGTGCAGCCTTAATGGCCACTTTTTAAAATGTAAAAGTGTCCACCCGTGCGACGCCTAGTTGCTAATATTTATTACATTGTCAGGTACTTAACCCATAGAGGTACAGTTATATTACAGGGACATTTGCGCTTACGTTTAAAGCATAATCGTATAACATATAAAATATAAAAAAAAATTAAACATAGGTAGAAAATGTATGTATTTATTTAATCAACTACGTGAGCTTTACAATTTCCCAAGTGAGCTTCACTTAAGTTAAACATAAACAAAAGAACATTATTCGATGTTATTGTCTCGGTATAAATTAAAATTATGCCTCTTTATGGGGAAGGCTCATGTCCAGCAGTGGACAGTTAACGGCTGAAATGGGGGCATCCATTAATTACGTGAGCACAGAATAGGGGGGGGGGGAGGGGTCTAATGAATTCTCACCAAATCTCATTTAAACCGAGGGGAGGGGGATAATCAAAAATCTCACGTCAACTTCAAAAAATATAAAATATTAAAAATATTACTAAAATATTAAAGATAAACGTAAGAAACTCCAGTTATTCCAGTCTTCCTATTTTAGAAATCCCAGATGATATGTGTCCAATTATTTCGATTGAAAAAATACACGTAACGTCTCCATGGATTGAGTAAAAATAAAAAAAGTGTTGTTTTTATGTTTTTACTTTGAATTTTATTTAATTTAAATAAATTAATTATAGTTAAACGATTTATTATTTTCAATAATAAATAGAAATTAAGGTTAAAATATTTTTTGCGTCAATCTCACGTAAGGGGTGGGGGGGGGGGTCAAGGCAAATCTCACAAAATCTCACGTAAGGGGGGGGGGGGTAGGAGTCTAAACTGATCGAAAAAGAGGTCACGTAATTAATGGATGCCCCCAATAATAATAATAACTATAAACAGTAATACGTTATTATATTCCAGGTTCAGAGGTGAAGCGCCCCGCGCCGGCCATGTACACGAAAGTCGTCATAAAACTGATGACGAAAGCGGAAATGATATTGAAGCTGGTGATGGCGCCACTGGACGGCAACCTGGAGGGGTTCGTGGGCCAGTTCGTGCAGCTGCTGCCGGAGTCCACTGTGGCCGAGTTCCACAAGGTGCTGGACATGAAAGGGGCCAAGTTGTCCAAAGCGCAGTTGAGCTCTTTGGACGCGCTTTTCAAACAAACCGCTAAATCTGTCAACAGCAATGTAAAGTAAAAAGTAAATATCGACGGTTAACCAGAAATATATGCTAATGGACATTTATATAAATAATATTGTAGTCCAGGAAAGAAAAAGACTTCATACATGTATGTATGTATGTATGTATGAAGTGTTTTTTTTTTGTTATTTTTTATTTTCTGTCACGTCTGTATCCCTATTAAGGTAGGCTGTTTCTGCCTATACTTCAGTTGTGACAAAACCAATTATATTAATCTAAAAACTATATATATATATATATATATATATATATATATATATATATATATATATATATATATATACATATATATATACATGTATATATATATACATATACATACATATATATACATATACATATACATATATATATACATATATATATATATACATATATATATACATATATATATATATACATACATATATGTGTGATTTTATGTGAGACCAATATGTATATATATCCTTTTAGACAAAAAAATCCAGATCTTTAAAGAACTCTTCATAATTTCACTTTCATATATGCTACACCACTAAAGGAATTTAATGTATCGAAGGGTTAGGCAGCAGCGTCCCACTTAAAACACCTTCAAAGCCTAACTTCGCTTGCCAATCCGTCTGCCAAGTGTGGCAACTACTGGCAAAACCCCCCAAGAGGGTGGTTTATGTTCAGCAGTGGACAGTTAAAGGCTGACATGATGATGCTGATGATTGTATGTAACATAATAAGTATTATCTATTTATACAATAGTTTTTTTTAATAAATAAATAAATTATATTTAATGATTACGTGATTTATTTTTTCCTTAAACAACCCTGAATAACAACCCCATGTATAACCCGGCATCAGTGAGAGGTAACAGGAGAGAATTAAGTGAAATTTGTTGCCTTGTCGTGATGAATTCACCAGGACAGTGACGACTAATGGGTATTTTAAGTAATAGTTAATGTAAGTGGGTTTATCACTCCACATTCTTAGCCATTATAAAAAAAAAAAAAACATTTTTGGGGCCACCACTGAAGGACGATAGGTGAGGATGAAAGATAAGTCAGTTAGCTCATCGTAATAAATTCATCTGAAGAGAACGTAAGAAGGTCGATCTGACAAGGAATATTGTTAGCAACGGGGCTACTGGTCTCTATTATTAAAAATGTATCTATTAAAGGATTTTTAATAATGGTTATATATTTATACTAGTTAAGAGTTATAATTTCCGTAAGTATTGATAGGTAACTCCGTTCTTCTAATTAAAGTGGATAAAGAGTTGAAGGAGGATTTATGGCTGAATAGGATTTAGTGTAAAACATGGGACGGGTTAAAGTTATATTTAAACAAACTTATTTTACTTTTTTTTATAACAGAACCATATAAAACTAAACGTTTGAAGAAAATAAATACATACTGTAGAACAAAAAAAATACATGTAATTAAAAAAAAAAACGGTAGCCAACAAAAGTCACGATATTGACTTGATGATTTTAAATGTGTGCTGAAAAAATCTAAAAAATATGAAATATTTCTAAAATAATGTGATACGACTGATTAGCATGTTTCTTGTTTATACATCGGCGTCCTGTTTTAAAAAGTTAAACTGTAAACAAACATGGCGATTATAAACGTCAAAAACGTCAGTTGTCGGGCAACAACAACATTGGGTGTTCGTGCCGCGATTTATTGTTTTGTTGTGGACTTGATATTAATATGGTATATTTTCCAGTACGAAAGTGTTATCATGTAGCTAAAATATGTCTTCTATTGCTACTAGTAGTGTCTTTATTAGCTTTATTTGAACATTATCGCGGTGGGAAGCGAGCGACGAAAGCGGAACTTTCAGATCCAATAGAAGCTGAATACGAAAGGCAAATATTAGAAGATGAGGCTCGAATTATACCAGGACTTGGAGAAGGTGGAGTTGCCGCACACTTGCTGGGGGAAGACAAGCGGTTGGGCGAGGAATCGGAAAAGAAACTGGCCATCAACGTCCATTTAAGCGAAAGGATCGCATATAACAGGACTTTAAAAGGTAAACGCCCGTTTTAATTACTTTAAATCCAGACCGCAGTAACCATAAATGTTAAAAGTAGTGTTCGGAGTCTGAATAGTTATTAGAAATTTTATTAAGACCTTTTAATGTATTAAGTTGTGAACATAATTCCCTACATCACTCCTAATGTCGGGTCCACATAGCAGTATTTTGATTGCCGGCGACTTTTAAATTGGTGTGTTCAAAATTTAAAAAGGGCGAGGTTTGAGTAGTTGTCTTTCTCCAGAAGGTTTGAATATGACTATTAAATTTTTTGTTTATATTCTAAAAAATATAAAATGTATCCATGGTTGATTGATTGAGCTTGGTAATGCAAATTGGAAACTACAAATGTGAATGGGAAATCAAACTATAAATTTACCTTTTGCAAAACTTATTAACAATAATTATCTTACCTTGATAACAGTGTTACCAATATTTCCCAGGTACTGTTAAAGTGATCTATATCTGTTATCACCATTATTACTTCAGGCATTAATTGGCAACTGCTAAAAATATGTATTAAAAATATGTAATAAATGTAAAAAATCACCCATTAATAACTCTTGCTTACCAAAGTCACACAATCACTTATTCTGTTTAATTATTTACAAAGGTCTTTCTGTAGCAAAAGTATGAAGTAGGTGTAAACTTTTTACTGGTAAATTTATGTGTAACATATTTTATGAATTATGTTTTAGTGCCCTAGTAGATCACTTTTTAATAATCAATAAGAAACATTGAAAATTGTTTACTTATTATTTTTTATTTATATATACATATTATGTACTGTATATATATATAAATAATTTAAGTACATTAAACACCAAAAATGTTTTAAATATAATGATGAGCCTACATAGAAGGATCTTTTACAGTCAACCTTTGAGAAGCTTAATGAAAACTGTAGAAGGTTTGAGGGTAAAAACTGTACAGCTACAGTACATATTTCTTTTTTAAAATTAACTGGTAATTATGACATTGCCACACTTTGGTAAGCAAAAGTTTTGAATGGTCTTGAGCCCCCACTATCCAGTTATAACTTTTATCAGATGAACTAAAAAGTAGAAAATATTCTCTAAGGCATCCAATCTAACTATAAATATAAGATTTTACAAACAAGTAGTAATACAAGCTTTGTTTTTTATAGTGCCTTAACAACTTGACCAACCATTGTGAAGTTTGCTATACATGTAATATATGGGATGGTGACAGTATATCCTTAAGCTACTTTTTATCACAGTTGGTAAACAAATCCTATATATCAGGTGGACAAAGTTGTGGGTGAAAGTTAGAAACAAAATAATAAATCCAATCAATAAATAAATAATAAATCCAGTTGTATTATTGAGTGAAAACTGTGAACAATATACCCTGTTAGATTGACGTCCACATGGTCCATGTTTTGTGGTTTATTTATAGTGAATTTGCAATGATAGGCCAACTAACCCAACATTATTCACTTGCATCTTTTACTGGTGCTCGCCAACATATACCATTAATATATGTGAGTGAACCTCTCCCTTGTCATTTAGAAAAATTGCTTATACCAAACTGATGATGAATTTTTTACAGAACGTTTGTTTTTCTGTAAATTATAAATTCACTCATTTTAATCAAACATGCATGTATTATAGAATATTTAATATAATAAAGTCCAGCATATATTGTGTGTGTATATGTGTAGATACAGCAAGACCTTGCTACACTTTTATTACCAAAATGATTAATTAATATTGACAATTGTACACTTGTACAAATTTGTATTAGGCAGGCACCTACTGAATGTTCATCACAACTGAAATGAACAAATAAAATTTATTTGCAACATGGTATATACCTAATATATTAATTTGTACCTATTCAAACACACTAATAATTTTTTTATACCATGAAGGTGTGAAATAAGCGTACAGCCTGTCTGATGGTAAACAGTTACTGTAGTTTATGGACGCCTGCAACACTAGGGGTGTCACGTGCGCTTTGCCAACCCTGAAGAAACCTTAATATACTCTTTTTGAAAAACCCCATACTGTAGTTTCTAAGGAAAACCTCGGCAGGGAGCTCATTCCACAGTCTGAGCGTTCGCGGGAGAAAATTCCTTTAAAACCGCACTGTACGAGACCATTTAGGGTCAAGCGTGCGAGGATGAACTCCCTGTTGATGGCGAGCGGTGCGATGATAAAAGCTAGCCACCTTTTCAAACAATTCCTAAGAACAAACCGTTATACATGCGGTACAATACATATTTTTTTAAATTCACGATTGGATTTGACCGCGACGCTATTACAGGTAAAGGAAAAGAAATATCGGTGATAAATATGAAGTACGTTGGTACTATTTACCTGTAACCACGTCCCTTTAAGTCTCGGTCTTAAATTTTAATATGTATAAGTAAGTAGTGTACAAGACAAAATTTTAGAATATCTACATTCGTACATTCCAAATGGATACGATATCGTAATCTTTAAAAGAAGAGCATATTCCTTTTGAAAATGTCGACAGCACACCTGCAATACCTCCAGTGTAGTGAGTGTTTATGAATGGCGGTAGTCACTTACGTAGTGCAGGCGTTCATAGACTACGGTAACCACTTACCATCAGGTGGGCCGTATGCTTTATTGACACCGCGGTGGTATAAAAAAAATCAAATGAGCCGCAAGCTCGTTTGCGGCAAGATTACAAGCCGCAAGTTGTATTATAAAAAAAAAAAAAAACATTTATAAACCAATGCAGATCACCGCAACCCGGCGTGCAAGCGCGTGGTTTACGACGCGGAGCTACCGTCCGCGTCGGTGGTGATAATCTTCCACAACGAGCCGTACTCGGTGGTGGTGCGCACCATATGGAGCGTGGTGAATAGCGCGCGCCGCGACCAGCCCTGGTACCAGCACGCCAACTTCGTCGACAGGGACACCGGCCGCACCATGACACTGGGTGAGTTCGACTTGTATTGGTATTTTTTTCTTTTTCCACTGAGGTGGCAAACAAGTATATGGCCCAAATGATGGTAAGCAATTGCCGTAGTCTATGAACGCCTAAAATACCTGGGGCATTATGCGCGCGTTGCTGATCCTAAAGAAATCTCTTTAACCCTTTTTAGAAAACCCCATTCGTAAGAGAAAATGTCCCTGAAACCGCGGTTTCAGCCTATATAGGCTTTATGGTATGGTTTTGTGAATACTGACGGCGTTAGGGGCCATGTTTCAAAGCAAGAAATAAAAATGGAATTTTAACCCCGCCTGCCTTCGCCACTCAAGAACCTTTCTTCTTCATTTTTTGGTTAGGTTGTCTGTTCATCAAGCTGTGCGACCAGTCCATTACCATTTCAGTTTACTTATTCTTTATCGTAATTTGTAGGTTGCTTTATAGCATTTTTTTGTCTACTCCATGTATAATTCAAAACAATTCTTCTAACTTAGGTTACCCCGGCCAAGACCCGAACTCCCCGTTAGTATACCTGAAAGAGATCATCCTAGTGGATGACAACTCTACATTACCCGAGCTCAAGGGTAAATTGAGCCACTACATCCGGACGAGGCTTCCACCTGACTTGATCAGGATACTGCGGCTACCGGATCGGTAAGTTGTTTCTGACTAATAATTATCATCGTGATTGTATGGTTAATCATTTTATTTACATGAAATGCAAAGGTAAATCTGTCCGCGTTAGTGGTTAAACTTACCGGTGAGAGATAATAGGTGAAAATGAAATCAGGCCAGTTAAACTATTGTGAGTCTTGATAAATCCACAAGGATTATGATGATCTTAAAGGTCAACCTGACAATCCCTTTCCCTTTCCTCATGTCTTGTTGATATTCACCAAAAGATTCATGGGTTCATACATACGTCTAGTTATTAAACTTTGGAATTCCCTTCCTGATCTTCCTGGTGGTCACGTGTTTCTTTCCTGCCTTTAATCCTGCTGTGTTTAAGCGGAATGTGGAAGATGTATATTTGTAGGCTGTAAAGATGACGATAGCCAACACAGCATAAATTGTTGTGATGGCGATACTCACGTTTGGACCACATTACCTGTTTTCCATCAGGTGGGGTGTGATCACTTTGGCTAGCCCCTATAAAAAAAATATAGTGTCATTGGTCATTCTTTGTATAAACCAACAATTGGCTGGCCCATTTTTATGACATTCGACCTTTTATCTAGAACTATGCGTGATCAGAGATTTATACCAAATCATCAGAATTTAGATGACAGGTAATGTTAGTGCAGTGAGAATAGTAGAATGTGACCTCAGGGTTGGATTGACCCGTGCAAGACTAGCTGGGAGTGAATCGGCCACTGGCGATGTACTAATATTCTTGGACGCGCACTGCGAGGCCGACACGGACTGGGTCAGACCACTCCTGCAGAGGATTAAACAGAAGAGAACGGCTGTGCTCACCCCCATCATAGACATGGTGGAGCAAGACACGTTTGAGTATCAGACTGGGACGAGTGTTATAGATTTCGAGGTGATCACAGTAGATGTTGTCTCCATGAAATATTTTTTGTAGCAAAAACCCTTTATTTAGTTACAGTTGGTTTGTGAATTCTAGAATGGGAAAATCTTTTAAATATTATGAAGTTTTTGAGCGATTTCTAAAAGGAGCTTTCCAATTCGTCTGATTTTTTTTGTGGCTACCTTATCTAACTATGTCGTTAATTTTGAATTGATTTTGACAATTAGTTTTCAATGAATAAAATTTATTTCCGTGTTGATGCCATTTTTAATTTTGTAACTCTTTAAGCAACAGTTTTTTTGTTACTACTAAGCAAAATCTATATTTTAAAACGCTGTTTCACGTTCGAAATTTAAATGTTTCTACGAAACATTGCGGCGTTTATCGCGGGTGGGTGCGTTCATGACAAAGTCACTTTCTCGGGAAGTATAAGATTGTTTCATAAAGAAACTGACTTCAGTCGTGGAAAAACCAGTTGTTTTTTTTATTTTAAAACTAAACTACTGAACTGTTTATGATAAAATTTATATATTTTTAAATCGGTTTACAACTGACGGAGTTATGAGGTAACAGACATAAAAAAACATACAAGCGAATTGAAAACTACCTTCCTTTTAAAGTCGGTTGAAAATGTACTGTATATTTTACTGTGTATTTTACGACAAAATAAACCTATCAGAATATCTAACAGAATTTATTTGTAGTATCACAACTCTACGTCTACGTCTAAAATACAACGTACGATTTTCCACTTCCGTTAGCGTCGTCAATTCAATTAGCTCGGTGCTATAACGGTTTTTTGCTTCAAGAATTGTTACAATCGATCTTCTCACAGTCTCGCTCTGTAATCACCTTCTGTTTATCGTAAACATTTTCCCTAGTATTATTCGTGTTATAATAACACTTAGACAGATCATATTAAATATTGTAATTGAACAAAACATATGTAGAATACTGGTAAGCAATTAACATTAATGCATTTACTATGATAATTAAAATGGAACGGTATTTATTGTATAAATTGGCTTTGATACTAAGGGTTAGATTAATAATCTTTTGACCTTTGTAAGTAAGTAAGTAATCAATCGAGAATATATTAGTTGTATATAATATTGAAAACAAAGGAGTACCTCAAGGCTATGTTTTGGGTTTCAAAGTATATATTGTAGATATGGTAGCCATGAAGTTGTTTTTTGGGACTTGACTCTGAATGAGGACGTACATACGAGTAGCATAGATTAATAAACATTACCTGTGTTGCTAGTGTTAATAAAGGAGTATTTCATTATTTATTATAATAAAAAAAAAACGGTTGTGTTTTTTAAGGTTTTAATTTTTTTTACCATCTAATAATTATTAAATCATTATGATTTTGTTTATGACACATTATTGTAAAATAAAGTCTTAAATTTATAGGATACAGGGTTTTTAAAAAAATAAGGAGTACAATGGCGGACTTGTCACGTAAAAGAGATCTCTTCTAATCAACCTTTAAATGTCTGATGGAAATTGTGAATTGGTGGTGACAAAAAAAAAATAGAAAAATAATAGGTGTTACAATTACAATAATTCTTTGGATGTCTTAATAGAAATCGTAAAAGTTTTAGAATTGTATTCATTTGGAGATGATTTGCTCGTATCCATAATTATATGAAACGTTAACGTCGTTAAAAAATCTCATCTCTCGAGGTGGTATTTTTAAAATTTACACATTTATTTTATGGTTTTAAGGCTTAAGTTGTTTTGATTGATTGCGCCATTGTATTTATTGCCAACAATTGCTACCTTTACGTGTACAATATAAAGAGTTTGCGGTCTAAATGTACAATTACTTATACGAGGTTTGTCCGGAAAGTACGTATAAAAGTTTTTAAAAATTTTATTTTACAATTATTCAGGTAAATCAATTTTATCCCCTTCAAAGTACTCCCCCTGTGACATAATGCACTTGTGCCAACGCCGTTTCCACTGTGAGAAGGCTCCTTGAAAGTCCTCTGGTTGTAGGTTTCTCAGCTGCCCCGTCGTAGCTTTTTTTATCTCATTTATGTCCCCCAAATGCCGCCCCCGAAGTACCAATTTGGTTTTTGGGAACAAGAAGAAGTCACACGGGGCCAAATCCGGCGAATAGGGGGGTGTTCGGTCACCGTAATGGAATTTTTACTCAAAAACTCACGGAACGATCTTGGCGCAAATTTTTTTCATTTGAAGTTCGTTTCTTAGAATTTCGTGGACCACGGTTTTGCCCAAATTAAGCTCTTCAGCCACCTGTCTGACCGTTAAACGACGGTCCCCATTAACACAAGTTCGAATTCTTTCCACGTTTTCGTCGGAATGTGAAGTGGAAGGACGTCCTGAACGTGGGTCATCTTGAACGCTTTCTCGGCCCTCTCTGAATCTTTTTAGCCACTTGTGGACGGTTGGTTCCTTCACAGCATCATCCCCATAAACTGTTCTGAGATCGGCAAAAATTTCACGGCCATTCTTGCCGAGTTTCGAGAGAAACTTGATTACGACGCGCTGCTCTTCAACGGAAGCGGGCTCCATGCCGACGGGGTTTCGTTAAGAGGTAACTTCACAGATGGCGTGACAAGCCAGTTCGCACCGCACGGCGGTCAGACCAGAACTGAAGCATTGTTAGGGACATAAGGAAGGGGTCCTGCGCTTACCTGGCCTCCCCACTCCTCTTTCTCGCATTCCAGAACACTTTTATACGAACTTTCCGGACAGACCTCGTAGATAAATACAGCATGCGATGTAATAAGTTTAAAGTATTGAAATAAAAACATTGCCCACAAAAGAAATCCTAACGGGGGGCACGTAACATGTTACACGTGAATGAAAAGCTTAGAGTGTATTGGGTCGAATGAAATATTCATGCGAGAAGAAAATAGCATTTGTATATGTATGTTAGGAGATATAAAACTGAGGCTTATCGCAGCTGTACGATCGTTAAGCAGTCGTAAACTATTGCAGTACGCGCCAAACGAGCGAGAATGGATGCCTACAAATGTGTCATAAATTAATGTATAAAATCAATTTGAAATATGAAGTCTTCTTACTTTATACATGATTCCAGATTCTACCAAGTGTTAGCAATCATTAAAGTGTATAAATTATTTTCCTGACCTCACAACAAAGCCGCACATATTCTCTCAGATACGTTTAGGTGTAACTAGAAGTACTTCTCGGATCTTGGGTGGGAACTAGATAATTCTGGGATAGGTATGCCCCCTCTCCCTCCTCTAAATACACCTATAGGAGTAAACTCCAGATTGTGGTATGGGCTTATCCAACAGCGTGGGCCTGACCCGCGCCCGGCTGGCCGGCGCCCGCTACGCGGCGGGCGACGTGCTCGTGTTCCTGGACGCGCACTGCGAGGCGCAGCGCGACTGGCTGCGGCCGCTGCTCGGCCGGATCAAGCACGCGCCGCACGCCGTCGTCGTGCCCATTATAGACGTCGTCGGCGCCTCTGACTTCTACTACAGCGTGCAGGACCCGGCCGTGTTCCAGGTCTACATTACGTGTTGCTTGTGTTCCGTCCGTTTGAGTTTTGCTTTCTTTGTCTGTGGTGTGCTGTGATCGTCTTGTTTGCAAGGTGTCTGTATTCACGTTTTTCTGCAGAGTTTTTGAATTGCACCCAATATTCAGTTTGTTTTTATTCTTGGTTTGCACTTCTGATCGTAGTCTGTTTCTAGGAATTCTAGTTTATTGGCCAGATACAAGATTTAAAAGTTCTTTTTCTCGTGCACTGGTGTACTTGTCCTTTTAGTTGCCTTTTGCTGCCGCTGAAGATGAAAAGAAAAGCTTGACACGTATTCATACGTCGTCACCTTTCGAAGAAAATGCAACTATTAACTTCGAGTGTATTGCATTGTTTATGGTTTATAAGGGATGGGAATTAACGCGATCATTTAGGTAAACCACGATACCTGTTACCCATGGTGAACCAGGGGTCTCTCGACGTTTCGATCAGGTTACACCTACCACAGTCACGAGTGAAAAGATGTAACAATGTCGCGCCTCCGCTTTTGAGGCAGAAATATATTTTCTACCCACTCATTGTCATATACAAATTGTGTCTCTTTATTGATGGTTTCTGCATTAATAAATACACGATCAGTGTTGATAATTTATCATAGTTTATCTAAATAATCCCATTAAATCCCGTCTGTTATAAACAGAAAATTTTACTATATACTGCACGCTTATTTTATTAAACACATGATTTGTCATTTATTTATCACCGTCTTTTTCATATATTTCACTATTGAATCATTCGAAATCATTAGTGTTCTTAATGGATTGTTTTCTCAACAAAACTGGTCAATTTTCTAAAAACAATTTCGATATAATTTTAATCAACTAACCAGTGATATGGACTTTTGCAAGATAACACCTAGTTCAGTGAAATAAAAATGTTTAATTACATAAAACACTCCCTTAAAAATTATACCAACGATTTCGAGTTCACCATGTATTATGTCTATGATCCGTGCTTTCTTTTTATCACGTTCCCGTGCTGCGTGTTTGTATTTTGACTCTTGTGTTACGTCCGTCGTATTTTCAGTTTCTTTCACGTCACGTATCACCAATGTGTTTCCTGTATGTTAATATTTATTACCGTTTATTTTTCTATAACTGTTATCTTTACTTTGCTAGTGTCGTTGCATTGTAGAATACCAACTGCGCAGCTGCACGTTGATTGTGGCTGGTCTTTGAGTGAGCTGTTTGTCGCTTTTACATCACCTTTTTAGAAATGCACGATCACCATTTTATGTCACCAATTCTGTTTTTATTATTATTTATTACTGTCCGTCAATTATTGTTGTAAATAAGTGTTTTAAGTGGAATTAAAAATTATGGAACCATGGCACCTTAGTCCACAAGGAATTAGTCGTAAGTGTCATCTGTCTCAGATAAGTTGTGCGTTTAAGAACGTGCACAGGTATGTGTGCCAGAATGTAGCCACGTGAGAATTATCTGTCTATTGTAAAAAACAATTTTTGTTTTTAATATTTATGAATTAATTATTTTATAAGTGCTCTAAAATGATAATCATGCAATAAGATTCTTTTTAACCTATCACTAAAACTTTGTGTTTCAAAAACAAAAAATGTATTTTAAATACACTTTTGGTACTTAACGCGACGCAATTGCAGATAAATAGTACAGAACATACCTGATTTTTACGCCGACGTTTAGACGTGATGTGCACCGCGTCGTGGTCACAACAGGACTGAAATGAGCGGCGTCATTTTCTGGCAGCCCGCGCAATTTCTCCGGCCACCCTCACATTATCATTATTATTGTCTAATACTATTAATTTATTATAAGGCAGGCAGGCGGCCGGTCGTAAAATTATAAGACAAATCTTTTTATAATATGGATAAAACCATATTACGCGACCCCAAATTATTATTTGGATATTATTACTGGTAGATTATGACGACAAACTTCAGAGCAAAGCTATGGGATTTTATTCACCTGCCTAGAAGACATATTAGGAATCCTTAGAATCCAGCAGAAGAGTATGCATTGACGGATATAGAAAGGAGAAAGTATGACTCACCGACCGGGATAACTTGCTGAGTAGTTGAAGACCTTGGGTGCACCCTATGGCTTTGACTCCTTTTCCACACACCAACACTGGTTAGGTTCACAATTAGCAAGTAAAAGGCACGCGAATTTCCACAGATTTTCTAGTCTTTTTTCGCTTAGAGTATGAGCGACACAAGCTCAGGTACTAGCGACCGCCATAATGATATTTTTCGTTTAACATTCAAACACAGAGGTCGCCGGTCGGCGCGATAATTTGAATTGGAGTTGTTAATAAGTTAATGGGAATATATTAGTACGAATGGATAAAGAAATTAGGAAAGGATGTCGGAACAATTACCCTTATCCCGATTATTATCGGGATAAGGATAGGAAGATCATTAATTTATTATATTATTATCTATTATTGTTACATTTAAAATTAAGTGTATTTGAAAAATTCAACAAGGAAATATGAAGTAGCTGTAAGATTTTGTCGGATGTAAAAAATTACGGTGATCTAAACTATTGGTACGTTTAGTTCATCGTTGACATGTTAATATAGCGTTACGGAGAACACAGTTTTTCCTTTTTTTTTATTAGCGGTCCCCTCTGACTGTGACATATTAGTGACTGTTAGTTCCAGACATTAGTATTAATTTTAAGTATAAATAACAGCTTTCACTGTAACATTTCTGTTATATTTCTCATCTTACTAATATAATAAAATTGTAACTAGCTAATATTTGGACACGGGAGACATTTAAGAAAAATTAATATGAGGTGAACTTAATCGAGAGAGGTCGTGTAAGAGCAATAGATGGCAAACCAGAGGGAGACTTTGTACAAAAGTCGATTGCTTGGCTCTGTCCCATTCGTGTTTATACCGTGAAGCAGTTGTGTTTGCATGGCTGTGTTTCGGTTTGAAGGATGGGATATGGCGTGAATTTACAGGGTACAGAGGAATAACACCCGAGTCCTCAGGAATGGCAACGCATGGGGGGTATCATGGGCGAAACAGTTTACTCTGTTATGTCCATGGTACTGCTCGTGTCTATAGGCGACGGTTACCACTTTCCATCAGGTGGGCCGTCAGCTTGTTTGCCATTCTAAGTTGGATAAAAAAGATTTGTATTGTTGCCTGTCTTTCTGTATGTTTATTCCGGTATCGCGCGAAATCTACTGCATCAAATTGAATGTGGTTTTTACACGTGTGTACTTAAGAGTCTATTTTAAAATATAGTATATATTATACCTTGATACACCATTTATACGTGGTCTCATTCATTGAATTTCCTATTTATAAAACCCACGCGGCCAAAGTAAAGGGCAAAAGCTAGTGCAGTAATAAAAAATAACGGAACAGTAGAAGATATATTTTATATCTGTTGTGGCAACCCTAATTCCAGGCAGGGTCTTATAAAAGCCCGCATGCGAGGCGCCCGGGCGGCTAGAGGCGACGTACTCATATTCCTGGACGCTCACTGCGAAGCCAACACAGACTGGCTCCGACCTCTGCTGCAGAGGATCAGGCACAAGAGGGACGCCGTCCTCACGCCTCTCATCGATGTCATAGACCAGACCACCTTCCACCTGGACGCGGCGGAGTACTTCCAGGTGTCGTACCATTGCATGGAAGGCACGCATCAGATTGGCTCATGTTATGCATGAAGATGGAATGTAACGCATCAAAATTAACAAGTTTAAATACCAGCCACTCGAAATAAGGTACAGACGAATCTATTAAAAGAATCGCTTCGGTTAGCACTCCTGAGATAGAACAAGACAGTGCATGTTGCCGTCTCATTCTATCTCATGAACTCTCCAGCCATAACGTTTCTCTTAATAGATTCGTTTGCTACGGGGTGATAGGAACATGTGGTCTTTAACGTAGCCAGCGTTCACGGGCTGGACTGTTGCTTGCTAAGGCGGGCCGTATATTCGGTGCAACGCTCGAAGCCTGTAAACTAACTTAATGTTTTGAATAACATTTGAATGTTACATAATTGCATTATAAAGCGACTAACCACTAACTGAATAGGAAAACCTAATAATTGCATGAAGAGAATATCTAACGGTTAAATTAATTATAACATTGGATCGAATGAGGTTTTGTAGTTGTGGGTAATATAATATATAGCAATACCTATATATTTTACCTATAATATTTATATACTAGTCTAATAATAAATATGTTAGTCTGTTATTAAAAAAACATCTTTGGATTACAGATTTTTAACATATTTGAAAATAGATATTTGACCGATATGTGCGATATCAAAGTGGGTAATGAGCTTTTTCTCGCCATCAGTGTCCAGACGAACCCAATATAATTACCAGAGGGAGACTTTGTACAAAGGTCGATTGTTTGGGTACCTTTGTCCCATTCGTGTTTCAACCGTAAAGCAGTTGTGTTTGCATGGCTGTGTTTCGGTTTGAAGGGTGGGATACGGCGTGAATTTACTGGGTACGGAGGAATAACACCTGAGTCCTCAGGAATGGCAACGCATGGAGGAGTATCGTGGGCGAAACAGTATACTCTGTTATGTCCATGGTACCGCTCATGTCTATAGACGACGGTTACCACTTTCCATCAGGTGGATCGTCAGCTTGTTTGCCATTCTAAGTTGTATAAAAAAAAAATATCCGACCGATATGGGCAATATCGTAATGGGTGGTGACCTTTTTCCCGCTATCAATGTACAGAGGAACCCAATATATAGATATCGGATCGGTATCCATACTACCTAAGCCTAATGCTTTGATAATACCATATAAGAATTTGATTTTGAATTAAGAACTCCGTGTTTCCATGCCTGTTTATCCCATACCACTTGTATCCACTTGGTCCCAGCTTGTTGGTGTAAAGTGAGAACTAATAGGAGTGAATTATCCTTTAGACCGGCCCAGTCGAATTTAGAACCTGTGTACTTTTGTTTTTCCGTTTATTCAACCGTCTGCTACATTAACACTGTGAATAAAATGAGACATATAAGAAAGTTTACAATATTTTGAAGTTGTTCGTCATTGTCAGACACATGTCTGATGCGTTGGGTTCGGGCCAGCTCTACCATTATCCTAGTGGCATTTGCGGAGTGTCCACACTGTCAGTATTTGAACAATTGTAGTATGATTTTGAATCATTGTGGTATAATATGATTCATATGCTGGCTAATATATAAAAAAGAAGTAGGTTGGGTCGTTGTTTTTTTTTTATAATTTTATATTTTTTTTTTTTTTTATTATTTCAGCCGTTAACCGTCCATTGCTGGACATAAGCCTTCCCCGTAAGGGGGGTTTTGCTTAAAGTTGCCACGCTTGGCTTAGGATTTAGAGATTTTTTAAGAGGGACGCTGCTGCCCATCTCTCGCTCTCCCTTAGTCGATTCTTACGATACCCACGGGAAAGAAAGGGCTGGTCTATTCTATGCCGGGACCACACGGCGATTTTTTATAATTATAATACTTTAATTGTTTAAATTTAATACAAATTAATTTTGTACAATAATTGTGGGTCCTAGGTACCTTTATTGTAGAATTTATTTATTATTATTGCTCTCGGCAATAGGACCACCGCCTCGCTGTACTTATACAATTGTATCGTTATATTTATTAATTGTCTTGCTTATTCCCTTCCATCAATTTACCAAAGGGAGACTTTGTACAGAAGTCGTTTGCTTGAGCACCTATCTCCATTACGTGTAGTAGTATTTATTTATTTATTAAATACAAAAAAAATTACAACAGCGAGTACATTGGAGCCCGCACTAGGCGAACCTGTAACGCGGGAGTTCATAAGATTACCAAGACACGGTGATTTACAAATATAAATTAAATTAAAATACTAAGCCAGTTTTACGAAAACAAATTACATCGTTCTCTGTTATTAGGTGCTTCGTGAAGACATGCGCATAAAACGGAAAATTATATCAGTTATAATAATAATAATAATTATGTACTTTCAATATTACATAAATAAATACATACAATTAAATATACAAAAGACATACACTACTATATACGAATATCAATAAATGGTATCTAATATCAATTCTGTGGCATCGTAATCAAGATATTGTTAATATCCTTGTATCCTACACTCCTCGCAAAAATTAAGGGAACATAAAATCTGAAAACTAGAGTTTTCAAGCTTCAAAACCCTTTTTTTAAATTTTCTGTACGATTATTTTTCACTGAAATACAGCCTGTTGAAAATCACCCAAAAATTTCAAAAATTTTTATGTTCCCTTAATTTTTGCGAGGAGTGTATGTTTAGCTTCCGCATTTTTAAGACCATCCAGTTTGCAGAGATATTAAGTTTTTTTTATAAATAAATGGGCATGAATAATAAGTAGAAAGGTAACTTGTTGTAATGTCTCATTGTTGCTTTTCAATCAATTTTTTTTTTTAATTAATTTTGAAGGCGAACTTAGTGGCGCTTCTATCTAACGGGGGCGGTATATTGTACTAACATTTTGTGGCTTGATATCGGATTATTATGGGTTTTCTTTTTGCTATTTTCTAACATTCGATTCCGCGTTCTGGATTCAAATATTTTCAATGTGTATGTATGTGTGTATACGACACATCTCGTCGTTCGCCTGTGTATTGCTACAATACAATTGTGGTTACAGTTTGTTTGCAGTGCAAAATACGAGTATAACTGTGTAATTACCGTTCATGTTCGCATAGCATCGTGTACGGTGCACGTTGTGCATGCAACCGCGCCTAGTGTGCACCCAGTCACGCGTTCTACCAACGAACTTTTCTTTGATTATATAGATAGAGCATAGAGTCTTAAAAAAGAGCCACCTGCTTTTCAGCTAATTGTCAAATTAGCTGACTCGTTTTTTTTTATAAGTTTTTTTTTTTATACAACTTAGAATGACAAACAAGCTGACGGTCCACCTGATGGAAAGTGATAACCGTCGCCTATAGACATGACCAGTACCATGGACATAACAGAGTATACTGTTTCGCCAATGATACTCCCCATGCGTTGCCATTCCTGAGGACTCGGATGTTATTCCTCTGTACCCAGTAAATTCACGCCATATCCCACCCTTCAAACCGAAACACAGCTATTTTGCATAGCTTTATTTGGCATTGCAGGTGTTCATAGGCTACGGTAACCACTTTCCATCAGGTGGGCCGTATGCTTGTTTGCCACCTCAGTGATATAAAAAAAAATAATTCTTTTTTTTATATCACTGAGGTGGTATTTTGATTAGTTGCCATTCCTGAGGGCTCAAGTGTTATTCCTTTGTGCCCTGTAAATTCACTCCATTCTTCAAACCGAAACACAGCCATGCAAACACAACTGCTTCACGTTTGAAACACGAATGGGACAGAGGTACCCAAGCAATTGACTTTTGTACAAAGTCACCCTCTGGTAAATGTTCTATATACTTACGCACACAATGTATCTTGACGTATCTATATTTAATTATTTAATAAATAAATTGTGTTGTTACGTATTAAAAAGATGCAGAATTTATAAGACAAAATAAATATTGGAGTTATAAAGGGATCACTCGTAACTATTTATCACGCAAAATTGCATGAAAAAGTTGAGCCGTTTTTCTCGAAGCATTTGTATGGAGACACAGTATCTATATAATCTAGTAGTAATAATAAATTATATTACATACAGGATGGCTTAGGCCAGACTGAGGCTTTGTACGAAAGACGGAGTGGCAACACATGAGCTTCGCAGTATACTCTGTTATGTCCACGGTACTGTTCATGTCTATAGGCGACGGTTACCACTTTCCATCAGGTGGGCCGTCAGCTTGTTTTCCATTCTAATTGTCATAAGTTAAATTGTTTTTTACAAAGTGATGGAAATTGGAATTTATGGAAAATGAAATGGTATCCCCGCCTGCGCTATCGGTATACGCTAGCGGGTCACCAGTGAGGGATGATAGGTGAGGGTGAAAGCATAATATTGGCCCATAGTGACGAATTCGTCAGGAATTTACCACAGTGGTTTCCAGGGACAACCCGCGTGGTGGTCGACTTGATAGTACCTTAATTTGTTAGTAATAGTGCATAGGAATTGACTATAGGTTCATAGAATTGCTCTACATAGGCCTCCCCCATAACAGATGTTTTGACAGTAGTTGCCACGTATGGAAGCCGGATTGGCAACCGCATTTAGGTCTTTTTTATGTCCATTCTTCGATCATTAAGCTACCTAAGTCACCTCTTACGAAAGGGATTGTTAGCAATGGGGTCTAATGAACCCATTGCTAGCAATACACCTTATCGGGTCGACCTCCACGTGGTTCCCCCTGGAAACCATCGTGAACAATTCTTGTTGAATTCGTCACGGTGGGCTAACTGACCTGCTTCATCCTCACCTATCATCCCTCACTGGTGCCCCGCCGGTGTATAACGATGGCGCGGGCGGGGTTACCATTCCATTATCACCCATTAAAAAAAAAGTCGCCTCTTACGACACCCACGAGTAAGCAAGGGGAGGCCGTCCTATGCCGGGACCACGCGGCCAGTAATTTTAATTTATAAATAATCATTAACAGATAGTAATTTGTAAATTGTACTAACATATGTAGTAATGGTTTGGGAATTAGTTTAGTTGTAGTTTTAAATGCTTTTTCTTTAAAGAAAATTAAAAAAGTACCTCAGATGTCGGGAATCTGTAAATTATCGGTTTTTTATGGTCCTTCAAAAATTTTCCAGTTATTAAATGATTACAAAAAAAAAAAAATATTTTCACTTCACTTGTCTTTTTTACCCGTTCTGAACCGATTGTAATGATTCTTTTTGGAAATGATAAACAATATAGTAATGGGTACTAAACTCTCCATTACTGACAATCTTAACCCTCAAGTTTAGCATTGTTTTAATGAATGACAAGCGAATGGTAACCCTTCGCTAACGGTATACGCTGGCGGGGCTCCAGTGACGGATGACAGCAGGTCAGTTAGTCCATCGTGATGAATACACCAGAAATTCAGCACGATGCTGCTAGCTACGGGATTGACAGTCCGCATTACTAACAATCCCTTATAAGTTCAGCATTAAGAGTGATTGGCATACCACGACGCTGGTTTTCATCTTTCACTCCCATCTTTGATTACGAAACGTTTAGTGTTGCTGGGCGAGGCTTCTCCTTTACTTACTGTTGGCTTTCTTACTGTCGGCTTGGATTTTCATCATCAAGATTTATATCTTATGAAATAAACTAGTTTCCCTTGTGTCCAGGTGGGTGGGTTTACGTTCATGGGCCACTTCACGTGGATCGATGTGCCCGAACGCGAGAAGAAGAGGCGAGGCTCCGACATATCGCCCACTTGGTACGTACCGCTATACTGGTTTTTTTAAATTTTTTTTTTACAACTTAGAATGGCAAACAAGCTGACGGCCCACCTGATGGAAAGTGGTAACCGTCGCCTATAGACATGAGCAGTACCATGGACATAACAGAGTATACTGTTTCGCCCATGATACCCCCATTCGTTGCCATTCCTGAGGACTCAGGTGTTATTCCTCTGTACCCTGTAAATTCACGCCAATGTTCAGCAGTGCACAGTTATGACGGCTGATACAGCAACAAGTTTCCGTCGGTAGGTCGCCGACGATGGCCGGCGGGCTGTTCGCTATCAACCGCGCGTACTACTGGGAGCTGGGCGCGTACGACGAGCAGATGGCCGGCTGGGGCGGGGAGAACCTGGAGATATCCTTCAGGATATGGCAGTGTACGCCCACATTCATTTATAGCTAACATATATATAGTATTTATTTCTTTCTTTATTTATTTACAAGAAACATGGTAAGTGTATAGATGTTACAATAAGTATAAGTCCTCATATTTCGCCATAATTAGGCGTGCTAATATTAAAGCTTAAAAAGAATAAATGTTATTTAAATGAGTCATTAAAATACGTAATTTTATATTAAAAAAAAACCTTAAAAAATGTCGTACACTTGTCAACAATAAAAAAAAGAAAGATAGAATATAGCAGTATATATAGTAAATTATCTATACTTATAATAAATCTGTAGAGAGGTCAATTCTGTACATGAAATATATTTCCAAAATAACTATCAGCGGGTGATTAGTGATCGATACTGATGCCAAAAATGCAATCAGTAAAATTTTTGTCTGTCTGTATGTTCGTTATAGAAACAAAAACTACTCGATGGATTTTAACGAAACTTGGTACAATTATTCTTCATACTCCTGGCCAGGTTATAGTATACTTTTCATCACGCTACGATCAATAGGAGCAGAGCAGTGAAGGGAAATGTTAAAAATGGCCACCCGTGCGACGCCGGGACGGGCCGCTAGTGCAGTATATATTTAAATTTTATTTAAAGCTGTTTAAGTGTAATCGAGTAACAAATACACAAATATCCTTACAAACTTTTAACATTTGCAATACTAGCTATATCCAGCGATTTTGTCCACGTGAATTAGTATACCAACTAACCTGTGTTAAGTTAGTATATAACCTACCTGTTATTAAGGATGGATAGTATATAGTAATATATATATATATTGTAGTTACAGTATCTATATATTGACACGAAGAACTCAATCGAAATGAGCCTTTTTTTTATGCAACTTAGAATTGCAAACAAGCTGACGGCCCACCTGATGGAACATAGTAACCGTCGCCTATAGACATGAGCAGTACCATGCACATAACAGAGTATACTGTTTCGCCCATGATACGCCCCATGCGTTGCCATTCCTGAGGACTCAGGTGTTATTCCTCTGTACCTTGTAAATTCACGCCATATTGCACCCTTCAAACCGAAACACAGCCATGCAAACACAACTGTACAAAGTCTTTTTTACCATTAATATTCATTATTAAACCCATGCCTGTCTGTTGTGTATATTGTACATTTCCAAATAATTAAATTTCATTCGAATCTGTTTAGTTGTTTTTAACTCTGCCTACGCTGTCGGTATACACTGGCGGGGCACCAGTGAGGGATGATAGGTGAGGATGAAGCAGGTCAGTTAGCCCACCGTGACGAATCTAACAATACATCAATTACGATGGTTTCCAGAAGGAACCACGAGGATGTCGACCTGACAGGGTGTATTGCTAGCATGGGGTTACTAATCCCCATTACTAACAATCCCTTCTCCCCCCCTCTGTTTAGTAGTTATACATGCAATGCAACTTTTGTTTTTAACAGCGTTCAAGTGTTACGTTATTAAATTTTGGTTTATTTTGTAAAATGCTACGAGTGGGAGGGAGGTTCGTAAAATGCGTTTTAAATTGGAAAAAAAAAACTAGGGAATTAAAACCTCTCAAGTTGGCAACTCTCCCTCCCATAAACTCCTCTTCCTCCTCCTCCACTTCCCATAAACTTTTAGTTTATGTCATTTATATTTTTATTTTTAATGGGTGATTATGGTATGGTAACCCCGCCTGCGCTAACGGTATACGCTGGCGGAGCACCAGTGAGAGATGATAGGTGAGGATGAAAAGGCAGGTTAGTTAGCCCATCGTGATGAATGCACTTGGAATTCAGCACTATGGTTTCCAGGGGGGACCACGTGGAAGTCGACCTGGTTGGATATATTGCTAGCAATGGGGTTCTTAGTCTCCATTATTATCAATCCCTACCCCCTTATTGTTGTGACTTTTGGTGATCACTTGGGTGTTACGTATTGTCTAGAGAGGGAGAGAGATGGGGAGAGGGAGGTACAAAAATCTTCAAATATTGCGTCACGTAATACTAGAACGTGCCGTTTATCAGTCTGACTATAGTGCGAGTTCCATACGAAGGTCGTCGATCGTTGCGCAGGCGGCGGCACGCTGGAGACGGTGCCGTGCTCGCGCGTGGGCCACGTGTTCCGCAGCTTCCACCCGTACGGGCTGCCCGCGCACTCCGACACGCACGGTACCACCGCCAACAAATACATTCTTAGTGGGGGGGCCGAGGTGAGGTAGTCGGCCGAAACATTGGCTAAATGTAACAATATCAACAAAAAATCATTGTCATTATATATTTTAATATTTTATTTAACTGTATATTTGTTTATGTATTCTAAATATTAATAGTTGTATCACTCCAGCTGCCCGCTGACGACACGCTTCCCAACTGTATCGGGTTGACTGGAAGAGATCTCTGTCAGAGACAAGTCCACCCTCGCTCACAACATTTATAAATGTATTAACAATGTAATTTACAAATGCAAAAAAGAATATATATTTTTTTAATAGTTACAATAACTATATTTTGACCCAATAATGTTTTTTTTTATACAACTTAGAATGGCAAACAAGCTGAAGGCCCACCTGTCGCCGTCGCCTATAGACATGAGCAGTATCATAGACATAACAGAGTATACTGTTTCGCCCATGATACCTCCCATGCGTTGCCATTCCCGAGGACTCAGGTGTTATTCCTGTGTACCCAGTAAATTCACTGCCCTTCAAACCGAAACACAGCCATGCAAACACAACTGCTTCACGGTAGAGAAATTAATGTGTTTATTAAATATCTGTTAAATATCCATATATATATAGGCGTCATAGTATAATATCACCTTTAGTATAACAATTGGTACAGGCATAAACACGGCGCGCATGGCGGAGGTGTGGATGGACGAGTACGCAGAGTTGTTCTACTTGCATCGGCCCGACCTCCGGGTGAGTACTTCCTATTGGATTTTTACTTCAATGCATGATTTTAGAACATTTTCACCACCTTACAAGGGAAGGGATTGTTAGTAATGGTGACTAAGAATCCCATTGCTAGCAATATACCCAACCAGGTCGACCTCCTCGCGGTTCCCCCTGAAAACTATCATGGTTAATTCCTGATGAATTCATCATGTCGGGCTAACTGGTCTGTTTTCATTCTCATCTATCACCCTTCACTGGTGCTCCGCCAGCGTATCCCGTTAGCGCAGGCGGGGTTACCATACCATTATCATACATTAAAAAAAAAGTTATTTTGATTGAAAAACTAAATTACTGAATCGATTTTGATAAAACTTCTATCACAATTGACGGAGTTATGAGGAAACAAGTATAAATAAATACACATGCCGAATTGACAACCTCCTTTTTTTTTAAGTAGGTTGTCTTAAATAGTTGTGAGTAGCGATTTTATTATTGTAGAAAAATCCTAAAATCGGCGACGTGACGCACCGGCGGGTGCTGCGCGAGAAGCTGCACTGCAAGAGCTTCCAGTGGTACCTGGACAACGTGTACCCGGACAAGTTCGTGCCCGTCGCACACGTCCACGGATACGGCAGGTACTAATGATCAGAGGGCCTACCATGTCGTGTTTTCCGAAATTTCGGAGCCAAACGAAACACAAATTTGATGTTAAAATTACATAATACATGCCGTTTGGAAATATTAAAAATGTTAAAATATTGTTCCTTTGGACTTTTATGATAGGATGTATGACGGACGAAACGTTAAACTCCATTTATTGGTCCGATTTTGGTATAAACAAAAACACGAAATTGAGTCCGAAATTTCGGAATTTCATTTCATGGTAGACCCGCAGTTCATACAACGTAATACGTACAACGGTAAACATTACTGGAAGGTTGTGCTTTACTGAAGACAGTCAAGTCTCTAGTAGCGACCTCCTTACAAACTACCTGGTAGAGAGTAGTTAGAAAGGTACGTATTTATATTATGGACCAACGGCAAATACACTGACGGCTAACTTGATGGAAAGTGGTAACCGTCGCCTATAGACATGAGCAGTATCATGGGCATAACATAAATGAATTGAAGTAAGTTTTTATTCAAGTAACCAGACAGTTGTGAACAGTTACGATGAGTGGCTGATGGGCGATGATTGAGAGCCGGCGGTTGCAGGTTCTCGAACCCGGGCAGCGGCCTGTGCCTGGACACGCTGCAGCGCGAGGCCGGGTCGCCGCTGGGCGTGTACCCGTGCCACGCGCGCCTGCACGCCACGCAGTACCTCGCGCTGTCGCTGGCCGGCCAGCTGCGCACCGAGGAGGACTGCGCCGAGCTGCAGTACGCCAGGTGAGGCTGCACACCTGCACACCCGCCCACCACCACTCACGTGACACACATTCACATATACCTCACAACACCCACGTTCGTATAACACGTGCCCCCACCCCAAATAACAGACTCCCACCGCGCCCCCTACACTCTGTCTTTATAAAACACACATTCACCAACATTTCACACCTATATAAAACGCACCTTGATCCACCTCACACCGCACACGGTAAAACTCTCTTGTCCATTCCACTTCACTTATTTAACACTCACCCTCGGCTACCCCATATCCTTATTACCCACATAACATAATCCAATTCTCCCCACCCCTCCCAATCACATAACATTTTTATAAATGGATATCTTTCTTTAATAAAAATAATCTTAATTTTTATACAGAGAGGAAGATGTGAACGAGGTCGGGCGGCGCGTGCTAATGGTCAACTGCCACGGCAAGCAGCGCGGGCAGGTACGTGTATGAAGTACTTGTCATTCCTTCACGTTTACTTGTTCACGACTCAAATCGCTTTTGAATGATCCAAATCGATTCAAATATCGCCTCGTGATGTACTGTTATTAGAAATGGAAGTACCTGCCGAGCGGGCAGCTGCAGCACGAGGAGTCGCAGCTGTGCCTGGCGGCGGGCCGCGAGGCGGGCGACGACGCCCGCGCGAGGCCGTGCGGGCCCGCGCCCGACCAGCGCTGGCGCATCGACTACAGCCGCGACAACGACTTCCGCGCCGAGGGTCAGTGGCCCTGCACGCCCACTCACTCACTCACTCACCTACTGACCATCTCAATGACTCACCGACTGACCGACTGACCGACCGACTAACTAGGTCAGTGAGTTAGTTACTAACCGACGTGAGATTCCAATATGTTATCCAAATTTCCCTGAGAGATAAGCAGAAAACCGAGTATCTAAAGTCCTCTATCCCTATGTACACCTCTTGCTCGACTTAATCGACATTTTTTATTAGTTTACTGCCTAATTCGGAAAGCAGTTTCAGTCAAGAAGAATGGTCAAGAAACTTAACCATCATACTTTATCCAGTATCCTTCCTTCCGTGGTATTTGTTTTAGGTATACGTTATATGTTTGCAGGTGAGGATGAGCCGAGCGAGCAGGAGCAACGACTGCGGAAGCTGCGCGGACAACGGTAAGTGACATACGTACAGATATACTGTATTACTCGGTTCGGACTCGGGCTCGGGCAATCAATATACTCCGGCAGGGCTTTAGCTAAATCCATGTTTAAGGTAGGGCAAAAGAACTTTTTAGTAGAGCAGAATCCATAATTAAGTGACTTCGAAAAAGCGAATCTAATTCTAATTTTATTGAGGCCTTTGATTTTAAAAGTATTGCCCCTCAATGCCCACTCCCCCCTCTATAGCTACGGCCATATACCCCGGTCACGAGACTAAGTCTCGAGTATAAACTACTAAGCTAATAAGTCTTAAACCGCCGCGATGAATACTTTCTCCGCAGCCGAATCTCTCGCTCACTGCTGTCGACGGACGAGACCGATACCGACGAAAATGACATTGTGCATACTTCGCACCCGACTCCCAGACGCCACTCGTACCGCGTACGCAAGCGGCCTCACAAGCACCGCCGTACCAAGAACAAGTTCATAGTGAAGTTGCTGCGTACCCTCATGAACGGCACGGAGGAGCATCTAGAGCTGGACATACACTGCAAGCACAAGAAGCTGTACCCCAATAACAGCTTCGTGAGGGACCTGGTCAGCATACTTAACGAGAGGAACATCAAGGTACAGTACAGTCTTGAGATGAACATAACGAATAACCTTAGAATTCGTTGAAACAGTACAGTTACCTACTCTATTTGAAATTAATTACAAATCGAAACATTCAACCAATGAAGATTTCTTACTTGAATCCGTAACCGTCCGAAGTCACAGCGCCGGGGTCGTCAATAACTGACCACTCGTATTATCACGGCAGGTGATCAACAACGGGCGCGTGTTCGAGCGGAACAAGGTGATGGAACTGTCTCGCGGCCACAGCCGGCTGCAGCACACTCAGGTAGCGTTCAAGTCCACTTCTATTGGGTCATCTAGTCCAAAAATAAGTAGATCTTGGACTATGGCCGCTAGATGACTCGTCTGCGTCATCAGTATACGCTGGCGGGGCACCAGTGAGAGATGATAAGTGAGGATGCAATAACAGGCCAGTTAGCCCATCGTGATAAATACACCTGGAATTCAGCACGATGGTTTCCAGGGGGGAGCACGTGGAGATCGACCTGCCAGGGTATATTGCTAGTAGTCCACAGTACTAATCTTCCCCGTCCCTTCCTGATGAGGGATGATAGGGGAGGATTAAAGAGGGTCAGTCGTCTCGTCGTGACCAATACACCGGGAATTAAAAACGGTATTTGATTACAAAGTGAATTATGTACAATAAAGATTTTACAATACAATATTTTCGGGGGAGGGGGGGAGCGTAGTGGTCGATTTGGCTGTATTTATTGATACCAATAAGATTGCTAAACCATTTCTAATAATTCTATGGTTATTTGAACAGAATTTATTTTGTACAAATTTCGTTCCAGTACCAGTAACACCAAAACTCTAAACTGCGAGTCTCCGAGCGGAGACTTATTGTCTGAAGATGCCTCGTTTAGAAGGGAAACGTGTATAGCAAAACGTGCGTGGATGAAATGGCAGTCGAAAACTGATGGCTAATATGGAAGTTTGTGGAACTTCTGATAGTAATATTGGTGGTTCGAGTGTTGGCAGTCGCACACATACTGATGGTAGCGGAATTAAACGAAATAATTCTAACCAAATAACCAGTGATATGGACTATCGCGAGATAACACCTACAGTACACACTACAGTACAGTACAGTATAATATTTATATGTTCAGGGCGAGACCGAATGGCCTCCAAAGAAGCGCAAGCGCGGAAGGTCTGAGCTGCGGACGTCGAGCGCGGCGACGGCGGCGCCCCCTGCCGACAAGCGGATCATCATCGAGGATTTCGTCGAGCTCACCACCGCCACCGCGCCCGCCACCAAGGTACACTTTATAGTTTTTTTTTATACAACTTAGAATGGCAAACAAGCTGACGGCCCACCTGATGGAAAGTGGTAACCGTCGCCTATAGACGTGAGCAGTACCATGGAGCTTTATGTATTTTTTTTTATCATTTATGTTATCTCGCTTTTTTTTTTGTGTATGTATGTTGTAATTTGTGTGCTGTAAGTAAGTAATGCAAATAAATTATCTATCTATCTATCTATCTGTCTGTCGATGGCGAGCTCGTGTGATGATACAGGCTGACTGTGGGCGTCGTTTATTATTATTATTTTTTTTAATTAAAAAATAATATTTCAGCGGCCGACGAAGAAGCACAAACGCAAACGCTTGCGATCGTCCGCGCCCACGACGGCCGCCCCCTCCCCCTCCCCCTCCCCCCGCCGCCGTCGCCCGCCACGCGCGCGGCACGAGCTGGTGGCGGTGTTCGGTGACATCAGGAACGACCACACACACAGCGGGTGAGGCCAGCGTGCACGGGAATGAATGACAGCGTCGCAATTAGCTGCCAATTTTCAAAAACAATTGAACCCTTTCCAATGTTTTAATGTAATACTACCGACTTAGCCGCTCATGATTAAGGATCACGAATTGATCCCGAAACTAGTCGAGCTTTCTCGATTTAATTACAGGTAAATTAAACCGGTACTTATTACATTAAAATATAATAAAATAGCACACAAACTTTTAACAATAAAATATTAAAATTTTCCTGAGTGATTATTTAAAAAAATGCTCCGCTAGCGAACTAAACTTTAATAATAAATGTTATATACAGGGTGGAAGGGGCAGGTTGGCTAAACGAAAACAGCTGATTCAGATGAATGTTCTGAATCAGACGGCATATTATTTTCCCGCCGGAAATGCACCGCAGCCGTATAGTTGACGATTGTCAGTGTTGACGCCGCGCAATGTATTTGCAACTGTACGATCCACACGACGCGCGATACCTACAGCGCGCGCGCAGTCAACGCTGCTTCTTCGTACGTAGTTTGCGTACGCTTGTGGCGTTGACCTTATATACAGCTGATTCCGCGCGTCGCGATAGGACTTTTTGATATTTCATAGTATTTATTATGAATGTATTATAAGGTACGTGGTGTTTCTTCGTAGGTGTTTTCCGAAGGTGTTTTCCGTACGCTTGTGGCGTTGATCGTACACGGCTGATGTCGCGCGTCGCGGTAGAATTTTAATACGTATATTACATTGCTGCTTTTTGGTATTTAATAGTGTTTCACTGTAAAATACTATTATTTCTTTATATTATGACATAATATCATAGATTATATGATTTTAAATGAAATAAACAACAACAAAAATTGAAATTCTCCGGAAAGAATTCCCACTGGTGTTCAGTTCACAATAATGGTCTGAATTCACCGTTCCAGTTTTTGCCAACCTGTCCCTCACACCCTGTATATATATATATATATATACTATGGTATTATTGTTTTAAAGTATAAATCCGCCATTGTTTAGTAGATCTTTTAAATGTCTCCAATGTGTGTACAACAAATAATTTATAATTCTGTATTTTCTATTGTATTTTGTATATTGCTAGCAATGGGGCTAATAGTCCCCAATACTGACGATTCCCTCCCTCCGTAGAGTGTCCTCGGACGTGGAGTCCATGAAAGCGGAGCCACGGTCGTGGTCGACGGAAGACGTGCCGATGGCGAGCGGCTCGGACAGGGAGAGTGAGAGAGACGCAGCTAGCGCGCGGCGCGGCGGCGAGCGAGGCGGCGAGCGAGGCGGCGAGCGAGGCGGCGGCCGCCAGCACGCGCCGCGCGGTGAGGCGGCCACGCTGCTCCACTTAACTCTCATAGACCATTATTAATTTTACAATCCTTACTATTTTTTTTTATACAACTTAGAATGGCAAACAAGATAAGGTATATTGATAGCAATGGGTTCATTAAACCCCATTACTAACAATCCCTTTCCCCCTACACGCCAGGATTGTGGTCCTTCTACGAATATCAAGCACGTAAACAAATAATAACAAAATTGGTCCGATAAAGGAATACGGTAATATAGAGAGGATGAAGGAATGGAAGAAAATGGAAGGAAAGATTGAAAGGCAAAATGTGTTGATAAATAAAACAGATAAACAACCGGGAAATTAATATCCGGACAAAAGCTGTACACTCCGAAGGGGGGCTTATAAAAAAAAATACATATTTGAATACAGGAGAGTCTCGGTTCCCTCGCAACAACAGCCGCGCCCCCTACACGCGGCGCTCTGAGCGCGGACATGCTCGCGAGCATGCTCGGCCGCGTGTTCACACCGACAGCGAGGGAAATGAAAACGAGGCGAGTTACACAAATGTTATATAAGTGTAGATGTCGCATCGTAGGGAAAGATATTTCTTTGTATGCAACTTAGAATGGCAAACGAACCGACGGTCCACCTGATGGAAAGTGATAACCGTCGCCTATACACATGAGCAGGATGGACATAACAGAGTATACTGTTTCGTCCATGATACCCCCCCCCCCCCATGCGTTGCCATTCCTGAGGACTCAGGTGTTATTCCTCTGAACCTTGTAAATTCACTGTCATATCCCACCCTTTAAATCGAAACACAGCCATGCAAACACAACTGCTTCACGGTAGAAACACGAATAGGACAGAGGTGGACAAGCAAACGACTTTTGTACAAAGTCTCCCTCTGGTGAAATATTTGAAACTTTCACGTGTTTTCACATATTTTAAATACACGATCGCGACTTAACGCCACATATTTTATCAATATCAAAATTTTCAATTTGTGCCTCCAGTCAAACTGTTTATAATTACTCCTCTCCATCCAAAGGTTGCCTGCGAGAGATCGCTCTTAGCGTTAAGGCCGCCCATTGTTTCCTCACTGTGATTATTTCTTGTAATTGTTTGTATCTATAATAAGTTTACTATTGTAATCTTATGGAGGAAACAATAAAGAGTATCTATCTATCTAAAATAAGCAATATATATTATATATATATACAGTCGGATGACGGCGACACTCGCACGCACTCGCTCGCCGAGCATGCTGGCGAGCACGCGCGGCCGCCGCCGGTCAAGGTGGTGATGCGAAGCAACCTCACCTTCAACCTGGACGACGAGTTCTTCGCGTTGCGTCGACAGGCGCGCGAAGATGTCGCGTGAGTCACGACGCTTACGCCTCCGTTTGAGAACAAGCTTTTGTAATGTAATCCGCCATTTTTGTGGCTGCGCCCATGTTCAAATCAGTTTATTAAATGTTAGTTTATCGTTACTTACGCTTGAAGCTCTTTCAGTTGATATCAGTAACCCTGTTGATACAGTGTTGAATAATATGCACACTGTCCGCCATCTTGTGATGGCGGCCATTTTGAAAATATTACAATATTAGCCTGGAATTACCCCTTTTTTTATACCACCGAGGTGGCAAACAAGTATACAGCTCACCTGATTGTAAGCGGTTACCGTAGCCTATGAACGCCTGCATTAGCAGGGTATTACGCGCGTATTAGAAAAAGGCAATTTATTATTTATAATATATATATAAAATGATATGTGGGGTACTACGTAATACTAACTTTACATATATGTATATAATATATTCTTAATAATATAAAGGTTGTAAGCCTCTAAAAATCTAGTAAATAAAGCACAAGTTCATTTAGTCTAGATATCATACTATTAAATCATATATTTACTTATTTCACTTTATATTTGATATATAACAAATAATATAACGTAAATACCCAACTTCTGTTAGTCCATTGACACTTATTTAAATATAGCTTCTTTAGGACTTCCATCAACAATAATTGTGATATATTTTATATAATGACCACTTGGTTCACTATACTTGTTCACTCTTGATACGTCAGGGAGCTCCGCTCTGTTCAACGGTTGGACAAGAAGTGTTGCCTCCCAACCCAAGTAACAGTCTTTTATATCTACAGGGCCGAATTCGAGTGAACAAGTCAGCGAGACCACGTGTTCTTACAATTTCATTACTTTTTAAGTATCATAATAATATATATATATATATATATATATATATATATATATATATATATATATATATATACAAAATTTGGTATAATAACAATTTTAACGTTATATTATATTTGAAGTAGTTAGTCTGATTTTTATTAATAGATGTAGGTACACATTTTAACACAAGATGTGTAAGAAAATTAATATAATTTAAAATAAATATCTAACACGCGCGTTGTTAACCCTGATGAAATATCTTTACCCCCCCTTTTGAAGAACCCCCTGCTTTAGTCTCTTCGTAACACCTCGACAGGGAGCTTATTCCATAATCTGAGCGTTCGTAGGAGAACACATTTCAGAAACCGCGCACTTGAAAATTGATAATAGATATGACAAGGTCTTAGAATATATAGATAGAGAGTCGAGCTTCAAAAACGGCTCAACTGTTTGTCAGCTAATTGTCACATTATCTGACTCGTTTTGTTGTATCAGTGTTCTATATACTTACGTACACAATGTATCTTGACGTGTCTATATTTAATTATTTAATAAATAAAATAAGTGTTTACGCATTAAAAAGATGCAGAATTTATGAGACAAAATAAATATAGAAGTTATAAAGGGATCACTCGTAACAATTTATTACTGTAAAATTGTATGAAAAAGTTGAGCCGTTTTTCTCGAAGCATTTGTATGGAGACTGTCTATATAATATAAGGACACGGTATATTGTATTAATGTGCACTGGCATCCCTAACTACTTATAATCGCCTCTCCCTTTACTCAACGTGACTGTATCACGTTTCAGTGACATCATCGGCGAACTGGCAATACCTAGCAACGCCTCCCGTGGCGCCCCACTCGTGCAGACGAGACTTGAACCGCGCGATGACACGATACAAGACCGGGGTAACACACACCAAGGGAGGGGTAACTCACACCAAGGGAGGGGCAACTCACACCAAGAGAGGGGTAACTCACACCTAGAGAGGGGTAACTCACATCTAGAGAGGGGTAACTCACACCAAGAGAGGGGTAACTTACACCAAGAACAGGATAACTCGTTTCAAGAGCAGGATAAAACAAAAGACGAGCGAAATGACGCGGTCAGCAGCGGCGATGGTGTGTTACAGTCCAGTGACGAGACCTACAGTGCGTCGGACGACAGTGAGAGTGACTAGTGAGCTGAGGGAAATAGTGTCGTAACGACAGTGCGATTAGGTTGATAATGCGACGGACGCGTTATGGCGGCAGAAATCAGAATCGCCAGTATTGTTTGAAGGCAGCGTTCTACGAGCGAAACGGTACATTTTCACCAAAGGAAAATTAATTGAAGAACGAAAAATAATTTAGTGTTTTTCATACTAACTATATAGTTTTTTTTAATGGTAACAGTGTAACCCCTGCGCTATCGGTATACACCGGCGGGGCACCAATGAGGGATGATAGGTGAGAATGAAGCAGGTCAGTTAGCCCATCGTAGTGAATACACCTGGAATTCAGCACGATGGTTTCCAGGGGCTACGTGGAAGTCAAACTGACAGAGTATATTGCTAGCAATGGGATTGGTGGTCCATATTACTAACAATACCTCCCCGGGGGGAAAGGGATTGTTAGTAATGGAGACTAAAAATCCCATTGCTAGCAATATACCCAACCAGGTCGACCTCCTCGCGGTTCCCCCTGGAAACTATCATGGTGAATTCCTGATGAATTCATCATGATGGGCTAACTGGCCTGTTTTCATTCTCATCTATCACCCTTCACTGGTGCTTCGCCAGAATATCCCGTTAGCGCAGGCGGGGCTACCATACCATTTTCATCCACCAAAAAAAAATACCTCCCCCCCCTCCCCAATTGATGTTTGTGTTACTACTAAAGTGGTCTAAACTCCTGTTGACTAAACATCCCTTCCTCCTAACTTGATAGTTTCACTCACCGTGTATGGGAGACTCAAATTTTTTTGACATTTATCGAGGCGCGTTTCTTTGGTGAAAATGTTCAGTTTCCCCGATAGAGGGCTCCCTTCAAAGGATGCTATTTCGGCTTTATCCTGTTGATGTTTTATCCATTCATTTTGTGACTTGGTTAAATCATAGAGGGAGACTTTGTACAAAAGTCGATTGCTTGGGTACCTCTGTGCCTTTCGTGTTTCAACCGTGAAGCAGTTGTGTTTGCATGGCTGTGTTTCGGTTTGAAGGGTGGGATATGGCGTGAATTTACAGGGTACAGAGGAATAACACCTGAGTCATCAAGAATGGCAACGCATGGGGGGTATCATGGGCGAAACAGAACTCTGTTATGTCCATGGTACTGCTCATGTCTATAGGCGACTATTACCACTTTCCATCAGGTGGGCCATCAGCTTGTTTGCCATTCATGTTGTATAAAAAAATCAAATGTTTTGATCAATTTATTAAACATATCATTTGATCATTCGACGCAGAAAAAAATGGTCAAGTGCGAGTTGCACTCACACATCGAGGTTTCTGTACATGGATTCTTGCATTATACTAAATAGAGACTTAATACAATAAAAACTAGACCGCATATGTAAGTTTGTTTTTGGAAGTTTTTTTGATAATGTCTCAAAAAGTGTGCTAGTTTGCAAACATCGTTTTATTTCTCCTGTAATATTCATAAATTGTTTTACAAACTGTAATTTTGTATAATGCAGTATGTGTGGGCCAACAGTATGTAAAATTGTTTCAAATTTCAAATCGTTAACATTGTTAGTTGCTGAGGTATCTGTCCCAACAGAAGGACGAACGGACAAAGTCGTATCATAATTCCCTTTCCCTTCCGACAAAAGGCCTGGTGGCTGTAGCTGCAGGTTTTCCTAGTTCAGCCCTCAGTCTACACAATACATACACTGTGTATTTTTAAGTAAATAGTTTGTTCATACAGTATCGTGGAATTTTTTTTTATACCACTGTGGTGGCAAACAAGCATACGGCCTACCTGATGGTAAGCGGTTACTGTAGCCTATGAACACCTGCAATACCAGAGGTATTACGCGCGCGTTGCCGACCCTGAAGAAACCTCTTTACCGCCCCCTTTGAAGAACCCCATGCTGTAGTCTCTTGGGAAAACCATTTGAATTTGAATAATTCATTGAATTCAGACACTAGAATATAACTCAATATCAGCCAAAGTGATATTTAATATATTTTGCCATTCCAGCACCTTTTTTTATACCACTGAAGTGGCAAACAAGCATACGGCCCACCTGATGGTAAGCTGTTACCGTAGCCCTTTTATTATGTCTATATATAAATGTTTAACGAGAAATTTTACTATGTTATCTCTCTTGTCAGATATATAAATAATATTATATATATATATATATATATGTGTGTGTGTGTGCGTGTGTGTGTGTGCGTGCGTGCGTGCGTGTGTGTGTGTATGCGTGTGTGCGTGTGTATCACTAGTACAATACGCATCCTACAGTGTCTTGGTGCTCAATAAATAAGTGTACTTAACTATGTACTATACGCATATAGAAATAAGATATGTTTTTGTTTGTATTTAGTTATAAAGGATCTACTAAGCAGAACTATACTTATGTTCTCTTTTAATACAGTATTGTGCAGTGCGAGTTGTAGAAACTAGTGTTAACTCACGGGTTCGCCCGCGTTAATTGGAATGAAATTATTGCATATAGATGTTGTAGACCAGGGGTGGCTCGACTTACTTGACTACCAACATACATACATACTTCTTGAAATCACAGATGAAACAACATAGTTCAGTACACAACTGTGTAGTATTGTAGTATTTGTTATTTCATTACGAGGAAAAACAAAACTGAAACTGATTCTTAGCAACTACTTATTTATATTGGTGCGAGCGTTGCGTCCGAGCATCTTCCGCTGGATTAGCAATATATTATATTGTTTGCCTTGCCACCATCCACTAATAGTCGACTAATAGTCGCGATCGACTGGTTGGCCACCCCTGTTGTAGGCTATTGGCACTTTGTAGAGTTTGGAGTTATTTTTTAAATTTTTTTTGCATAACGCTCATGTGATGTAATACCATATCTTAAATAGTATTCTATTGGTAGCTATGTACATTTAGGCCCATGAACATAGGTCTGGATGAAGCCTATACCTAATTGTTGTTAGATATTTTTTATTAAATAAGATAGCATTTTCCCCAGTACGGTCTTTGCCTATTTTACAGAAAAAAGGCGGGAATTTTAAATTTAGAATCTATATATGTATATAAAAAATGTCTCTCTAATTGAAACATATGTGTAGGTCATAAGGGCCATGCTCCTTTCTTGTTCAATTTGGATAAATTATAAAAGTACAACTGTATCTCTCTAACCACTACGTTGGCAAAATCGCTGATCTAAATGGGTGGCGAATTTATACCGAAGTGTGGCAACATTGCATTACATTATTTGTCAGTGTTCAAAAAGTATTGAATGTTTTTCAATATTTCTGATAAATTATTTAAAAAGTGCTGTCTAAAAAGCTTGAGAACGAAAATATTTGCATATTTTTATTTTACTTCAAGGTTTCAAATATATTTTTCCCATTAAAATTCAAATTTCAGTCTTACTATAACGTTTTATGGTTTGAAATTTAAAATTATGTCTTTAAAAATAGTCGGTGATGATTCTGTATTGCAGAAGTTGCTACACTTTGGTAAAAAACGCTCTTGACAGGAATTTTGTATATTATACAAAAAAATATCAAATTGTTAATTATAGCATAATAGATTATATAGATAGAGCGTCGAGCTTCAAAAACGGCTCAACTTTTTGTCAGCTAATTGTCAAATTATCTGACTCGTTTGTTGTATCAGTGTTCTATATACTTACGTATATAATGTTCTATATATATATATATATATATATATATATATATATATATATATATATATATATATATATATATATATTTTTTTTTTTTTTTTTTTAAAAGATGCAAAAATTTTAAAACAATAAATATGGAAGTTATAAAGGAATCACTCGTAACTATTTATCACGCAAAATTGTATGAAAAAGTTGACACGCTTTTCTCGTTGCATTTGTATGGAGACACTCTATCTATATAATGTATTGCAAATGTATCATGCTATTATATAATGAACAGTTTGTTATATTTATCTAAAATTTGTCAAATACTCTATACTAGCTGTTGCTGCGACTTCGCTCGCGCGGCGTATTTTCCGTGATGACTTGTACCTATATATTGTAACGGCGAGTGGCAATAAACCTCAAGACTGAATGTATTGTGTTTTATTTATTGATCTGAACAGCGAGAGAGGATTAACAGGTAGTGTATTGAAAACCAGTGCTTTGCTTTTAAGCAAAACTAATACTGAGCTGTAGCCTATATGGGTCACTGCGACACACATGGCGGAAACATATTTTCATATTTTATCTTTTGTTGTATATTTTAAAAAGTGTAAATAATCTGATTGTATAAACTCATTTGTAAATTTACGTGTGTCATAAATGGCTCAAATAAATAGTTTATCTATCTATCTATATTTTTTAATTGGCCGCGTGGTTCCGGTGTAGAATAGGCCACCCTTTCTTCGTTGGTAGTCGTACAAAACGACTAAGGCAAGGCGAGGGATAGGCAGCAGCAGTCCCTCTTAAAACGTCTAAAACCTGATTGCGGTTTTTTTTTATTCAATGGATGAAAATGGAATGGTAACCCCGTCTGCGCTAATGATACACGCTGGCGGGGCACCAGTGAGGTGACAGGTGAGAATGAAAAGGCAGGTCAGTTAACCCAACGTGATGAATCAATCTAGAATTCAGCACGATGATTTCCAGGGGAGATCACATGGAGGTCGACTTGATAGGGTATATTGCTAGCAATGGGTCAATTAGACCCCATTACTAACAATCCCTTTCCCCCCACTTGACTGCGGTTGTCAATCCGCCTGCCAAGCGTGGTAACTTTTTTACAACACAGGGGGCAAACGAGCCTGCGGCTCACCTGATGGTAAGTGACCACCGCCGCCCATGGTCACCCACAACATCAACGCCATTGCAGGTGTGCTGCCGGCTTTTTAAAAAGTCAAAACCCCCTATGGGGGAGGCTTACGTTCAGCAGTGGACTGTTAAAGGCTGATATTATGATATTTTTCAAAACGCCGCGCGGTTCCGGCATAGAATGGGCCGTGATGAACGTGTAATGACCGAGAGATGGACAGCAGTGTCCCTCTTAAAACATCACCAAATGGCAAATTGCGTTGCCGACCGCCCCCTAATACTGTCATTGGTTGTAAATTGCCGTGTAGGTCCCGGCATAAAATAAGCCAACCCTTTCTTTCCCGTGGGTGTCGTAAGATGCGACAAAAGGTGGGCGAGGAATGGGTTTTTTTTATACAACTTAGAATGGCAAACAAGCTGACGGCCCACCTGATGTAAAGTGGTAACCGTCGCCTATACACATGAGCAGTACCATGGTCAACCTGGTTGGGTATATTGCTAACAATGGGATTCTCAGTCTCCATTTACATTTTACTACTTATTTATTTTATAATCCCTTTCTCCCCGTCACGTGCGCGTTGCCGACCCTGAAGGAACCGTAATATACCCTTTTTGAAGAGCCCCACACTTGTTTGCCATTCTAAGTTGTATAAAAAAAAAACACAAAGGGAAGTATTGATACAGAAATATAGTCTCAATAGGCAGAAGATTGGTTTATTTTCAAATATACTCGCCGACCGACATTCCGGAATGGCAAAATCTTTAATTACTTATATTTTTGTATCAATAATTTCCTTTATTAAAATAGACTACTATGATATTATGTATTATCTATTTATGTATCAATGTTTTAAGTATGTGAGGTATTTTATAAAATTAGGGTATGATGAGACTGACATATCCTTATAGGATAAAAGCCTCTAAATAAAAAAGATAAAAAGAAATCCATTTTTATCGTAATGTGCGAGGGTCATTTGAAAAGTTCTTAGTCTAACATACTTAATGAAACCACACGATTTTGAGTTTATTTTCATTTTTCAACATACTCTCCTCCGAGCTCAAAACACTTTTTCCATCGACCCGGTAAGGCTTCGATACCAGTTTTAAAAAAATCTTCGTCTAACTCCTCAAAATACGCGTCCACGGCGGCTATGACCTCTTCATTTGTAAAAAAAATGTTTACCACCTAAAAATTTTTTAGCTTTGCTGTTCCCAAAGCTGTAAAAATTTTGTCTTTGTCAATCTTCGATCAAATAAAATTAAATCACAGATTTTTACTTTGTATTGATCAGTGGAAGCAGTCGAAGGCCGGCCACTACGGGGCTCATCTTGAATGGTCTCACGACCACGTTTAAACTCTGCCACACAGTTTTTAACAGTCGCATACGAAGGAGCGGACTCACCCAAAGTAGCAGACATGTCTTCATGTATAGCTTTTGGAGTTAAATCTTTCAAATTTAGTTACTTTATCACTGCACGATGTTTAACTTTATCCATTTTCAAAAATAGCTCTGACTTGACTAACGGTATCACGTGTAAACGAACAATGAGTTACTGTGAATAAACTAAACTGTGCATACTTGTTGCTAAATAATGTAACTACAAAATGAGGGTAGTTATAAAAAAAAACCAATGACTTTAACCATGTTAGGCTAAGAACTTTTTAAATGAGCCTCGTATATATTTAATACTATGCCCTGTGGCAGGGAACGCAGATAATTTGGTAACACCTTACACACTGTGATTTCCAGATCACCTTCAGCCAGATGAAGCATAACATGATTAGAATTAGAAGGAATGGAAGGGCACAATAAAAATAAATAAACAATGAAAATAAAAAATCATTTATTTAGTTTCTTACAAAATACAGCAATACAAACAGGTCGTCTTAACAAATGTGTCAAGGACTTATGAACAAGAAAAGGCGGGTAACAAAACAATTTCGAGCCTCTCATTTATGTGTTTATAACTTAACAAGATATTGCAATGTGGCAATTATCTGTCAATTTATCAAGAATAATTTCCTAATTTTTAATATTTTATTTTATTTATTTTTATTTATTTATTAAATATAAGAAATTTACAACAGCGAGTACGATGTGTCTGATTATTTAAAAAGCGTTCTGCTAGCGAACTATGACGTCATCATGTCACCTTCACCGTCCACTGCTCAACATAAGCCTCCCCCTTGGGGGGGTTTCGCCAGTAGTTGCCACGCTTGGCAGGCGGATGGGATTGGATCCTATATTGTATAATACAAATAAAGTATACTGCATATAAAGTATATAGCAACTGTAGCTAGGCTTTGGAGATGTTTTAATTTGTTAGACGAAATTGTTTTTGAAAATTGACAGGCAATTGAGACGTATTTGCACTTATTTATGAACTAGGCATTTGGTAATACGGATACCGATCCGGTATCTATATATTGGGCTCCTCTGGACATTGATGGCGGAGAAAAGCTCATCACCCATTTCGATATCGCCCATAACGGTCGGATATCTATTTTCGAACATGTTCAAAGTCTGTTATCCAATATTTTTGGATAACAGACTTTTAACATATTCGTTATTGGACCTGTATATAGATATTGTGACTAAACTATATAGACATTGCTATATATTAACCACGCCTATTAGGAACGGTCTTAAAACGGCGCGTTCAGCTGTTGAGTTAGTATTTCATACTAAAAGGGGAAAATTATATACATGTAAAAATTTATATGTACCTTTAAAATAATATGTACATACGCACAACGGCCCAAATGAGAGGCTAAGTGCGGAAAATGGAGTCCTATTTACATTACATTGAAATAATATGTAAATATGTGACCACAGACATGCATGGCAATAGACGGCGCAATCGATATGAGAACTGAGCGAGTCATTGCTAACAATAACTGCTGATATTTACCGGAACATTACAAAGTATTTTTTTTTTTCCACTAAACCCTTTCGTAACTAAAATCATTTCAGCAACACTAGACTACTGTAATGGCGGTGTTTTTCAACACTCTGAACTCCTTTCACACATTCAATCAATAATTATGCACCAAAAATCAGTCTGCAGAAGAATATAATACTAATAATATTTAAAACATAAAACAATAATGACGTTATAGCAAAAAATATTTGAATCGACATATTATAACCTACTTTTCATGTTTTTATTAAAATTAGAACTTTGCTTCTTCTATAATATTTCTATCATCGTCAGTAAATTTTTATATATATATATATATATATATATATATATATATATATATAATATGTATATATAACGCCATCTAGCGGTGAAACATTATTTGTTTTTAGTACTGTTTCATGACGATAGATGGCGTTGTAAATATAAAAATAACAAGATAAACATATAACAATTAACTTTGATAAAAAGATAAACCAAGATTGTTTAGTAAACATCAATTATAAAAAAAAAAAAATATAAACATATCGCTCTTATAATATGATCATGCACTGAGATTATTACTATTATTTACCATAATTTGTATGGAACATGACGCCAGCCATATAATTAAATAGGGTTCCAAAAAAACTGACTTCTATTATGGCATAACCAAATTGTTTTGCCGAAATAATCATTTTTAATTTAAAAAAAAAAAAAAAAAAACTAAACCACTGAACCGGTAAATAAATGCCAATCAAGATATGGTAACTAAGCACTAAACAAATATTACTTTCTTTCTAAAGTTATTACTTTATTATCTAATGTACTATATGTATTAGGGAATTAGAAAACCAAAGACAAAAGGCACAACTGTATTGGACGAAAATAACAAATGATTAATTAACAACCAAGATATAGTTGGCAGATGGAAAAGATATGTAGAAAAACTTTGTGACGGGCAAGACTTGTGTGAAGATAGAAAAAAAAACGGTATGCATTGGGATAACTTGGGACCACCAATATTAAGAGAAGAGTTTAATAAGGCTTTACTGTTAATACTGTATTTATAGGAAAGACAACGCATGAGGGACATCATGGGCGGCACAGTATACTCTGTATGTTATGAAATAGATCATTTCTAAGTATCGTCTAGGCACAAGATGAATATCACTTTAGATTTTAAGTTACACCTTCAGGAATACAACTGTGGAAACTGCATCCAATTTGATGCAATAGCTTTTACATGATATCGGAACAAACATACAGACAGACTTATTGATTGACTATATTGAGACCCAATATATAAATTTTCCTTAACCATCCCCCCCCTCACGTACAAACATCGCCTAGTGACAACTTTATTACGTTAGAAAAGTTAATGTACTAGACGGTAACATAAAAAAAAAAATTAGATAACACATCTGTGTTTTATGTATCTACATAAACACGAAAAAAAAAAACTTTCAAAATTAAAAGTTCCCGTTGAAATTTGTATACAAAAATGACGGATATTTACCGCAGTAAACTCTCTGTCTACACTATACAGTACTAACAAGGATGGGTGATACGGATACCGATCCAGTATCTATATATTGGGTTTCTCCGCCAGTGTATACCGTTAGCGCAGGCGGGGTTACCATTCCATTATCATCTATTAAAAAAAAACATTGTTAAGGCTTTTACAGTAAAACATAGTGTAACATATATATTTGGTAACATAGATAGATAGATAGATACTCTTTGTCGTTTCCTCCATAAGATTACAACAGTAAACTTATTATAAATATAAATAATTACATGAAATAATCACAGTGAGGAAACAATGGGCGACCTTATCGCTAAGAGCGATCTCTTGCAGGCAACCTTTGCATGGAGAGGAGTAATTATAAACATATATATTAGATATCGGCTACCTCTAGTACCAACATTATTAACAAAAGAATATTCTAGAATTCAGAGTCTGTACGGTCGTCCGTTACCGATCCCTATTATGGAACTCCGAACCCTGCCTCTGCCCCGACCATGGCTCTCGTTAACCTCATAAACCCCATGACTCTGTAAGTACCTACCCTCACCCGCACCGGTTTCCGCGACGGGATCTCTTCCCATAAAACAATCCATAGCGTCTATACCGAAACATCCTCCATTTTCCTGTGGAACTTGCATATATTCTTGTAAACTTGTAAATGAGTCTTCTAGAAACCCTTCGGGCGCTTGCATAAACGAGCCGGCTAGGAAGTCGTCTTGCATCTGGTACATGAGTTCGCGTTTCAGCCGACTATGGACCGTATGGTCGGGCGCGGAAGGACCAGTGTCGCGTGTGGGCCGCTCCTCGGTCGTCAAGTCGCACGGCTGCTCGCAGGCGGCGGCCGGTGGCTGCAAAATTATTACTAGACGATAAAACCCGTATTGAAACCAACTGCTGATCATAGGTCATCTCCATAAGGGGTATTCGCTTGTTGACAGTAGTTGCCACGCTTGGCAGGCGGGTTGGCAACTGCAGTTTTTTTTTAATGGATGATAATGGAATGGTAACCCCACCCGCGCTATCGGTATACACCGGCGGGGCACCAGTGAAGGATGATAGGCGAGGATGAAGCAGGTCAGTTAGCCCATCGTGACGAATTCAACAAGAATTGTTCACGATGGTTTCCAGGGAGAACCACGTGGAGGTTGACCTGATAAGGCATATTGCTAGCAATGGGGCTATCAAACTCCATTGCTAACAATCCCTTTCCCCTCCTGGCAACTGCAGTTAGGCTTTAGTTTTAAGAGGGACGCCCATCCCTCTACCATTTGATCCCTTGATCCCTTTACCATTTGAATACATACCTCTACTCACCAGAGGGAAACTTTGTACAAAAGTCGATTGTTTGGCTACCTCTGCCCCATTCGTGTTTCAACCGTAAAGCAGTTGTGTTTCGGTTTGAAGGGTGGGATATGGCGTGAATTTACTGGGTACAGAGGAATAACACCTGAGTCCTCAGGAATGGCAACGCATGGGGCGTACCATGGGCGAAACAGTATACTCTGTTATGTCCATGGTACTGCTCATGTCTACAGGCGACGGTTAACACATTCCATAAGGCGGGCCCTCAGCTTGTTTGCCATTCTAAATTGTATAAAAAAAAATAGTTTTAATTTTATTTTTTTATTTATTTATTTTTAGATAACTGGGATCCATTCTTGTTAGTAAGTGTACTTAAAAACTATGTTAATACTTAATTACTAATAATGATCTAGTCCTCTCGGAGAGCATTTTCACGAGAGGACTATCCAATTTATTAACAAACATGTTCAGGATACTGTTGCTACTCCCGCGTATTCGACGTAAAAACGAAGCTGTCTTTTTTCGCCAGACTGCGTCAAAACTATCTGTGCGAGCGTCGGCAAACATCGCTGAGGCGCTACAGAAGCGCGGAAGCCGCAACAGTAACCTGAAACTATTATTAAATTGGATACGCAAGGCATCGCAGGCCCCCCGAGTATACTGGAACCACTGACTCGCCGAATACAACGATGTACAATACGCTTTAAATAGTGTTATTTTTACTGCATCTGTACATCGCGCAAATCGGCGGGACAACATATTGGCTCGGACCGACAAAGCCCTACGCTCCCTCTCCATATCTACATCGTCTCTAAGGCTGGTGGTCACCAGGTGACCAAGGTATTTAAATTGATGCACTCTTCTAATTGGAACACTATCCAACATAATAGGAGGTATATATGTTGGACACCTGGTACCCGCCCTAAAGACCATGTACTCAGTTTTCTTTACATTGTATATCAAACCGTGTGAAATAGCATACTACTCGCACACAGCGAGCAGTTTTCTTAATGCACTGACCGAGGGAGCCAGCAACACCATGTCATCAGCATAGCTGAGGTTATTAATACTACGCACCGCTTCGCTCTCCCGCTCCCTGAGCTGCTGCAGCAGGTCCCTGAGCACGGCCGCCAGTGCTGCCACCCGGCGGCGGAGCTGTGCAGTAGTCAGCCATGTCGGTTGCGAGGGGTCCGGTACTGCGCATACAATTTAAAGTAAATAGAAGTAAAATAGGACACGAAAGTTTTGTGTAGGTTGGGTATATATATATATATATATATATATATATATATATATATATATATATATATGCAGGGCACTAGTGAGGGATGATGGGTGGTGAGGGTGAAACCTATCATCCCTCACTGGTGCCCCGCCAGTGTATACCGATAGCGCAGGCGGGGTTACCATTCCCTTATCACCTATTTAAAAAAAAAAACCCTTACGTATGTTTGTATCGACTACATTTTTTTTACAAACAGTTTACTTTTTAGTTGTCGTTTTTTTTAGTAATAGTATTATTAATTTATACACAATGGGGGAAGGCAAAGGAACTAAACCATACGGCCTGACCTTCAGTGTTTTTTTTTTATTTGCGGAGTAATTTTTTTTGAATAGTATACTAGTACCTGTGTGGAAGCGCAGCTCCAGCTGCGAGGAGTGCGGCGCCCGGTGCGCGGCGCGGGCGAACTCCGCGTACTCCGCCAGGGGGCGCTCGCGGCGCTACAACACACAATTTGACAACCGCATTGCTAGCAATATTAGCCTATTAGCTCGACCTCCACGTGGTTCCCCCTGGAAACCATCGTGAACAGTTCTTGATGAATTCGTCACGGTGGGCCAACTGACCTGCTTCATCCTCACCTATCATCCCTCACTGGTGCCCCGCCGGCGTATACCGTTAGCGCAGGCGGGGTTACCATTTCATTGTCATCCATTGAAAAAAATAAATAAAAAATACCGCTCCAACACCACGTATGCGTGGATATAAAATGCGTGTGCCATAGTAACACAAAATGGTCACAACTCAGTTTATTGCTTTGCCCTCAAAAGAGCAAAACACTAATATTCTGTTGTGGTCAAAAGTAAATAAGTAATAAGTCAGTTGGCCCACCATGATGGTTTCCAGGGGGAACCGCGTGGAGGTCGACCTTAGAGGGTATATTGCTAGCAATGGGGATATTAGACCTCATTACTAACAATCCCCTTTCCCCCCAAGAATTATGGGTTTTTTTGATGGGTGAAATGGTATGGTAACCCCGCCTGCACTAATGGGATACGCCGGCGGAGCACCAGTGAAGGGTGATAGATGAGAATGAAAACAGGCCAGTTAGCCCATCCTGATGAATTCATCAGGAATTAACCATGATAGTTTCCAAGGAGAATCGCGAGGAGGTCGACCTGGTTGGGTATATTGCTAGCAATGGGATTCTCAGTCTCCATTACTAACAATCCCTTTCCCTCCGGAATTATGGGTCATAATGATGATACAATGGAGAACTTTACGGTATACATATTTTTATATTTTGTACAATTTTGCTTTTTAAAACAGGACAAGATTTGCACTATGCCCATGTTAGCTTGTTTACCATTGTAAGTTATTGAAAAAAATATCTAAAAATGTGGACAGTACTAACATATTGCAACGAGCTGGGGAGGTCGGCCGGGGACACGCTGGCTTCTGCGGCGAGCAGGACGGATGCCGCTTCGCGAATTTCTTCTAAAAAAAAACATTTGCGGTTGGTCATATTATTTGAATTATATAAAATACTAGGCTTTAGCCGCGTCTTCGTCTGCACGACCGGTATAAAAAGTATCCTATACGAAGGGTATAGGATACTTTTTATACTTTATATATATATATATATATATATATATATATATATATATATATATGTATACATATATCCATCACATATAAGGTACCTGGGTCGAATATGGCCACCTTTAGGCTTCGTATTTTTTTGCATATACCATATGGTGTTTTTTTTAATGGGTAATAATGGAATGGTAACCCTGCTTACGCTATTGGGATACGCTGGCGGGGCACCAGTGATGGATGACAGGTGAGGATGAAAAGGCAGGTCAGTTAGTCCATCGTGACGAATGCGTGGAGGTCGACCTGATAGAGTGTATTGCTAGCAATGGGTCAATTAGATCCCATTACTAACAATCCCTTTCCCCCATTACCATATGGTGTTAGGGTAATCATTATTAGTAAAGTGTATTTATCTAGTGTTCTAGCTGTGAACAAAATAAATAGCAAACGTATTTACAATTGGAGTTATTTTTTTTTTTAAATAGAGAAAATGGCCATATTTACTTACGTTTATACCAAATATCATAGTGATTGGTCAAACCGTTGAGGCGCTATAAAGTGACAAACAAACAAACCCACTTTCGTATTTATAATATTATATATATGTGGCTATCCCCTTCAGTGCATCAGTGAAAGATCTAGGTATAATTATAGATAGTTCCCTTACTTGGCGGCCACAAATAGAATCTGTCAGCAGGAAAGTTTTCGGATCAGTATGCTCACTTCGTAGACTGCGTAATTTCCTTCCTACTGCTACCAAAATTGCGCTATCCCAATCTCTTTTACTTCCAATTCTTGATTATGCCGATACTTGTTATCTGGATCTTACGGAAGACCAGCTTAACAAACTTGAGCGTCTTCAAAATTTTTTTATCAGGTTTGTTTTCGGTCTTAGAAAATATGATCACATTTCCGAGTTTCGCACTAAGCTCAAGTGGCTTCCTATTCGTTTTCGACGGAATACTCATATTCTTTCACTGCTCCACAATACCCTTTTCAACTCTTCTTTCCCTCACTATCTGAAGGAGCGGTTTGAATTCCTGCATACCGTCCATTGTTTTAATCTTAGGTCTTCTGAGGGCCTTCAGCTGAAGATTCCGGTACATTTCTCTAATTTTTATGACAAATCATTTACGGTGCAAGCTGTACGGCTTTGGAATGCTTTACCAGTTTCCTTACGAAATATAAAATGTACGTGAACAGTATTTATATATATTTATGTATTTGTGTAGGCGTTTATGTCCATGTATGTATATGTATTTGTATATGTATGGTGTATGAATATATATATATGTATATGTGTATATATATATATATATGTATATGTGTGTGTAGGCGTATGTATATAAATATAATAATGAGTAGGGATAATATTTATATTATTATATGTATCACATCTCCCATATTTAGAACTAACAAAATTTTTCATCGTGCCTCCCACCAAACTGTTTATAATTACTCCTCTCCATCCAAAGGTTGCCTGCAAGAGATCGCTCTTAGCGATAAGGTCGTCCATTGTTTTCTCATTGTGATTATTTCTTGTAATTGTTTATATTTATAATAAGTTTACTATTGTAATCTTTTGGAGGAAACAATAAAGAGCATCTATCTATCTATCTATCTATATATTCTTTATTGCACTTAAACAATACATGCGACGATTAGTTGAACAACTTGTCAACAAGGGAGGACTTATCTCTGAGAGAGATCTCTTCCAGCCAACCCAGTGTGGTTAGAGAGAAAATAATTTAATTCGGGTAATCCAATGCAGGAAGGGTACCGGTGAAAATAATGTAAATACAACAAATACAAATTTTGAATAAATATATAAATAAATAAATACGTAAATAAAAAATATTAGTATGGATGTTTTTTTTTTATCCAACTTAGAATGGCAAACAAGCTGACGGCCCACCTGATAGAAAGTGGTAACCGTCGCCTATAGACATGAGCAGTACCATGGACATAACAGAGTATACTATTTCGCTCATGATACCCCCCATGCGTTGCCATTCCTGAGGACACAGGTGTTATTCCTCTGTACCCAGTAAATTCAATGTAATGTTAATGTTTAAAAGTGAATAAGTCATACCGTCTGGCCAGGCGTCGTCGGGTGGCGGCGTAGGCGGGCGGCGCCGGCCAGCCTCGGGATACTCCTGCCATGCAACAACACTTTATGGGAATGGCAAACAAGCTGACTGCCCCCGGCAAACATGGCTTTTTAATGGGTCATTGTCACCCATATATTAATATATTTAATGGGTCATATCAGCGCCATCTAGTTCAAAATAAGAAGATCTTAGACTACGGTTTTTTTTTTTACGGATGATAACGCCTGCGCTATCGGTATACACTAGCGGGGCACCAGTGAGATTATAGGTGAGGATGAAAGCAAGTTAGTTGGCCCATCCTGACGAATTCAACAAGATTTAATCACAGTGGTTTCCAGGGGGAACCACGTGGAGGTCGACCTGATAGGGTATATTACTAGCAATGGAGCCATTAAACCCTATCACTAACAATCCCTTTCCCCCAATCTTGACCTATGACCGCTAGACGACTCGTCTGCGCTATTGGTATACGCTGGCGGGGCACCAGTGAGGGATGGTAGGTGAGAATGAAAAGGCAGGTCAGTTGGCTCATTGTGATGCATCCCACAAGAATTAAGCGCGATAGTTTCCAGGAGGAACCGCGTGGATGTCAATCTGATAGGACATATTGTTAGTATTATGTATGGTTTTTTTTTTATGGGTGATAATGAAATAGTAACCCTAAAGCTCAGCTATATGGCGGCAGAAACCCATGTGGGACAGACACACACATGCAGACTTTTCTCTTTTGTAATTAAAAAATTAATTAATTAAATGTACTCTCTGTTATGAATATGAACAGCACCATGGACATGGTACTGCTCATGTCTATAGGCGACGGTCACCACTCTCCATCAGGCGGGCCGTCAGCTTATTAAAAATCATATAAAAACAACAACTGAAAGTTACCTGCGCAAATTCATTCCACATCTGCCCATTTTCATTCTCCAACCGTATATTTTCCTCGATAATAGAATTAAATCCATTCTCAGTTTCTGCCCAACGTTTAACAGCTGCCATATTACTATCTTCGGGCCAATTGACGTGCACCGTGGGACAATCGTGGGACACCTCTGCCTGACCTTCATTTGGATCCACAAGGTTGCTCGGAACTTTTTCCCATACTGCCCATTTGTCGAATTCCGACCATAGCCTTATATCTTTTGCTCGATATTTCTCAATTTCTGCCCGAACACGTTTGCCCTGACCGGCTCCCTCGTCATCTGTATTTTTGAATGGTACCCAGAGATCATCGCGACGTGTGTCAGATAAGTGACTGTTTGACGTGGCTGGCGGAGTTTCCTTTGCTGAAAATTAAATATATTCAGTACTAAGATGGTGCCTTACTTATTTTACATAAATTCATCACAAAAATCATTCCTCAGATTTTTGTGATGAACTCGATTTTTCATATATACCTACAATTAGTCATAAACCAAATTTGTTACGAATGTCATTCGTCACAAACGAGGTTCGTCATAAATTCAGTTCGTCACAAGTAGGGCTCCTAATAAGTATCAATAGTCACTAATAGAGGCTCGTCATAAAACAGTCCGTCACAAACGAGATTCGTCATAAATACAATTCGCCACTAATTTCTTAAAGAGTACTTACATGAAATTGTCTCCAAAACGGTATGTTCCACTGGCGGTGATTTCTCGACATTTTCTCCATTTTCCACATTGAATGTCTTGTTTAGAATTCTTTAAACAGCAGTGAAAATAATGGGGTTAATATAAAATTCAAATATAAATAAATATATATGCCCACGATTGTTTTTTTTTAATGGATGACCATCCCATCATGACAATATCCATGATAAATTTGTCATGATGGTTTCCAGGAGGAACTGCGTGGAGGTCGCCCTGACAGGGCATATTGATAGCAATGGGGACTAATCTGACCATTACTAACAATCTCTTCCCCTCTGTTGTTGACTTGTTGGCTATTTTGCTGTGATGGACTTAACACTTGACATATCCACATTTCACCAAGCATGTTAGAATTCAACATGGCAGTCTACCATCGTTGTTAGGACTCATTGATTTCTTATTGATATTTATTGTCTATGGAGAGACAATAGAAAATTTAGATTGAGACAGTTTGAATGAATTTACACTGACAGTACACAAGTCAGGGATGATAAGTGCGGATGAAGTCAGGTGCCATGTGGTCCCGACATAGAATAGGCCACCCATTCCTTTTCTGTTGGTGTCGTAAGAAGCAACTAAACATACTTAATGGTCAAGGAAGAGGCAGCAGTGTCTCTCTCTTAAAACACAACTAATATTTAGATATTAGTGTTAGCTTGTCAGGTTGGTTAGCAACTACAGCTAACTGTAGTTTTTTTTTTATGGGTGAGAATGGTTTGGTAACCCTGCCTGCGCTAACGGGATACGCTGGCGGAGCACCAGTGAAGGGTGATAGATGAGAATGAAAACAGGCCAGTTAGCCCATCATGATATATTACTAACAATGAGATACTCAGTCTTCATTACTAACAATCCCTTTCCACCCAGCTAACTGTAGCTGCTAACTAAACTGCTGAGCGTGGTGGCAACAACCCCCCCCTCCCCATGTGAGAGGCATTTGTATGTTACTCAGTTAAGCTTAAACGGCTCAACTAATTTAAATGAAACTTGGTACATAGGTAGGTATAACCCAACTTAACATATGTATAAAGAGAGGAAAGGGATTGTCAGTAATGTGGTCTCCTTGACCCATTGCTAGCAATACACCCTATCATGTTGACCTCTATAATATATGTCCATAGTACTGCTCATGTCTAAAGGTGACGGTTACCACTTTCCATCAGGTGGGCCGTCAGCTTGTTTACCATTCTAAGTTGTATAAAAAAAGTATATATATATAATTCTAGTGGAATTCATCATGATGGGCTACTGACCTGCCTTTTCATCTTCACTTGTCATTCCTCACTGGTGCTTTACTATTACAGTTCCATTAAAAAAAACCATATGTATATAGTGACTATATGACTAGCTTTTACCTACGACTTCTTCTGTATGACTGATATATTTACTAACTGGGTTAAAAAGAAGTCCATATTTTTCTCCATCTCATATAGTATGTGTATAACAAATTTCATAGTGATTGGTTAAACTGTTGTTAAGGGGGGAAAGGGATTGTTAATAGTGGGTCTTACAGCTCCATTGTCAGCAATATACCCTATCAGGTTCTGCAGCAATATATTAGTACCTCCACATGGTTCCCCCTGGAAACCATAATGATTAATTCTTTAATTCATCACAATAAGCTAACACTGGTGTCTCGGCGTATACTAATAGCGCGGGCGGGGTTACCATTCTATTACAAATTAAAAAAAAAAACCAAGTATAAATATAATAAGGATGCACATGAACCAAGTCGCAGGAAACAGGCAGTACCTAATAAAAACAGAACTTACTTAGTCGACTCGACTGGGCGCTCTTCATTACTTTTCTCCTTGTCTTCCGCACAAAACTTCCAGTTTTTCTTCTTTTTGTAGAATTCTAACCGATATATAGCAATTAATTCAGCTTTAGAGTTATTCGCGCACGAAGGCGCTGATGACGACATTCTGGTTTGAAGAGAATAGTACCTATTTTAATTTTTAATCTAAATAGTTCAATATTAATCGCTTCTAGTACCTATTTAGATAAATAGTAAGCGTTTCTAGGTAACTCAGTAAAGTTGAAGTTTTATTGTCTAAAATAAATACAAAAATGTGTTTCTTATTTGAATATTAGGCGGGTAGAAACTCTAATAAAAAAAAGTAAATGTTTTTGCTTTTTGTTTAGTTCACAAATATGTTTTACCGCGGTTGCAGACGGTGTTGCCAACTGGATAACATATTTTTTAACTAAATCAAATTTAAAAAGGGCCAGATCAGTGTTTCTCAAATTTTTTTGTGCCATGCCCTACTTGAACATTTCTAAAATTTTTATGCCCCCATACATAATTTTTCCTGACAAAGTTTACTAGACGACTCTAATCGCCCAGTTGATATTTTGTTAACGTCAAACGAAATTATACCTAATAAATACATACCTATTAAATTTGGCACCGATATCTACTCTTAGCATTGCGTTTAAATGGTCCGGAGTAAGAGGGTTAAAATCGTTTTGAGTCTATTTTTAATTACCCCCCTGTGGGGCGTGGACTTTACGTTGGGAAACACCGGGCTAGATTAATCCATTAACTATTAAATTACTATCTACCCGTCATTTCAAAACTATAGATTCATAGTTATACAAAAAGTAAAAAAGATTTAAAAATCAGGTTAAGCTTTTTAGAATGTTGGTACTACCCTTAAGAACTTTTAAAATTAGTTTTTGCATCAAAGATATATTTATTTCAGAAGATTTTAATTAAGGAATTGATTTATTTTGGTGCTACATTATGGCCAAATTTGGAGAAAAATAGCCAATCAAGCCATCTTGATTTGTTTATGATCTATGTGTCATGGCTAAAATGGTAGGTAATTATCAAAATAAGCTAATTAATTGTCAATGAATATTGTTAATGTGTCAATCAATTTTTCTGTCAATCAATCACATAATGACGTCAGTAATATTGGCAAATTGGTCAATTTATAAGGTTAACTTACTGCCAATTGGGCTAGGTATTAAAGATTTCAGATACTTCAGTCTAAAGTTTCCTAAAATTTAATTCTCTATTTATGTTTTTCTACCATTACAATGATTTCTCACGAGACAAAAGTGATCATACTATTTATCTGGGCGTTTATGTTATGTATTTCCTAAAAAATACCCATTTCATTGTCTTTCAGTTATTTAGCACGCATATTATATACAAACTTAACTTAGTTTGAGACTAGATAGTGGATGTGATTTGTCCAATTATATTATTTAAAATTTTTAATGAGTTTGAATGTATAAAATTACACCTTTTGATAAGTTTTACCAGATAATATTTTGTATGGGTACTATGTCCCAACCGTGTATATGCCGTGAATTAGCCCTGCTCGTAGGGGCTACCAGAATGTGGTGGTGGTGGTACCAGGTGTTATAAAAATAAACAAATTGAATAAATAAAAAAATTTACTAAACAGACAAAAATACATATAAATATTTATTTACAGGAAATTATATTATTTTCTTACACTCATACACTCAAAATGGTACAAAATTCAACCTCTTTGATGCACTTAATGCACATTGTCACCATCCAATGCAAGTCACTAATCAACGGCAAACTGCCGATTACTAACGGACAAAATATTACAAAAGCATTCCAATTTCGAATTTATTCCAAATTCAAATAAACTAAAAAAAAAGTATATTATTTATTTTTTACATAAATTCTCGATTTTTTATATAAAAATTATTTATCTAAGTGACATAAAAAAGGAAATAGGAAACTTAGAAACATTCATTATAATTATTTTATGTAGACATGGGTAATATGTATACTGATCCAATATCTATATATTGGGCTCCTCTGGACATTGATGGCGGAGTAAAGCTCATCACCCATTACGATATCGCCCATATCGGTCGGATATCTATTTTCGAATATGTTAAAAGTCTGTTATCTAATATACTTTCTTGATAACAGACCTATTTGTTATTGGACCAGTATCAGTATATAGATATTGTAACTGAAATATATAGATATTGCTATACATTACCCCCGCCTTGTTACGAGGTATCTATGGATAACCACTGTTAAGGCTTTTACAATAAAATATAGTGTAACATATATATTTGGTAATATAAATAAATAAAATTAGTATGTCTTATTGAATTTAGTAGTCACGGACGAGGTCACGGGTAAAAACTAGTAAAATATTATCAATTATTATATATGATACAATGGGCGGAGCTGGGTCGGCTGTACTAGCCACAACTCATACGGACAACGCTCCAAATGAGAGATTAAGCACAGGAAATAGAGTCTAATTTACATCACATTACATATGCGATACAAACTACCCGTGTACCACATTTCATTCAAATCCATTCAGTAGTTTTTGCATGAAAGAGTAATAAACATACATCGAATTCTTAAAAATTTGCATTTATTATATTAATAGGATTAAAAATATAATTTTAAGTTCCGTTTCGCTTATAGAACACCCCTTGAAGGGACGCCTACGATGTCGACATCACCCTGTATATTTTAATTGAGCCCTAATGAGAGATCTGTTATTCTATCTAGCACGTGACAATGTGTAAGAAGTGCGTTTTTCAATATAACTATCTCTTATCACATCTCAGAAGAATTTCTTTGCTTGCGCCTCTTTTCTTTCTCTGAAAAAAAAAAATTGTTTTTATTTTATAAATTATGGATTTCATTATAAGACATGATATTGTTATCATGGAGGGATATAGAACAATTATTAATATATTATTTATTTAATAAAATGAATTAATAATCTTTTATATCTATGTTTTTTAAGTCTCTTGTGAGATAGGCAAAGAAAACCAAGTGCTATTACTTGTACGATATTTTTTTAGAATGTATGTAAACATACACACACACACACGCACACACTCACACACACACACACACACACTCATACACACTCGTGCACCCAAACTCACATGCAACATTATATAATTAGATTAACCCTGTTCACCGCACCATAACTGTAAAATGAGTTGCTTTGACTTCCACGAGACAGGCTTTGCCTAGTGTGGGGTCATAGCTATATTGTACCATAGGCTAATTTTGTTAAAGGAAATAAAGATATTCTTATTCTTATTCTTATATAAAAAAATAGTTTGTTTAGGGTTTTGAAACCTAGCCTTAAAATAAAAAGGCATTTAACTACACACGTTGATGTATTAGATCTAGTGACAATAATGAAAGAGGCATGTTGTATAAAAATTACAAGAGGGAGACTTTGTACAAAAGTCGATTGCTTGCGTACCTCTGTCCCATTCGTGTTTCTACCGTGAAGCAGTTGTGTTTGCATGGCTGTGTTTCGGTTTGAAGAGTGGGATATAGCGTGAATTTACTGGGTACAGAGGAATAACACCTGAGTCGTCAGGAATGGCAACGCATGGGGGGTATCATGGGCGAAACAGTATACTCTGTTATGTGCATGGTACTGCTCATGTCTATAGGCGACAGTTACCATTTTCCATCAGGTGGGCTATCAGCTTGTTTGCCATTCTAAGTTGTATAAAAAATAATTAAACAGCCACGGCTGTGTACACTTAGTTCCTTTACCGTTACCGGCAAAGGAACTACGGGCATACAGCCTAGCGGTACAGAGTACTCACTTGTACAGGTTGTATAGGAGCATAACAACGAGTTGCGCGGCGACCACCAGCAGCAGGCCCGTGAAGCCAACGCACGACACCTGCGGACACGACAGCTGGGCGCCCGCCATACCCGGGCTTGGCGCTGACACCCTGCCGTTTGGGAGAACACACATTGTATATTTCACTATTGATTCACCCCGTTTACGTAAGGGTAGATACAGCTTTAATATATATATATATACACATATATATATAAATATAGAAGAGCGAAGAAGAGGCCCCTGAAGCAAGAAGACACCACGCCGGCATACACAGACCATCAGTGTATGCCGGCTGAAGAACCCAGTGACCCGGAGGCTGTCGCCTCCGGAGTTGAAGCCGGGGTAGAGGGGTTTACCCCGAGGCCCCTACCTCGCCCGCCTGCACAACATAAGCCGGACTTTGAGATGTCTATGATTGATAATTTTTTTTTAACCGTTTGTTACTGGCTGATAATGTAATCTATAGGCGAGATTTTTTAAAATCGGTTAATTAGTTTTCGAATTTATCTACAATGTTATATTATAAATAAATAAATAAACACACATACAAATCTTTCCTATTTATAATATTAGTATAGTTGGCACACTTACTCGGAATGGGGACCTCTTTGTTTTTTCGCATCTGAGGGGAGGGGGATAGATTAGGGAGAGCGTGACACCGCTGAATTGTCTGGTGGGCAGCACAAGATAGGAGAAATCATATGAGCTGGTCGCAAAGACATGTCTGAGTGTATAAACAACGCCAATGGACACCCCATTTACTTAAATTAATTTTAATGCCCTGCATTAAATAATATATTAGGGGATTGGGGAGGGGGGGGGGGGGTACCGCAAGCTTCACAGTGTATTACGTGGGGTACCAGGAGAGTCACAATGAAATGTGGGGTACCGCGAGCATCACAGTATATTATGTGGGGCACCACGGACCGCCATAGGCGACTCGACTGATCAATCTAAGGCGTACAAACGACACCCACCTTTGTGCGACTCCCGCGACGGTCTGCTTGACCTGGTTGATGGAGTCTCGCATCTCGTTGAGGAACTGTGGGTTGATGGCGGTGCCGCCGCCGCCGCCAGTGCCGGCGGTTAGCAGCGAGTCTGACTTACGCGCCACCTCGATAATGAACCCTCTGTCGATGGTATACAATTTATTTTGATTAACACATTTTATAAAGTTAAATGATATTTCCAAGTTTTTCGTCTTTTTTTATGATTACTTTTTAACCGACTTAAAAAAAGGAAGAGATTTTCAATGTGGCTATATTTTTTTATATTTATAACCTAAGAACTCTGGGGGGAAAAGGATTGTTAGTAATGGAGACTGAGAATCCCATTGCTAGCAATATACCCGACCAGGTCAAACTCTTCGCGGTTCCCCCTGGAAACTATCATGGTTAATTCCTGATGAATTCATCATGATGGGCTAACTGACCTGCCTTTTATCCTCACCTATCATCCCTTACTGGTGCCCCGCCAGCGTGTACCAATAGCGCGGGTGGGGTTACTATTCATTTATCATCCATTTAAAAAAAAAGTATGTATGTATGGAGAGCACTGACTTGAGTTCGGCGATGGTGTTAATCATGATCTGATTGTTGGCGACGAGCGCGTCCCAGTCGTGCCGCCCGATCGGCAGCGCCGGCATCTGCAAAATACGCATGGAATTTATCACTATATTTTTATTTATTTATTTAAACTTCAATGCACAGTGTAATTCTCTGTACACATGGCGGACTTAACACCGGACGGTGTTCTCTACCAGTCGACCATTGGGCGAACAGAGAAATAAGTAGGCGGTGCATTTTTAAATTGATATGACTCAGCCGGCCGTCGCTGCGATTTCAACTAAGCCAAATAAACGAATCACGAATAAATCTGGACGCAGTGATTATTTGTGATTTAATATAGAGACGTTTGTTTGTGGAGTGCCGTAGCAGGAGTGCCGGAGCAGGAGTGCCGTAGCAGGAGTGACGTAGCAGGAGTGCCGGAGCTGGAGTGACGTAGCAGGAGTGACGTAGCAGGAGTAACGTAGCAGGAATGACGTAGCAGGAGTGACGTAGCAGGAGTGACGAATGATTTGACTTTATGCTACATAAAGAAATTTCACCACGTGAAATCCTACTGCATAACAAAAAAGTTTTTTTTTTTATTTTATTTTAAGGGCTTTTACCTTCTTCAGGTATATGTACCTAGTCCTATCGTACCCTGAACTGATTTCTCAAAAGTTATATCCAGTGATTTCAGAGTCTCCCAGTCCTCCCTTCTTCTATTATATTCAGATAAAAAACCAATACTTACAGGTGGTAATGGCTGGCCCGCCTGCGGTGGCTGCGCCTGCACTCCGGACTGCGCTTGGCTGTACACGGCCGTCAGCATTGACAGAGAGTTCATTTGCTTGCCGATCACCTGCGCATGACATACGCACACATAGTATTTTTCGCTACATAAAAATTTTCCTCAGGTTTTAAGAAATATAAAAAAAAAAAAGAATAGCTCAATGATTACGATCATTTTCAAGTTTTTTTTTTTTTTTAATGGGTGATAATGAAATAGTAGCCCCGCCTGCGTTAACGGTATACAATGGCGGGGCACCAGTGATAGATGACTGATGAGGATGAAAGCAGGTCAGTGAGCCCATTGTGATGAATTCAACTTGAATTAGCCGCGATGGTTTCCAGGGGGAACCATGTGGAGGTCGACCTGACATTAACCCCATTACTAACAATCCCTTTCCCCTGACCATTTTCAAGTGGACATTTTTACAACATTTTAAAAAGTGATTACTGTGACATAACGATAATAATCGGACATATAGTGTCGCGAAGTTTCTTGTAGTTATTGATATTTTCTTCAATATTGTAGAACATACTTTTGTTCTATCACCAATAGTTTTAGATATTTTATAGCATTTTTTCACACCTTGAGTTACGTTACTAAAGTAAGGATCCCTAATTTTTTCTAGCAATAAATATAGCCTATGTTACTCAGGGTGAATGTAGCTTTCTAATGGTATAAAAAATTTTGAAATCGGCAAAGTAGTTTTTGTGTTTATTCATTACAAACATACATACACACAAAAATACAAATATTCCCTCTTTATAATATTAGTGTGTATGAAATGAAATAAACAATTTTAAGGAATTAAATAACACTAGACTACAAATATTTTAAAAGTTACGTTTTTGGATATGGAAATATCCATATTTGCTGTTTTTTTTTTTTTTTTTTCAAATAAATATATACGGACAAATCACACAGATTGAGCTAGCCCCATAGTAAGTTCGAGACTTGTGTTATGGGATACTAACTCAACGGCACTATATTTATAATAGATACATATATAGATAAACATCCAAGACCCAGGCCAATCAGGAAAAGATCGTTTTCCATCATGACCTGGCCGGGGATCGAACCCGGGGCCTCCACGTCGCAGGCAGGCGTGTTGACCGCTGCGCCACGGAGGAGTTGTGAGTGGATATATAGGAGATATGGATACGGGCGGCGCGTTACCTCGTCGATCTTCTTGTTCATATCGCGCAGCACGTCGTGCATCTGCGCCTGTCCCTGGAAGATCTGCCGCAGCTCGCGCTGCCCGTCCGACTCGAACCAGTCCTCCAGCTCGCCGTCCTTGTCGCGCGCCTGCCGCAGCAATGCACAACGTGAGGGAAGCATCATAACTTCTGATACTTTAACATGTCCACCGCTGGACATAAGCCTCGTTGAAATGTATACGGTTGACATTGTGTGTGTGTGTGTATGTGTGAGTACGCGCGCGCGCGCGCGTTTGTGTGTGTGTATGTGTGTGTGTGTGTGTGTGTACGTGCGTGTGTGTGTGTACGTGCATGTGCGTGTGCGTGTGTGTGCGCGCGTGCGCGCGTGTGTGTGTGTGTACGTGTGCGTGTGTATGTGTACGTGTGTGTGTGTGTGTGTGAAAATTGGTCAACAATGTTCCTACTGTCCATACGGTAGAACGAAACGCTTTATTACCTAAGATGAGATTGGATAACTGCCATACATTGCCTAGACAAATGGCATATAAGACAATCGATTACGATACGTTTTCTAATAGAAAGTACGACTATCGAGCGATCTTGGGGGGATTTGCCAGTAGTCGCCAAGCTTGGCAGGCGGATTGACAAGAGCAGTTAGACTTTGGAGATGTTTTAAGAGACGCAGCTGCCAATTCCTCGCCCTCCCTTAGTCGCCTCTTACGACACCGACGGGGAAGGTAGCGGTGGCGTATTCTTTGCCGGGACCACATGGATAAACTGTGGGTATACTGTGGTTTCACTACATTGCTAACCGAGCACAGCCGATGACTCACGAATGCATTCGAATACAGTGACTATTTTCATTCCGTCATAGACATTTGAGTGCTCACCTCATCAGGATGCTCCTTCCTGTACTCCTCTTTCTGCTGTTCAAGCTTCTTCTGGTATTCCTGGTACTCCTGCGACAGCTTCTGCTGTTCATCGGTGCTGATCTGCTGGCCGCCTGCAAGTTTCGTTTAGGAGATTAGATATTTTTTTATATAATACTAGCGCCCCTTCCCGGCTTCGCACGGGTGGACAGTTTTACAACATTTTAAAAAGTGGTCATTGTGACATAACGATAATAGTTGGACATATAGTGTCGCGAAGTTCTTTGTAGTTATTGATATTTTCTTCAATATTGTAGAACACACTTTTGTTCTATCACCAATAGTTTCCGTAGAGCACGCGACCAAAGATATTTTATAGCATTTTTTTACACCTTAAGTTACGTTATGAAAATTTTTGTAAGGATCCCTAATCTTTTCTAGCAATAAATATAGCCTATGTTACTCAGGGTGAATGTAGCTTTCTAATGGTAAAAGAATTTTCGAAATCGGTAAAGTAGTTTTTGTGTTTATTCATTACAAACATACATACACATAAAAATACAAACCTTTCCTCTTTATAATATAAGTGTAGATATATAAAATTGGAGGGAGAGGAATTTTTAGTAGTTAGTCATTAAACCTCATTGCTAGCAATATGTCTGAAACCCATGGCGATTAATTCTTATTTTATTCATCATGATGGGCTAACGGACTTGCTTTCATCCTCATCTATCATCCCTAACTGGTGCCCCGCCAGGTGGGGTTACCATTCCATTATCATCCATTAAACGTGTCTCAAGGAGCCGTCACCTTGCTGCGCCGTGTGCAGGGAGGTGGTGAGCAGGTGCAGCACGTCGTGGTCGTCGGCGAGCCCGCCCGTCGCCGCCGAGATGCCGAAGTAGCCGCCCCTCGGCAGCACCACGTTCTCCGCTCGGAAACACAGCTCATAGTCCGCTTCGTTGTTCGTCATTCCTGTAAATTACATTTATTTACATAATTAAACCTTAAAAAAAAAAAAAACAATATCTGAGTTTCTTGCCAGTACTTTTTGGCTGAAATTGCGTTTCGAATGGGCGGTAAAATTATGAAAAAAAAAAAAACTTCAAAATGTTTTAATCTAAGTTCAGATTCCTTCAGGTAGTGCATTCCGAAGTCGTAAAGCTTGGATGATGAAGTCTCACATGAAATCTAGAGTGTATAGTGGAAGTAGCACGCGTGTAAACGTGATTCAACACTCACCACTGTGTACGTAGACAGTGTATTGTGGAAGTAGCACGCGTGTAAACGTGATTCAACACTCACCACTGTGTACGTAGACAGTGTATTGTGGAAGTAGCACGCGTGTAAACGTGATTCAACACTTACCACTGTGTACGTAGACAGTGTATTGTGGAAGTAGCACGCGTGTAAACGTAATTCAACACTCACCATTGTGGAAGTAGACAGTGAGCGTGTTGTGGAAGTACTCGACGCGGGCGCGCGTCGGGAACGGCTTGTTGCGGAAGTCGCGCAGGCAGCCCGACAGCAGCTGCGTGGAGCCGTCACTGCAAACAAAGGTAAGTAAAAAAAAAAAAAAAACTTTGACACAATCCTATAATAATAATTGAGATTGTGTTCCATAATAAAACTTTATTTCAGAAATTAATTAATAGTTAATTATTATTGTATACAGAACCCAAAGACCATCCAAGAAGTAGAGGATGATATAGTCCATGCAAGATGGGACAAGCTAAGGAAGACAATGATGCGTAGACAGAAATTCGGCACGGCGGGCCTGCGTGGGCGCATGGGCGCTGGCTATATGTGCATGAATGATGTAGTCATATTGCAGACTGCCCAAGTAAGTCGTTTACGTTTGCTGGAATATGGTTGGAATACAACCTTAGAAAGTTCTAGGAGATATATTTTGTTTGTGCAACTAATTAAATGGTGACAACTATGGTAGTATGGACCATAAGCATTAAATTACGATAGTGCTGATATGCCAAAAGAAGATCCTTAGAAAAAGAAAAAAAACCGACTTCAATTGTAGCAAAATTTTTTATTTTGATTTAAAAACTAACGTACTGAACCGATTTCGATAAGATTTATTTATATGGGACTAATTTCTATCAAATAAAGAAAGAATTTTCCAAATCGATTTACAATTGTCAGTAATGCGGACTACCAGCCCCATTGTTAGCAATATATCCTGTCAGGTCGACCTTCACGTGGTCCCCTAGAAATCATCGTGCTGAATTCCAAGTGTATTCATCACAATGGGCTGACTTGCTTTTTCATCCTCACTGGTGTCCCGTCAGTGTATACCATTAACGCATGCAAGGTTGCCATTCCATTATTATTAAAAAAAAAAAGTGTTTTGTTAGCAAGTATGCGCGTATAAGTCCACTGGGAACGACTTATCCGGAGCCAGAGGACTATAGATATCTTAAACCGCGGGATATCGTAAAGGTAACACATAGGAACTAAAATGATAGAGTAAGGCAGGGGGAAGCACAAGAGATCCCAACGGGTCGTATCTGACCGCATACGCGAATAAAAGACAATCTCACCTCTTATGGTCGAAGACCTTGGTGCCGTCGTTGACGACCGCCATGATGTACGGGTTGTTGTGCTTGTTGTCGTTGTCGAAGGAGTCGAATATGATGGCGAGCCCGTTCCACCGGTCCGACGAGCCGAACACCTCGCCCGTGTACTCGCCGCGCTGCGTCGTGTACCAGAACGCCTGCGCGCAGCCGGTACGTACGTTCACAATATGTTAACTAGTTTAAAAGGGGGAAATCGGGGAGAAAGATCAAGGGAAGGCATTGTACTGTTGGTATACAGGTCTATTATTATTATTATTATTAAAAGACTCGAGCTTTATCGGGCAGAAATACCTGTGACACTGAAAACATGACCTTTCCATGATCTTTTGTGCTCGCCCCTTTTTTTATTAGTTTTATCTTTCTTTGGTCTCCCAGCAATGGTTACACTGATAAGATTTAGTATTAAAATTTCTTACTTTCTATTTATACTTAGTGTACAATCATTTTAAAGGAAACAGCGTGCTAATTAACAAATAAACAATAATATGGTATAACAATCTCTTGAGGTATTTAACATAGGTATAGTTTTTTAGATACAATAAATGATTGCTTCACATAAATTTTAGCTTTCTTTTTTTTATACTACTTAGAATGGCAAACAAGCTGACGGCCCACCTGATGGAAAGTGCTAACCGTCGCCTATAGACATGAGCAGTACCATGGACATAACAGAGTATACTGTTTCGCCCATGATACCCCCCATGCGTTGCCATTCCTAAGGACAGGTGTTATTCCTCTGTACCCTGTAAATTCACGCCATATTCCACCCTTCAAACCGAAACACAGCCATGCAAACACAATTGCTTCACTTCTTCGTGTTTCAACACGAATGGGACAGAGGTACCCAAGCAATCGACTTTTGTACAAAGTCTCCCTCTGGTAAATTAACTTGCTATTCAATTTACTGCAATGCTTTCCTATAGAAACCCCCTTCCGTATCGAAGTGAATATCCAAGTGTTGCTTGCAACCATTCAACAGCTTGCAGAGACGTGGTACAGTGGAGTTGGCACCAAGAACAATTCTACGTAACAGCACGTACATTGGACTAATATTACTACGGGGATAGTGTACAAGCAATCGAAATTGAATGGAATTTAGCAAGAAGCTGCGAACAGTTAATTCTGTTCTTGCTAGTTCGCTGCTAATTCCTATCAGTGATAGGTATTTTAAGATATTCTTTGTGGAGAAGTTTTTTATCACCTCAGGATAATAATAATAAAGGTCCAATGGGTTGTTAGGAATATACCCTAATAGGTCAATCATTGCGTGGCTCCCCTTCGACATGAAAACCAAGTAAATACGTCACGATGGGGCAATTGACTTGACTTCAACCTCATCAATAGTCCCTCACTGCTACCCCATCAGCGTGGAAGGGGAAAGGATTGTTAGTAATGCGGACTTGTCGTCTCATTGCTATCCCATCCATCCCATCGGCATCCCATCCCATGCTAGTAATGCTAGTAATCAGGTCGAGCTCCACGTGGTCCCCCCTGGTAAACAATCGTGCTGAACCCCAGGTGTACCCATCACGATGGGCTAACGACCTGCCTTGTCATCCTCGCCTATCATCTCTCACTGGTGGCCCTCCAGCGTATACCGATAGCATGGGCGAGGTTACCATTCTATTATCATATATAAACCCCCCCCCCCCATCAGTGTGGGGATGGGAAAATGATGTTAAGGTTTAATTTCCTATTGCTAGCAATATTCACATAGCATAGTAGAGGGAAAAATAGAGGGCAAGAGAGGAAGAGAAAGACCGAGGAATAACTACATGGGACAGATAAAAGAAACACTAGGTGTCATGTCGTATAGGGAGGTCAAGGATATGGCCTGGGATAGAGCTGGCTGGAAGAAGATGCATGAATTTGTTGCACTGATAAAAGGAAACTCTTAAATGGAAAGAAGAAGCAATATTCTCCTATCAGGTCGACTTCGAAGCGATTCTTCTTGGAAACAATTGTGTGTGTGTGTGTGTGGAATTCTTCACGATGAGGTAATTGACCTGGTCTCATCCTCACCTATCACTTCTCACTGGTGCCTCGCCACCGATAACGGGGTTATCATTCCATTATCATTCATTAAAAAAAAAGGAGTAATTTAAAACAAGTGTTTATTTAATTTGCTATGTATGTTAGTTTAAGTGAAATTTTATAAGCTAAGTAAGAACAATTTCTAGACTTTTCTATTCTTTTTATTCTAGAATTTCTTCAATGAGCTGATATTTTGTAAATACTTTTAGTTCTGGTAGCAGTCATCCTCCGCCCCCCCCCCCCCCCAAGGGGTTTTGCTAGTAGTTGCTAGGCTTGTCAGGCGGATTGGCACCCACAGTTAGGCTATAGAGATATTTAAGAATGTTACCCATCCTTTGCTCTCCTTTAGTCGCCACTTATTACACCCACGGGAAAGGAAGGGGTGGCCTATTCTATGCCGGGACCACATGGCCTGGTAAGAGTACAACTACAAAACTGCAATATTTTCAAAATGGCCGCCGCCACAAGGTGACGCATCATGTATTTATTTAACCTCCTTAATATGAGTATGAAATGTCTTTAAGAGCGTAGAAAACAATAACGTCAGTGACGTCACACTAAATTCAATATGGCCGTCGCCCGAATCGTCGTCCTATACTCCGTTTGCCCGTACGGGATCGCCACTCAAGAACCTTTGTTACCCATAGGTTGTCGGTTTTTCGAGCTATGTGATCAACCCATTGTCACTTCAGCTTGCTTATCCTTCAGGCTAATCCTGTCGGTTACGTTGGTTCTTTTGTGGATATCTTCGTTGGTGGTTGGGGTCAGATCGATGTTGATTATTCGTAATGCAGACTACCAGTCCTATTGCTAGCAATATACCCTGTCAGGTCGACCTCCACGTGCCCCCCCCCCCCTGGAAATCATCATGCTGAATTCCAGTTGTATTTATCACGATGGGCTAACTGACTTGCCTTTTCATCCTCACCCATCACCCCTCACTGGTGCCCCGCCAGTGTATACCGTTAGCGTAGGCAGAGTTACCATTTCATTATCATCCATTAAAAAAATTACATACCTCCACGTGGTTTCCCTGAAAACCACCTTGGTTAATTCTTGGTGAATTCGCTATGATGCGGCACGTGGGGTAAATGAGCCGAGATCTTCCTTGTCTATCATTATACACTGGTAGTACCCCATCAGCGCCTACTGACAGCGCAGGCGGGGATAATATCATGTTTACATCTTAGTAAAAAAAAACTCACCAGACCGTCGGCACCAATCCTGCCCCTTCCCGTGACCTTGAACATGATATCCACCTCCCACCAGTCAAAGTTTATGGGCTGCTTTGTCCAGATGGCGCCCTTCTGGCTCCGGAGGGAGGGCGCCAGGCGGACGCTCTCCCCGGACGCTATCGCATCTGTTGGTGGCGAGTTGGAGACATTAATGGCAGTTTACAAAATGATCAATTTTATACAATTTCGCACATCAAGTTATAAAAAATTTCCATAGAAAATAAGTCACGAAACTTCTGTCCCATAAAAAATTCTGTAATATATAAAATTCTCGTGTCACGGTGTTTGTTAACAAACTCCTCCAAAACGGCTTTACCGATTTTTATGAAATTTTGTGTGCATATTGGGTAGGTCTGAGAATCGGCCAACATCTATCTTTCATACCCCTCAATGATAGGGGTGACCCACCCCTAAATATTTTTTTTTTAAATTATTTTCAGTTTTAATTTATTATGATTTAACATTGAAAAATACAAATTCAAATTTTAACGCTTTTACGATCAACCCCTGTTGTTTAATCGCAATTTTTATATGCCGCAATAGGGTTGCAAGATGACAATCGAATATAATAATTGTAGTACGATAAATTTTCATGTATAGTTCTAGAAATAATGTATATGGTAAACAACGTTTGTCGAGTCAGCTAGTACATTATATAGCTTGGCAATGATAATGAATTTGATTTCACCATGTTTTCAGCCATCTTTTCAGCAAAATATCAATTTTTTTCAAATGCAATTTAGAATGGCAAACAAGCTGACGGCCCACCTGATGGAAAGTGGTATCCGTCACCTATAGACATGAACAGTAGGTATCATAGATGTATATCGAGTGGAAACTCAAATGGGATAGGGATTTTTTTTGATGGGTGAAAATGGTATGGTAACCCCGCCTGCGCTAACGGGATACGCTGGCGGAGCCCAGTGAAGGGTGATAGATGAGAATGAAAACAGGCCAGTTAGTCTATCATGATGAATTCATCAGGAATTAACCATGAAAGTTTCCAGGGAGAACCGCTAGGACGTCGACCTGGTTGGGTATATTGCTAGCAATGGGATTCTCAGTCTCCATTAGTAACAATCCCTTGCTTTCCAATGGAACAGGGGTGTCTAAGCAAACAAGCAAGCAAGAGTCGTTTAAATACACCTATAAATAAAAAAAAAATTGAGACTACGCAAAGGAAAACAGTAAAAATTATATAAACCATTGCTAATAAATGGATATGAAAGATAAACGACATGGCCGCTGAAACAGAATTTTATTGAGCTACCATAAAAATCGACTTGATAACGGACATACGAGCCGTAAACCGTCATTATCTAATCCAGTAGGGATTGTATAGTATATTTACATATCTGATTACGTACAGCAGTATGCGCCCGTTTCAGCTTCCTACATTTTACACTTTTTAAGCTACTCTCGCAATGTATGACGACCCCCCACTACAGGCGGGAGAAAGGGATTGTTAGTGATGGAGACAGAGAATCCCATTGCTAGCAATATACCCAACCAGGTTGACCTCTTTGCGGTTCTCCCTGGAAACTATCATGATTAATTCCTGATGAATTCATCATGATGGGCTAACTGGCCTGTTTTCATTCTCATCTATCACCCTTCACTGGTGCTCCGCCAGCGTAGGCAGGGTTACCATACCATTTTTAACCATAAAAAAAATGCTCTATGAGGTCAACGTCCATGTGGTTCCCCCTGTGGGTCTTTTTTTTATGGGTGATAATTAAATAGTAACATCACCACCGCTATCGGTATACACCGGCGGGGCACCAGTGACGGATGATAGGTGAGGATGAAGTAGGTCAGTTAGCCCATCGTGACGAATTCAACAAGAATTGTTCACGATAGTTTTCAGACAAAACCACGTGGAGGTCGACCTAATAGGGATATTGCTAATAATGAGACTGTCTAACTCCATTGCTAAGAATCCCTTTCATTCCCCTGACAACCGCAGTCAGGCTTTGGAGATGTTTTAAGAGGGACGCTGTCGCCCATCCCTCGCCCTCCCTTAATTGCCTCTTACGACACCCAAGGGAAAGGAAGGGGTGGCTAATTCTATGCTGGGACCACACAGCGACATATAATTAAAAGGTTTAAAGTCAATTTTGATTGCAATTTAACGTTTCGCAAAATCTCATTTAGCGGCGCGTACGCAAGTCTGATTGTTATGCTTATTCAGGAACAATCGATTGCTGCAATTAGCAACAGACATGCGTTGGCATAAGTAGTAACAAGAAATATTAAACTTTACTTCCTTTGATATTAGGTTCATTTTCTTAGTATTGTATATAAAACATTGAAACGACACGTTTATGCAGAATATTCAACCTTATAGCTTTTGCATTAGAGATGTTTTTTTTTTAAATATACATCCAGTTTCCTTGTAAATGTATTCATAATTTCATATCGTATTGTTATGATATTAAAGTATAGTTTAAAATGCTCTCTATTTAACAATAACAAGCACGTACGTGTAAAAAGGATGGCTATTTCTACATAATACTTTATTATTAGTTCTAATGTGCATAGTAATGTGAAACATTCACACCTAGTAAATTATTTAACAAAAAATGGAACAGTAACCCCGCCTGCGCTAACAGTATACACTGGCGGGGCCCCAGTGAGACATGTTAGGCGAGGATGAAATCAGATCAGTTGGTCCATCGTGATGAATTTTTTTAATGGATGATACTAGCGTGGTTACGCCGTCTGTGCTGACGGTATAAGCTGGTGGGGCATCAGTGAGGGATGATAGGTGAGAATGAAAGGGCAGGTTGTTAGCCCATCGTGATGAATATGATATATCTATATCATATTCATCACATATAATATGATACATCTGGAATTCAACACTATGGTTTCCAAGGGGGAACACATGGAGGTTGATCTGATAGGGTATATTGCTAGCAATGGGATTGCTAATTTCCATTACTAACAATCCCTTCTACCTCCATCATGACAAATGATTATAATTAACTATGATGATTTCCAAGGCAAATCACATCAAGGTTGACTAGATAGGATATACAGCTAGCAATGGGGCAGTTGGACCCAAAGTTTTAATCAACATTTATAGTTTTTATGTTTTTAAATTTCACATGTCTAATTGTGAAAAAAATATGTGGACATTATCTATTGTTAACATCCATACATTTATTTATTCATTAGTACAAATATGTGTACATGGCGGACTTAATGCTAAAAGCATTCTCTCCCAGTTAACCATAGGCAAGTGTCAGAATACACGAATGCGGTACTACTAATTATTGATATATATACATACTAAAATTACATATATAAACGAATAAATATATATGAATAACAAATATACTTACACATATATGATATATACTTTATTACATTTACCATGTTTTCTATAAATAAATAATTATTCATAAATTCAATTCCTTTATTAGAGAGTGAGGTGTATCTAGTGATTTCATCACATGGCCTAATTGAACTACTTCTTGTTCACCATCATCTGTTATTGGTAGCCAGCATATACCAACAGTGCAGGCAGGGTTTCCATTCTAATTGTACACCATTAAATAAACTTCACTTTTACATTGTGTAATGTAGATCTTTTATTACAGTATGTAAATCAATATGATGCCCACAGCCACTTTCTACCATCGTACTGCTCGCCATCGGCAGGGAGTTCATCCTCATGTCCTACAGCCTCAATGGTCGCGTACTGTGCAGTTTCAGAGATGTTTCCTCCCACGAACACTCAGGTTGTGGAATGAGCTCCCTGCCGAGGTTTTCCCAAGAGACTACAGCATGGGGTTTTTCAACAGAGGGGTAAAGAGGTTTCTTCAGGGTCGGCAATGCACACGTAATACAGGTGTTGCAGGTCCTCTGGTATTGCAGATGTTCATAGGCTACGGCAACCACTTACCATCAGTTGGGCCGTATGCTTGTTTGCCACCTCAGTGGTATAAAAAAAAAAACATACTATAACAATACAAAAGATCTTTTACATTTTCCAGTGGATTGTAGTCAGAATTACAATATGAGGAAGTGAATTCTAAGGATATGTCATTGCAGGTTTGAGATACCCAATACCTCATACTCATTTGTGTCATGAAGCAGTTGTGTTTGCAAAGCCATGTTTCATTTTGAAAGAATATGGTAATGGAATTACAGGGTACAGAGGCATAACACCTTAGTCCTCAGGAATGGTAATACATAAAAGGTGGGGGGAAAGGGATTGTTAGTAATGGAGACTGAGAATCCCATTGCTAGCAATATACCCAACCAGGTCAACCTCCTTGCGGTTCTCCCTCGAAACTATCATGGTTATTTCCTGATGAATTCATTGTGATGGGCTAACTGGCCTGTTTTCATTCTCATCGATCACCCTTCACTGGTGCTCTGCCAGCGTGTCCCGTTAGCGCAGGGTTACCATACCATTTTCACCCCTCAAAAAAACTGTGATGTTGACTGGCTCGGCAAGTGTGGCAACTACTGGCAATATCCCTGAATGGCAAGGGCAGTGTACGGAGAAGGCTTATGTTCAGTAGTGGACAGTTAACAGCTGGTATGATGACTATTTTAAACGAGAAAATTGGTGTGGATGGACAGATGTACGTTTTATTTTTACAATAAAACTACTGGGTAGATTTAAACGAAATTTGGTACACAGATAGGTTATATCCTAACATAACATATACGGTACTCCATATACAGATTCGCGCGAGCAAATCCGCGGAAAACGGTAATTTATAATTACTATACAGAATTAATTTCAAATTATAATCTTATTAGCGCGTTAATTTAGAATGTTTCTCTTGAAGTGGTTTAAAAATTTGATAAATAAATTCAAATTGGCAATTTCGTAATTTCACGCGTTTCAGACCGCTGGCTGCCGTCGTGGAACCACAAACACAATTTTCGACAACTTTCTTTTGTCTTGCTCTAACTATAGTAATTCGTATACATACATCTCTTTCTAACATGACAGATTTCACTGACGTGTCGCTGTCAGCAGATAAAACAGCAACAACAACCCATATTTTTTTTTCCTTTTTTTCTGTTTTTATAACATAAATTGAATGTATCTCGAAGCGGATTGTTAAGTAAGGATGTCACACGTAGACTTACAACGACTCTTGTTAACAAAACAGTCGTAATTACGAGGAAAAGGTTATACTCACTTCCACCATATTCCCAGAATGGGACAGATCCATCCTTTTGCGCTAAATACGGCGGTTTGAATGAATATTTGTATTCAAAACGTCTATGCACTTGTTGTGTATTACCACGCACTAAAATACTTAATATTGTGAAAATTAATAAATTAATATAAAGGGAAGCCATCGCGATTACCGTGGCCGACAATTGTTCACTTTCAATCAATTGACAGTTGATAAACTTGAAGTAGTGTCAAAAAAATAAAAAAAAACTATACTAGTGTTGCAATTCAAGATTAGATTTTCGGTTTAATTAAAAAAAAAACACTATATTTGATTGAAATTAAATTAAATTGTTAATTTAAAATATAATAATATCATATATAATTGAAGTCTATAACGTAAGGATAAGCAAGCTGAAGTGAAAATGGGTTGGTCACATAACTCGGAGAACGGATAAGAAAGGTTCTTAAGTGGCAACTTCGTACGGGTAAACCTAAGAACAAGGAATTACATAGAATGGAATGGATGAATACCATATGGTTACCTCCTTTCTTTTTATGAAATAGAATTTGTAAAAAGATGACGAAAGATACCAATCAAAAGACCATCTGTTGTCATTTTACTCAATTCATCTAAGAACAAAGAATTATATAGAAGAAGTGATAAGATTGTCAATTAATAGCAGGTTAGTGCATAAAAAATGTTATATAGCATTTTCGATACACTAGCCTGCTATGAATCTAAGAACAAGGAATTACATAGAACGAATGATAAAATAAAAATGTAAATCATATAGTTGTCTCTTTTTTCTTATGCTAATATTATTAACAAAAAGAGAACGTGAGATATACTACCAGTTTTTTTTCTCGATTCGTATTAGGCTAGTGTGTAGAAAATGTTTGTTATGTCAAATATTTGACAATAATAAATTTTACATTATTAGATTATATATTCGACACAGTTTATATAGAAAGTATGCAAGCAGGTTGTATCTAAATTTGTTAGGATTATACGGTCGTATAACATTTTCTATACATTTCTATAAATTATGAATTGATAATTTTATCACTCTTTTTAGTAATTCCTTGTTCTTAGCTGTATCTACATTTTTGTCTTGTGAAATTGTCAATAACATTATTATAGTTTAAACTTAAAGACAGCAATAAGTTTAATTCAATATTAAGTATTGGGGGGAAAGGGATTGTTAGTAATGTAGACTGAGAATCTCATTGCTAGCAATATACCCAACCAGGTCGACCTCCTCGCGGTTCTCCCTGGAAACTTTCATGGTTAATTCCTAATGAATTCATCATGATGGGCTAACTGGCCCGTTTTCATTCTCATTTATCACCCTTCACTGGTGCTCCGCCAGCGTATCCCGTTAGCGCAGGCGGGGTTACCATGCCATTATCACCCATCAAAAAAAAAAAAATTAAGTATTGCTAACTATATTTTTTTATTTTCACTCTCTTTAGACAAAGAAACTCTGCACACCACTAAAAATATTGATTGCCGTCGATACGCACATTTTAAGGCTACGTAAACGTATGAGTAAATTGTATAAATATTTTATATTGAGTGCACTTACTGACTTACTCTTTGTAACCATGCGCCTCTAGGCGCGTATTTAGTTTGTCTTAGGTATGATAGGGATGTAGCCACTTATATATAAACGACATATCTTTGTAAATTACACTTTATATGCCCGAAGATATAAAACATCACTACAAAAAACATCTTAAAATTCCCATCACTGATTGGAATTAGCAGCAAATTTTAAAAAAAGAGCAAGCGCCAAAGGTTATGGATAGTCGCAGCATCAGTTTTTTTTTTGCCTGAAAAACACAGTGTTAAAATGATTGTGTAGACTTATTTATTTAATTATGTCAGTCGTAGCTATTTGACAAATATGTCTGATAAGTACAGTTCGTAATGTATCATTTTATAGTTATACAAACTTAACGTTAACTGCTTTTAGTAGAAAATGGAGATAGACAGAAAGTTAAGAATAACATAATGTTGCTGATTTGCATCACGCGCTAGGATCACGGCGATTAATTCTTTTCAAATGGGTAACATGGATGGCTCTGCCATTTTAGCTGCGGAATCGTTCTGTAACCCTTATCGTAAGTCTTCAGCAAGTCGCGATCCTGTTGCGTGAGGCTGAAGTCGAAAATATCCACGTTCTGTTCGATGCGCGACTTTGTCAAGGATTTGGGGATTGGAACCACTCCAATATCGACCTGGAAAAAAAAAATAAGTACATTGTCTTCTAAACAAGGTTTGTTTAGAAACATCAATCAACCGATTTTAAAAGGAAGTTCTCAATTCGGCTGTATTTTTTTCATGTTTGTAACCCTGATGGAGTTATGTGGATTTGGAAAATTCTTTTCTATCAAAAAATATATATTTATAATTTGGTTTCATAGAAATTTGATTCGGTATTGGTTTAGTAGTTTAGTTTTTAAATCAAATTAACACAATTGAAGTCTGTCACAAGTGAAGGATTTATTTCAACTGAAGTCTGTTTTTTATGGAACACAATTTTTAAATATTATTATGAAACTGGACCGTGGCTGGACCCAAGTTTAAGATAAGACAAAAGAACTTTACTCCTTGGGTTTTTCATTCTAAAGTAGGGCATTGCCCCTCAATGCCTTTTGCCCTAGTTTGTGTGAAACACGATCTAGGTTATAGAGAACTAGAGAGAACAAGCTTCTGTAATAGAAGCAAGCTGACACATTAGAACGAGAATCAGGACACGCGCAGTGCAGTTTCAGAGGAGCTTCCTTCCGGTTGCGGAAACTCAGGTTGCGGAATGATCTTCCAGCCGAGGTTTTCTCTAAAGACTACAGCATAAAATTCTTCAAAAAGGGCGCATTAAGGTTTCTTAAGGGTCATCAACATTTGGGTGACATCCCTGATGTTACAAGCATCTATAGGCTACGGTAACCCGGTTTACTAACAAACGGGCCGTATGCTTGTTTGCTACCGTAGTAGTATAAAAAAATTGCACAATTTTGAAATATCATTTCTTTTTCAATTGGGCGGAAATAGAGATAAAATAAAAGCTGGACAATTAACAGAAATATATTATCATTACAACAGCGATGGTGTGCTTGCATGCTCGCTATTTGTAAAATTTCAACCCGATCAAGAAGTGGTTTTTCCAGAACAAACTCGGATTGGAGGAAACCGTCGTGTTTAATTCTAATCAAATTCGTCATAATGAGAGAACTAAGGTCAGTTGGCCCATCATGGTGAGGTTTGAAGCAGGGGCTTTAATCCTCACTTATCATTTCTTACCTTCTTATATTGTTAGATATATTATATATAATTTTTTCACTAATGGCTTACTCTGATATTCTTACCAGATATCTCAGCACCACTTGCGGCACAGTTTTCTCATACTTCCTGGCAATCTCCACGAGAGCCGGCTCGTCTACTCTGGGCGGGGGCGCGTCACTCTTCGCCTTACTCGGGAATATGGATCCGAATGGTGTGTATCCCATGACAATAATGTTTTTCTCCTTGCAGTATGATAGCAACTCGGGCTGTTGAAGGTTGAGGTTGATCTTAAAGAAGGAAAAATAAAATAAAAATTAATGAACAAGAAAAATTTCCCAGAATTTGATCCCTGATGGGATGGATAATCATATATATACATATATGTATATATGGTGTGTGGTGATTATATATACTTCGTCTGCATGATTGGGATATGTTTATTGACCGGGATATATCCTTCTGTATCTAATCTACGTTTATATTACGTTTATACCAAAATGCATAGTGATTTGTGGTCGGCGTGATATGTCTTCTTCTTTCACAAATTCCTGTCAACTGTCATTTCCGGGCTTACTCCTCTTTTATGCATATCACCTTTCATATAGTCCGTTCACTTTTTCTTCAGTCATTTTCTTTCTTTACATCCATCCACTTTCATACTTAACATTTACTTTGAAATGTGGCTTTCGTTATGATATGTCCATACCAAGATATTCTATTACAAATTATATAGGTTTAAACGCTCATGAACACCTGCATGGACTGTAAGTGTGCAGCCGGCGTTTTAGGAAGCTCTTAAAGCTTCCAGTAGTATAATAATTACTTACCTCTACTTGTAGGACCGCCGGTGTCTCGAGCCCATTTTCAATGAGTCTGTCAATTTGTTGCCTATTGAAATTCGACACACCTATTGACTTTGCCAATCCTTGCTTCTTCGCTTCGATCATGCCCTTCCATGTGTCTACGTAGTCAGTGTAGTCATATGTAAGGTTACTCTAGAATTGAAAGGTACGAGGAGAAATCTTAGCGATGTAGGATTTTATTGATCAATAATTAATATACATATAGTCATTTCATCAGCATACCAGCCGTTAATTATCTGTTGCTGAACATAGGCTTCCCCCAAAAGAGGAGTTTTGCCAGTACTTGTCACGCAGTCAGGCTTTGGTGATGTTTTAAGAGGGACGCTACTGCCTATCCGTCGACCGTACGACGTTACGACAGCCAGGAAATGGAAGAGTTGGTCCATTCTCTGCCGTGTTCACACAGTTAGTATTATACAAATAAAACGTTAAAATTTATGTCAAACAGGTTTGACGGTAAGATTATTTGGACAAAATTTTAGCGTTTATAATCCTTCATCCGTTGTATCACTAGAGACTCGATGAACTTTTAGTATTTCGTTTCATGACACAACAAGACTTATCATCATCGTTTCAGCCATTATCTGTCCATTGCTAAACATAGGCTTCCCTCGTAGACTGCCATAAGGAACGATCTTGAGCCACCTGCATCCGCTGACTGTCTGCAAAGCATTTGAGGTTGGCACTCCATCTAGTGGGGAGTCGTCCTATATTGCATTTGCCCGTACGAGGCTGCCACTCAAGAATCTTTCTCCCTCATCGGTTGTCAGATCTTCGAGCTAGATTATAGATAACCAGACTCCGTAAACTCAATATTTATCTCTAAATCTTACATGTAACTTCTTATGTACAATTAAAATTAAACATACTACCGTTAGAGAGAGTTATGTCGGATCGACTTCTAAATAGTCTTTCTTGGATAGAAAACTGGAATCTGGAATCACCAAGGTTAATTCCTGGTAAACTGTTTAGAAATCCTCTCCTATAATCCCTCACAGATGTCTCGCTAGCGTATACTGATAGTGCAGGTGGAGATATCATTCCATTTTTATTCCATAACAACAAGAAATACTCTAATGGTTTCTACTCACAAACTGTCCGACGGGCCAATGTATGAGGTACAAGTCCACATAGTCCAAGTTTAGTCTTCGTAGAGATTCCCGAAGTGCCGGTACTACCGCGTCTAGTGCGTGGGCATCGTTCCACAGCTGCGATAGATATATTTTTGTTAATACGAGCTTCTATTTAAAATGCAATTTTCCTTAGTTGGTTTAGCCAGGTTTTGTTAGTTGGTTTAGTTAGATTTTTTTGTTACTATTTTTTTGTTAAAAATTATAATTGTAAGTATTTTTTTATGTTACACAATAAATATTCTTCTTTATTTCCTAGGAAAATTAGAAAAAAGAATAGTGAAAAGTTTATAATCTGTATCATTCTTTGAAGAGAACAATAAAGAGTTTTCATTCATTCATTCATTCATTCAATTGTTTGTTTATATATATATTTCTATTAAGATCTATGATACGTTTCTTGAGATATAGCAATGAAATTAAAAAGTACAGAGGCATCTTCAGGAATGACAATACATGAAGAGTACTCTGTTATATTCATGGTACATGTCTATAAGCGACGGTTACCACTTTTTATCAGGTGAGCCGTCAGCTTGAATGCCATTTTAATTCGCACAAAAAATGTTCTATTGTAATTGACTATACCTTGGTTGTTATAAATAAATCTTCCCTCTTCAGTTCTCCGCCTATCTTGGCATTAACTGCCCTTCCAACTTGGTCTTCTATCTTGTAAGCGAAGGCGGTGTCAATGTGGCGGTAGCCAGCGTCTATCGCCCACTTCACAGCTTGTTCCACCTCTGTACCAACTGGCTCCACGCGACCCTGTAATTTCCAAAACAAGTCTCTTTAAAAACATTTTATAACAAGCTGTTATAATGTAGTCCGCCATCTTGTGGTTGTGGCCATTTTAAAATGATGTTATTTATTTTATTGTTACGTAATTTTTAAAGCTCTATCATTTGATCCCATTAACAGATTGGACAAAACATAACACCATCCGCCATCTTGTGGCGGCGGCCATTTTAAAATTATTACGTTAGTTGCATTATCATCATAATTAATTCTAAGTATTAATTGTATGTGTATTCAAAATTACAGCAAAATTGATTAGAAGGAATAGCCTGTAAGATTTGATCTAAACAAACTAATAAACATACATTTTGAGTTTAAAGTTGGAGGATGAAGGCATTTTTTTGCTAGTTATCAATTTACAATTCTCTTTGTAATTAATAAGGTTTAATAATTTAATGACGATAGGAGTCGTCGTTTCTATCTGTTGAGCAAAAAACTGCTTGTTACAAAGTAAAATCTATATGTGAACACGTAATATTACAATGGAGTTTGGATGGATTCACGATTGAAGCTACTTATTTTTTGCGAAGCAGTATTCTCACCTGTGTATTGTTACCAAGCCACGTCCCCAAGGCGATGGTTGGTATATCTCGGCCATCTAGCAATTTCAATGTAGGAACCGTCACCCCGTACTGTAATGAAAGATGGATACTTAACTTTGATTTACGATTTAAAAATTACTATTTAATTGTTTAATTTATCGACTAACTCGGCACGTCACTATTTTGCATACAAGACGTATTAAGCTGACCTCTATTGGTATTCGATTTTTTCAGAACTCATTCAAAAAAAGAACGATTACTGATTCGAGTCTGAGGATACGGGCCAGTACTTGTATGGGTACTTAAATGCCTTATCTGACTCGAATTTTTTTAAGATCATCTACAAAAATAAAAAAAAAACTGTTCAGATTTAGAGCAAAATACTAATATTATAATTTATAAGAATTCCCCAGATCAGGGCAATTTATTAAATTTGAATTTGGAACTATTTATTCTGATATAATATAAATATGTTACGTAAATACGCAAAGGCATATACATGTTGCTTATAAATTAATGTACCTACTGTATTCATTAATATGGCGGCCATTTTCAATGATTTAAAAATGAAAAGATATTTTATGTCTATATTTAGATATAAATAAGTATTCAGTAAAGATAAACATCATTACGAATTATATTCGTAGGGATTTTATATCATTTTTATTTTTCGACTTAACCCTGCAATGTAATTTCTCCCATGTACTGAGTAGTAAATGCACATTATGGCAACTCTATTTAGGAATAAAACATTTGACCTGTATCTGACCAACTTCACTGGAAAAGTATTCGTATTGATAGAGTCACTGTAAAGGTTGCCTGCAAGAGATCGCTCTTAGCGATAAGGCCGCCCATTGTTTTCTCACTGTGATCATTTCTTGTAATTGTTTATATTTATAATAAGTTTACTATTGTAATCTTATGGAGGGAACTATAAAGAGCATATATATGTATTAAGAATGAATTCTCATTACAACTAAAGGTATCTATAAAAAAAAAATCAGATATCAAGAAGTGGTTCTAATTCAGTTCGCAAGATTTGATGTAAACAAACAAACATACATAGAAAAGAAAGAAGAAAAAGCTTCATGGACAACAATTACATTTACAAAACAAAATAAAAAGAGACCAGAGTTAGACTTTGTACAAAAGTCGTTTGCTTGGCCACCTCTGTCCCATTCGTGTTTCTACCGTGAAGCAGCTGTGTTTGCATGGCTGTGTTTCGGTTTGAAGGGTGTGATATGACAGTGAATTTACAAGGTACAGAGGAATAACACCTGAGTCCTCAGGTATCATGGGTGAAACAGTATACTCTATTATGTCCATGGTACTGCTCATGTCTATAGGCGACGGTTACCACTTTCCATCAGGTGGGCCGTCAGCTTGTTTGCCATTGTAAATTCTATAAAAAGAGAAATAAATAAAAGTAGAAGCCAAATGTATTTAATTCGATTTAGTCTGCTTGTTTGCTGTTATAATATGCATAAAAAAATTAATTATTATTATTACATAAGTATTTTAAACAAGCTTTTATTGCAAGTTGAATAAAAGCTTGTAAAAGAAAAGCATGGAACCACACAGTAGGTAAATATAGCAATAAGCACCGAAATCATTAACTTGACGACCGTGACATTAGTGCTTTTGCTATATTTAGATAATAAAGACAAAAAAAAAACAAAGAACTGGTTATAAATTAGAAAAAAAAAAAAACTTCTCACTCACGCCTGTGTGTATTGTAATAAAAAATGTACAAAAAACCAGAGTAAACATTACAATAGTCGCTACACTAGTTCGCCTTCACTCCGCGACACCGCTGTGGGAGAACAAAACAGGCTTCGCGTCCGATAGTCACGAACACACGAACATACCAGCAGAATATGTAAGTACAACTGCACACTAACAACTGGGCTTGAGTGGGGGGAAAGGGATTGTTAGTAATGGTCGACCTCCTCGCGGTTACCCCATGAAACTATCATGGTTAATTCCCTGTGAATTCATTATGATGGGCTTTTTTTTGATACAACTTAGAATGGCAAACAAGCTGACTGATGATGGAAAATGGTAACCGTCGCCTATAGACATGAGCGGTACAATGGACTTATCAGAGTATACTGTTTCGCCCATGATACCCCCCTTGCGTTGCCATTCCTGAGGACTCAGGTGTTATTCCTCTGTACCCTGTAAATTCACGCCATATCCCATCCTTCAAACCGAAACACAGCCATGCAAACACAACTGCTTCACGGTAGAAACACGAATGGGACAGAGGTACGCAAGCAATCGACTTTTGTACAAAGTCTCTCTCTGGTGAAAGGTCGACCTGACAGAGTATATTGCTAGCAATGGGACTGGTGGTCCACATTACTAACAATCCCTTCCCCCCTTAGAGATAAGTCTATTTGAATTAAGACTATTCCTATTCTATTCGTGTCGGCTTCGCTTACGTTTTAAATTCAGTATTGCTAATACAGTATAGTGCATGGATTACAATGCAGTATGACTCACGACATACGGTACCTTACTGGTATTGTAAATGTTATTGTTTTTTTTTTTGTTGTCTTATAGCTCCTTAACCCTTCTTTGCATGATTTTTTTATAGGTGAAATATATCAAGGATGATATAATTCATGTACAAAATTAAAGGAAAAATGGTTAAAATAATAAATTTTTCTCAAAAATGCTTGGAAATGTGACCATTATTTTGACAATCTTCTTCGAGATAAATCAAAATTGCCGTACTGGCCAGATACATGCGGGCAGCGGCCGGCAAAAGTTGTATGAAAATCCATACCTGTCGTGTTTTGCGGCCAGATAAATTACTATGTAAACTCATATCTGTCCTGTAATTTAAAAATGGAATGACCTTTTACTTCGAAACATGGCTACCAAGGAGGTAACTAATAAAAGGTTTTATTAAAATTTCGAACTGGCTTGCAAATAGAAAGCTGTTTATTGAAAAAAAAACAAAGGAACATTATGGCGCGTGAAAAATTATTATTGTTCGTTATTCGTCATTGAACTTAAAAAGTAAAATTGTGTTTTTGATTTCCGCGCATTTTTTGAGAAAAGTACCATACAAGCCTTGGCCACAACTAAACAGACGATGTAATATTTCAATTCGTCAATAATTAAAATTTGAGAATGTTCCTGTGATAAAATCGACAAAACTCGATTACCTTTTGTAATGAAACTTGAGTTTTTTTTAATGGGTAAGAAACTTTATTGTTTTATTTATTGAAACAGCTTATAGTTCTGTATTTATTGCGATCCACGGCCATCGCTTAGTCCATGGCCGTTGATGGGGGGCGGGGGGGCATTGAGTGTCAATGGCCGACCTTAAAAGGCTCAATACATTCTTATGTCCGTTTTATCCCAAAATCCACGCATACGTTAATATTATAAATAGGAAATATTTTATTTTTTCTTTGTATTATATATTATTATCGCCACCATCATATTGTTATGATGAGCTGACGGCCCACCTGATGTAAAGTGGTAATCGTCGCCTATAGACATGAGCAGTACCATGGACATAACAGAGTATACTGTTTCGCACATGATACCCCGCATGCGTTGCCATTCCTGAGGACTCAGGTGTTACTCCTCTGTACCCAGTAAATTCACGCCATATCCCACCCTTCAAACCGAAACACAGCCATGCAAACAACTGCTTTACGGTAGAAACACGAATGGGATAGAGGTACTCAAGCTATCGACTTTTGTATAGTCTCCCTCTGGTAAAGCACGTCCAGTATGTGGCACGTCTAGTGAACTTAAATCAGATAGATAGATAGATACTCTTTATTGTTCCCTCCAAAAGATTACAATAGTAAACTTATTATAGATATAAATAATTACAAGAAATAATCAGTGTAGTTATATATCTGTGTTTAGGTCGCTATGGCAACTAGATGTTCTAATATGGCTGTGGATTGTTACATAAAATATATTACGATTTGCTGATTCTTTTTATTCTCTTTAATACATATCAGCCATTAACTGCCCATAGGCACTGTTGAACATAGGCCTTCCTCTATTGAGGGGTTTTGCTAATAGTTACCAGGCTTGGCAGGCGTGTTGGCAAACGCAGTTAGGCTTTAGAAATTTTTTAAGAGGGATGCTGCTGCCCATCCCTCGCCCTCCCTTAGTCGCCTCTTAAGACACCCACGAGAAAGGAAGGGGTGGCCTATTCTATGCCGGGACCTATATATAAATTATATATTATAAAATTTACTAATTTATTTTTCTACTTTTTTCTTGCGACGGCAGAGCGGTAAAGTCATAAGTAAGATATGATTGTAGTATATCTGGTAGAGAATGCCACATAGTATTAAGCTCGCCACTTGTACAAAGTTTTATTGTGCAATAAAGTATAAATAAATAAAAATATAAGGAATTCACGACTTATCGCGGCCATTATTGGTCGCCACCGGTCGCTCAGTGTGCGGATGCCCTTAGATAAAACTTGCTTCTAATTATACAACCTTACTGGATAAACTTTATATGGTAAAGAGGCGTTCACATTGATTCTGTAAATAATAGTTTAACATTTATTTTTACAACACGGGGGGCAAACGAGCATGCGGCTCACTTAATGGTGAGTGACAACCGCCGCCCATGATCACCCACAACACCAGCGGCATTGCAGGTGTGCTGCCAGCCTTTTAAAAAGGAATGTGCTCTTTTCTTGAAGGTCATGTTGTTGTATCGGTTCGGAAATACTACTGCTGGAAGTGGATTCCAAAGAGTGGTTGTGCGTGGAACAAAACGCGATGTGGAGGACCGCCATACATCTAGATAGTTGGGATGAAACTTTATTTTATGGTGGGTTGTATGGTGGTGAAAGTCAGCAGCGGATATCAATCCGAAACAAGATATTGATATTTAAGGGGTTCGTGCGGAGCATATGTTATTTATAATTACAAATAATATTGAAAATAAAACACCATACCTTAGCGCCTAGATGGTCGCGTACAACGCGGTTTTAGAGATGTTTCCACTCACGAACGCTCAAGTTATGGACAGAGCTCCCTGTCAAGTTTTATTTCGAAGAAACTACAGCGTGGGGTTCTTTAAAAAAGGGATAACGAGGTTTCTTCAACGCGTGTAATGCCCCTGGTATTGCAGGCGTTCATAGGCTACGGTAACCGTTTAATATCAAATGGGCCGTATACTTGTTTGCCACCTCAGTGGTATAAAAAAGAAATAATAGCACTGTGAATTTTCCAATGACAACTTCTTTTTTTTTTCATGTACATTCAAAACATTTATAAATGGCCAGGTCGAAATTTAATAAATAGATATATAATAAATAGATTATATTTTTTACATATTTGTATATATATAATTTTATATATATGTATCAATAATTAATCAACTATATTCAAATGTCAAAATGTAAATAAATCTTCTTGGTACTCAGAAAATAAATAAATATGTCTACAAATTTGTTTCAATAGATACTTATCAATAAAAACGAGAAAATTCTAAACTCGATTCTAAACTCGACTTGATTTTTTTTTTATTTGAAAGAATATAAGGCTAGCAATATACCTTATCAGGTCGACCTGCACAAGGTTCCCCTGGAAACCATCGTGCTAAATTTCAGGTGTATTCATCACAATGGGCTAACTGACCTGCCTTTTCATCCTCACCTATCATCCGTCACTGATGTCACGCCAGCGTAAACTAATAACGCGGGCGGGGTTACCATTTCATTATCATCAATTAAAAATGCATAAATCCACGCTGAGAGAAAAAGAGAGAGAGACTTACTACAGAAGTCGTTTGCTTGGGTACCTCTATCCTATTCGTGTTTCTACCGTAAAGCAGTTGTGTTTGCATAGCTGTGTTTCTGTTTGAAGGGTGGGATATGGCGTGAATTAACAGGGTACAGAGGAATAACACCTGAGTCCTCAAGAATGGCAACGCATGTAGGAGTATCATGGGCGAAACAGTATACTCTGTTATGTCCATGGTACTGTTCATGTGTATAGGCGACGGTTACCACTTACCATCAGGTGGGCCGTCAGCTTGTTTGCCATTCTAAGTTGCATATAAAAAAAATCAAAATAATGTCTAAAAACTGGTCAAATATGAATGAAAAAATATTATGACATACATACTGTGAAATGGGCCGAACAATGATGATGATGATGATGTAAAAATATCACCAGTGTGTGTACACACGCTAAGCGTTATTACGACTCTTGATCAACACCTGCCTCTCAGTAGTGAGCCAGTGTTCGCAGTGTTTGGACGTCGGGATGGCTCTTCATTCCTATATTTTCGTGTTTGTATCCTTACTGCTTCTTAATGTAAGTATTTCATTTTATAATATTTAACTAGCGATTCACCCCGGCTTGTCACGAGTAGGTAATGTAGCGACCTTTATTTTTTTTTGGATAATAAAATACAAGCCGTGTTGACAGGGGGGAAAGGGATTGTTAGTAATGGAGACTGAGAATCCCATTGCTAGCAATATATCTGACCAGGTCGACCTCCGCGCGGTTCCCCCTGGAAACTATCATGGTTAATTCCTGATGAATTCATCATGATGGGCTAACTGGCCTGTTTTCATTCTCATCTATCACCCTTCACTGGTGCTCCGCCAGCGTATCCCGTTAGCGCAGGCGGGGTTACCATACCATTTTCACCCATCAAAAAAAAACCGTGTTGACAACATAGCATTCTACAGGTGGAAGAGTTTTTAATTATTTGTTTAAGTATTTTTTGAATTAATTAACACACTTCAAAAAGAAGGAGGTAATTCGATTGTTTTATGTTCGTTTGTTTGTTTGTTTGTTTTTTTTTTATCCAACTTAGAATGGCAAACAAGCTGGCGGCCTACCTGATGGAAAGTTGTAACCGTCGCCTATAGACATGAGCAGTACCATGGACATAACAGAGTATACTGTTTCGCCCATGATACCTCCAATGCGTTGCCATTCCTGAGGACTCAGGTGTTATTCCTCTGTACCCAGTAAATTCACGCCATATCCCACTCTTCAAACCGAAACACAGCCACGCAAACACAACTGCTTCACGGTAGAAACACGAATGGGACAGAGGTACCCAAGCAATCGACTTTTGTACAAAGTCTCCCTCTGGTTTTTTTTATTATAATTATTTTAAGGGCTTTTACCTTCTTCAGTTATATCAGTCCTGTCGTACCCTGAACTGATTTCTCAAACAAAACTTTATCTACTTCCCCTAGACGCGGAAAGAGAAGAATTAATAGGCATCAATAATTTACAAAAGATGTTAAAAAATTTCTGGTTTAGGTTCAGCTAATAGTTTTATATTTGTTACCTAATAACTTCTTTAGGTGTGAACCGATTTGTAGAACTCTTTTTTTTATCTAAAAGAATATACTTATAGGTAGGTCTTACAGAAGTTTTATCTTATTTAGTTTTTAAATCAAAATTACTGGGTTTGTCAAAAAAAAACTTAGTTTTGTAATATATAAACTTCTTGCTTAGATAATAACCAAAGATTTCGGTAATAACCAATTATGCAAATTTATTCTGACAAACCATTACAATATTGACAAACTTCTGATCAATTTGAGCCATAGATTAAGAACTTAAAGGGTGAGGATGATTCTAAAAAGTTTAAAATAGCTCTAAAAAAATATTTAATCACAAAAAGTTATTATACACTACAGGAATTGTTCCAATGAGAAAATTTAATTGTATTTGTACCTATTTGTTTCATTATTACGTAATAATGTTTTATTTATTTTATGCTAATCGACGATACATATGTATATATAATGTAAAAATTTAGTTATATACTTTATGAAATATTTATTAATGTGATCGCTGCGCCCTTCCAGGGTTCGCGTCGATTCTGTACTTTTAATAAATTAAGACCTATATTGTTACAACATGAAATAGCAATAAATTATTGAATTGAATTGAAATGAAACTATCTTTGGCATTATCAATGTACAGTTTGACTGTAAAAAAGTTAAATAAAGAAAAAAATATAAATAACTGATATTTATCTAGTTCGTTTTTTGTTAAAAATGAAATTAATTGAAAATTACGAAATGCGATTTCGATATTTTTTTATTTTTAAACATATTATTTAATTAACTATCGCAAAAACTATGTATTGGCTCATCATATTCGAATAATAACGAACTTGTCCATGGACCGAGTAAAGATACGTAAACCGAATCCAAATTGGGAGGAAGACTTGGAGAATTCTGTAGTGGTAGGACCGTCCGAGATACTGCGATGGAAATCCTATTCGGTTTACAAGAAAAACAAACGTAAAACTTGTAGGTGTCAGGTAACTGTCCTAACTACAAATATCCTAATTTATAACCGACTTCAAAAAAGGCGGTTCTCAATTCGATTGTATTTTTTTTAATGTTTGTTACCTCGTAACTCCGTCAATTGAAAACCGATTTGGAAAATTATTTTTTCATCTGAAAGGATATGCTTACAGATTGGTCCAATAGAAATTTTATCAAAATTGGTTTGGCAGTTTAGTTTTTTAATCAAAATGACTGGTTTTGATGTTTTTTTAGGGAATAAATCCTTTGTTAAGCGGTCAGACCCTCAATGGAAAATAATCCTTACTACCTCTATGGTAGTTGATAACAAAATATAAATCTGAACTTATGTTTTTTTTTTATTGACAGGAAGCTAGAGGCGGCGGCGTGGCTCCGTCTATAAGGTTGAACGACGGGAGGGAAATACCCAGCCTGGGGCTCGGCACTTGGCTTGGCTTGAAGAGAGATGTGAGTAGTGTTGTTGTCATAAAAATATCTTCACTGGGCATTGTTCCAAGGAATTATAATGACCTGAAGCTTTCATCACCCTTTTACCTGTCTCCGTCGAGCTGAACCTCACCTTCATTTCTTGATATCTCCCGTTCGTTTCTACCTAGTAGTAGGTTTTGGAATGAGCTTTCGTAGATTGAGATTTCGGGGGTATAAGGGGTGAAACAGTATACTCAGTTGGGGGGAAGGGATTGTTAGCAATGGAGTTTGACAGCCCCATTGCTAGCAATATGCCCTATCAGGTCAACCTCCACGTGGTTCCCCCTGGAAACTATCGTGAACAATTCTCGTTGAATTCGTCACGATGGGCTAACTGGCCTGCTTCATCCTTACCTATCATACTTCACTGGTGCCCCGCCGGTGTATATCGATAGCGCTGGTGGGGTCACTATTTCATTAACGCCAATAAAGTATACTCTGTTAAGTTCATGGTACTTCTCATGTCTACAGGCGACGGTTACCACTTTCCATCAGGTGGGTCGTCAGCTTGTTTGACATTCTAAATTGAGTAAAGGAAAAAAATATTTTTTGTAAATAACGGCATTATATTCTGCTAACTTTTTCACGCAGCTTCGTTCGCGTGACCGAGATATGGTATGGTATGGTATATAATGCATTGATCACTTGCTCTGTGTAGTAGCCTATATACCTTTCACAGGCTACTTCTTAATCATTTTCCGATCACGCAGACGAAGTCGCAGCTAAAAGCTTGTTTCACTATATTTGTAGTGGAAAGTTTTCACGAATCATGAACGACAAATTCGCCGTGTTTATTTTTTACCTTTTACCTAATCAAATTGGGACCGTAATTGCGCCACATATCCGGCATTACGAGGAAATCCACTAAATACATCTAATTTTGTTGACAAAATTATAACTATTAGCTATGTATGACATCATACAAGCATGTGTTGTCGAATAAACATAATTTTCTTTCATTATTCATCAAACATACATTTTTAATGTGATTATAATGGAATGGTTTTAATGAATGATAATGGAATGGTAATCCCGTCTGTTTTGTTGCTATGTACTGGCGGAGCACCAGTGAGGGATGATAGGTGATGATGAAACAGGTCAATTGGCCCATTGTAATGTATGTACCTGGAATTCGTCATGAACGAGCAGGGGCGCCCGGGCGGCGGCACTTAGTTGATTGTATGATTAATCCTGTGGGATAACTCGAATTGGGAGTGGAGTTGTTTGTTAAACAAGTAAAACAAGATCACATTCCTTTTTTTTATACAACTTAGTATGGCGAACAAGCTGACGGCCCACCTTATGGAAAGTGGAAACCGTCGTCTATAGACATGAGCAGTACCGTGGACGTAACAGAGTATACTGTTTCGCCCATGATATCCTCATGCATTGTCATTCCTGGGACTCAGGTGTTATTCCTCTGTACCCTGTAAATTCACGCCATATCCCACCCTTCAAATCGAAACACAGCCATGCAAACACGACTGGTTTATGGTTGAAACACGAATGGGATCTACAAAAGGGTAGTAAATAATTTGTGCTCTTGCAGGGATCCCGCGTGGAGGTTCAAGACGATTCCGTAGAAAAAGCGGTGGAGTACGCGATCGACGCCGGCTACCGGCACATAGACACTGCGAGCATATACAACACCGAAGATCAGGTACGCCCACATTTTCTCAAGCTATACGGTATGACAAACAAGCTGACGGGCTATTTAGATGGAAACAGTACCAGTTTCAGTCGATCGGAAGCGCCTGGGAGCGTTGCAGTCCAAAAGAGTGTTAACGAAGGTTTACATAAAGTTCAACTTGGGAATTTATAGTTGGAGGTACATTTGTTTAGGGATCCCGTCCTCGCTACTAATATAGGTACATATATTGATACAGGTGGTGGGATGCCTGTTCTACTGGACACATTTATTTTATTTATTTATTCATTAGTACATATCGCATGCCTAATGAAAGACTGACCTAACTCAAAAAATACAATTGTTGGGAAATCGCAAAAGAAGATTTTGCTATAAGGACTTAGCCTACTTGTTGATGAATAACATTAAAACGGATTATTAATTAACCATGAATGATTGTATTTTAAAAATATGATTAACTATTGATCAATACCAAGTAAAAACAAATGCCGAAAATAATTTCTATCTATTTAAAAAAAAATATGTAAAATGTACATTCTAAGTTAAGTCAGTTTTTTATAAAAAGTAAAGCAAACATTTTTAAATGCAAGTATTCTATTAGGTTTTAAGCCTGTTTCATTTTAAATTATTAATTATTTATAATAACTAATTTAGGATTTAGTCTATATATGATTACATTGGGAAAACATATTTAGAGAATGGGTCATTTTATTCAAATTAGCAGACTGTCGATAAACTTAATACCAGCCATTTTCAAATTATTAAAAGACATTAATATAAATAATAAACTTTTATTGCAATATTCTTTATCAGTAGCACATACAAATAACAAATTTGACGTCTCAATTTTATTTATTGGTTCTATAAATCAACATAAAAATAATGCAAAAAAAAGCAATAGAATTGCTTGTTTGAATTGAAATTATAAAACAAAATTTCTATATTAGAACATAAAAGTTTTAACAAACTTAAAAAATATACACACTTTGGTTATTAAACCTATAAAATAAATCAATGTATTAATCAAGTTTAGTTAAATTACTATAAAACAAAATCAAAACTTATAAAGAAAACATAATTAAACTTTTTAGATTTTTTTAAATAACTTTGGTATGTAATCATTGTTTTATTAATCTTAAGTTAATTTATTAATTATAAGGTGGGTACACTATTAAAGAATAGAGTTATAAAAATCTAAATAAAAATTTGGAATAATTTTTTTTGATAAAAGCTCTCTCAGATCTTTCTTTTTGTTCTCACTTAGCTCTTTCTTTTGTATGTAGGCATTAGTTGGTTTAATTAGAAGCAGAGGAAGCATTTTCTTCCTTGTATTTCTGATGCTTACTTCCTGGTATACGTTATGTTTGTACGAAGTTTTAATGAAAAATGAAAAAGGTGTATCTTTTTTCACCATTATCACCTTTATGTCATTCCATAAAACAGTAGTCCCGTTTTTACTTTTATTAAAGTTAACACCCCAATCTTCTTGAAGTTTTTTCAAATTTTGATTTGTAATAAAATGCTGAATTATTTCCTCTAGGAGATTGCAAAACAGCTTGTAGATCAAACACAAGAACTTTATTTCCATCATCTATTTTGCAGCGATCATTATATTTTTCTTGGCGGCTCAATGTTTTTTCTTCTAAATGGGCATTGTACAAATCATTAAGTAATACTTTTTGCTGAAGCGTCGTGTTATTATATTGCAAACATAAATCGCATTGATCTTTTTTGGGACGAAAAAATGATATATTATAATCTTGTGTAAATACTTTATAAAATGTACAATATCTACCAGCTGCTTTGTTATTTTCATTTTGAGCTACTTTAAAGTCTCTGAAAAGATCTGAAATTGTTTTCCCGCCATCAATATACTCACGAGTAGAATATTGCCTAATGTAATGGGATTCAATTCTTGGTATCGAATCTATAAACTCATTAATATCGTTTAGTAGTTGTTTATCAACTCTTGCATGGTTGTTGTGCTGTCCTCTCAGATCTTGTGCTAGAATTCCATGTTCATCTATTTTGCTTCTGACAGTTCGTATAACACGATCAGAAATATCTAAGGTTTTTATAAAAAACGTTTTACAGACTCGAACAGACTGCCCTTCTACTACGAAATGGAAAGCTTTATTGCAATTTCTTGGATTACTAGCATTTGTATATTTATATTTTGGGTTTATATTAGTCATACAAGACATAATGAATGATCTTTGAGCATCAACCTGGCCGAGATTCCAATACATATCAAAAATTGTTTGTCTTTGATCTGCAGTTATCTTTTTACAGCATTTGAGTCTACATTGAATACCACAGGGTAGTTGAACAGAACGAGGATTAATTGTTTTATTTTTCATATTGATGTATGATTTTCCTGCATTTCTCAGACTTTTAGCTTTATTCTGTTTCCAGCTTTCTTCTTTCCGTTTACGTTTCCTTCCCTTCTTCTCGCCTTCATTTTCTTCTAGTAATGTAGTATATTGTCTGATTTCCTGATTTTTCGCAACTTCGGTTATTGTAGGTTCATTAATGTTTCTTTGCTCCGATTGTTTTGCTGATTGCTGAATAATGTTATTTTTTATTTTGTTTTGTTCATTACTGGAGTCTGTATCGGAACTATCACTCGAAGATCCTGAAGATGATGAGGATGAAGAACATGTAGAAGATGAGGAGCTCCCTGATGATCTTGATCGACTTGGATATATTGGTATTTGCTTTTTCTTTTTAGTTGGAATGTATGTCGAATCTTGATCGCTCAAATCGACATCGCTATTTTCAGATTTGGAATGTTTTTCATCAGTGCAATCGTGGATGTCTGTGATGTTATGAAAGTCATTTTCATTGTTAATTGAAGGTGATTCCAAAACTTCAAAATATTCCTGTACGTTTGAGTAATGCTGATTTTCGGGATTGTTTGTTATATCAGTTAACATCTACAATAATAAAACGTATTTTAGTAATATATTAAAATAAATAAGAAATATACGAACCTAATTTTTAAAGTTCTTTAAAATTGTTACCGTCACTTCTGTTGATGGCACTGATTCGTGTCCTTTATCTTGTGTTGCCAATAGTGGCGCCGGATTTCGAGTCCGAATAAGTTCTATTATCTTTTTCGAGCTATTCAGCGACATTATCAACCTAAAATATAAATAGTCATATTATGCCTCTGGGACAATAAAAAATTTTTGTAAGTAGTTTTTAGATCAACAATGACTTAATATAAAATATTTACAGGAAAAGCAAAAAGTTACGCATTATATTCCATTCTTTTTTTCAAACAAAGACTAAACTAATATTATGGCCCCTAAGTAAAAATAACTTTCAGTGGTAAACAGACTTATACTCGAATGCTATAAAGTGTTACCTCAAGTAATGGATTGTTTTAATAGTAAACTGACTTAAATCTTAATAGCTCCCAAAAGATATAATAACGTATAATATTAAATTGTCTTAAAACAGAATGTTTCACGTAATATATTAGTAAAATATCTATTAAACTGACCTCAAATTTAATCTGTCAATATAAGATTACAAAATTGGATAAAACTTACTTCAAATTTAGTCGTAAACACACTCAATAATGATTGGGTCTTCGTTCAATAAAACTATAATAACCTCTCTCTACAAGTGCTGGACACAAACTGGCGTGAGTCTCTGTTTGACGAAAATACGAAGAGAGATCCCACAAATGTGAAAGAGACGGATATATTGCAGGGGTGGCAACAATGCGTAATTTCAACATAATTCAAAAGGTAGACGGTAGATAGTGGTAACAGAAGCCTACATCTGTAAGTAACTCAATTCTGACCTATCTACTAAAGAGTCAGTATTACATTAAGCATGCGATATATGTGTACATGGCGGACTTAATGCTAAAAGCATTCTCTACCAGGCAACCGTAGGGAAGTGTCAGAATACTCGAATGCGGTACTAGTAATTATTGATATACATACATACTAAAATTACATATATACACGAATAAATATATATGAATAACAAATATACTTACACATATATGATATATACTATATTATACATGAAATTAAGAATAATATAAAGCACTTACTGCTTGGATAGAGATAAAAAGTGAGCGTGAACGCCTTTTTTGAAAGACGGTTTAGTCGGTAGTCTCTTAATGGCATCAGGAAGCGCGTTCTAGAGTCGTGAAGAATGTAGGAGAAAAGAGTTTGAAGCATAACCAGTACGGTGAGAGGGGAACGAAGGTTACGTTCGTGAGTTTCAAAAAGATTAGAGAGAAGTAGTACAAATAGTAGAGAGTACATTCGTTCGTTTCATTCAAGTTTAAAATAAGCAGTGTGGATGCTCAACGACTTCTTTTTGGCGTCGTCGTCAAAGGAGGCGCTGGGCGCCCGTCAATATATAATATTAAGCAGGGATACCTCAGCAAAAGGAGACCTTAGTTTTGGTCGTTAGTCGGAGGTGCTACTGGGCATAATTTTTTACTCAGAGGAACTTTAGTTAAAGGCCTAGGCTGTCAAAAATTGGCCTAGGAGCGCCAGGTGCCTACCCGACAGGCCAATTGGCTAACGGGCTAAAACTAACCAACGGAGGCCGGTCTGGATGGAAAGTGGTAACGTAACCTTCGCCTGTAAACATTATTCCGGGGAAAAAACAAATGTATCAAATCGGTTTACAAGTGACGGAGTTATGTAGTGACAAACATGGAACAAAAACACAAGCGAATTAAGAACATATTTACATATTTCGACGTCGAATTTAATAGTATCCATGTGGACTACATTTCTAACAGCAGATTTGCCTATAACGAAGGAAAACTTGAAAATAGCGCGAATTTCGGCGTTAGTGAACTCCATGTTTACATGTCTATAACTCTTGAACGCAAGATCCAAACTAATCATGTATAGCGTAGTTTTGTAGGTTATGTCAAGACCTTTCAAATGATAGTATTGCCAGATACGAGCTCTGTAGCGCTTTGTACATAGCCGCGAAATTCAAAAGACAAAAATCCGGAAGGGAGATATTTGACAACCTTATTTTTTTTTATGGGTGAAAATGGTATGGTAACCTCGCCTGCGCTAACGGGATACGCTGGCGAAGCACCAGTGAAGGGTGATAGATGAGAATGAAAACAGGCCAGTTAGCCTATCATGGTGAATTCATCAGGAATTAACCATGATAGTTTCCAGGTTGAACCGCGAGGAGGTCGACCTGGTTGGGTATATTGCTAGCAATGGGATTCTCAGTCTCCATTGCTAACAATCCCTTTTTCTCCCACAACCTTATATTTGAATTTTAATTTTAAAGAATGCTGCCACAGAATTGACCCCTGTACATCAGTATACAATAAATGGAAATCAACAATCATGTTTTAGATAAAATAATTTTAAACAATGACCCAATTGTAATAGCATTACATAATAAGATATATCCATTAGTTGCACATACACAATTATTGTTGTTTTTTTATCGCAAAGGTTGGCCGAGCCATTAACAACAAGATAAAGGAAGGGGTTATCAAGAGGGAAGACATATTTGTCACGACAAAGGTAATTAATTTTTTTAATAATACTTAGTTATGGCAAACAAGCTGACGACCCACCTGATGGAGAGTGGTAACCGTCGCCTATAGACACGAGCAGTACCATGGACATAACATACGACATTGTACGACCCATGATATCAATGTGTTACCATTCCTGAGGATTGTGGTGATTTTTTTTTATGGACGATAATGGTATGGTAACTCCGCCCGCGCTATCGGTATACACTGGCGGGGCACCAGTGATAGATGATAGGTGAGGATGAAGCAGGTCAGTCCAACATGATGAATTCCACAAGAATTAAGCACGATGGTTTCTAGGGGGAACCGCGAGGAGGTCGACCTGATTGGGTATATTGCTAGCAATGGGATTCTCAGTCTCCATTACTAACAATCCCTTTCCCCCTACAATGGGGCTGTTAGACTCTATCACTAAACAATCCTTTCCCCCCAGACTGTGGTGTTACATCTCCGCACCCTGTGATTTCACTCATGTAGAAACACGAGTGGGACAGAGGTACTCATGCAGACATCTTTTGTACAAAGTCTTCTGATGATAAAGTCAAACCTGGCAGATATTTCAATTGCCTGATGACATCTGACGGGAACTGACGGGAACAGTAGAGTGGGTAGAAAATAGTTAATATTCGAAAACAATTAAAAACAAAAAAATAAAGAATTTTTATTTGATTTCATCTTTCAATTTTCATCACACTTTTCTCACTGTTCTCTGAGGAAGTAGATAGATAGATACTCTTTATTGTTTCCTCCATAAGATTACAATAGTAAACTTATTATAAATATAAACAATTACAAGAAATAATCACAATGAGAAAACAATGGGCGACCTTATCGCTAAGAGCGATCTCTTCCAGGCAACCTTTAAAGATGTACGTCTTAAAAATCTCTCCACTCATTTCCAGCTGTGGAACACACGCCACGCGAAGGAAGACGTGGTGCCCGCGCTCAGGGAATCATTGAAACGGCTCAACTTGGATTATATTGATCTGTACTTGATACACTGGCCTGTCGGACTGTTGGTAAGTTGATATCACTATTTCACAATATTCTTTGACAATTTGCCTTTTTTTCATGTTACTGTAATTTTTTTTTTTTTTATACAGAGTCCTCCATTTTATATTTATTTACTTACAGTCTGTCTTTTTTTTTATACAACTTAAAATGGCAAACAAGCTGACGGCCCACCTGATGGAAAGTGGTAACCGTCGCGTATATACATGAGTAGTACCATGGACATAATAGAGTATACTGTTCCACCCATAATACCCCCCATGCGTTGTCATTCCTGAGGACTCGGGTGTTATTCCTCTGTACCCTGTAAATTCACGCCATATCCCACCCTTCAAACCGAAACACAGCCATGCAAACACAGCTGCTTCGCGGTTGAAACACGAATGGGACAGAGGTACCCAAGCAATCGACTTTTGTACAAAGTCTCCCTCTGGTAGTTGTCTTTTCAATTGACTTTAAAAAGACGAGGTAAGACCCTCTTTTTGTAAAGTTGGTTGTATTTTTAGGTATTTAATCCGGTCAGTAAACATATTCCGGTCATGCGAACGAAGTCGCGGGTAAAATATAGTAGAGGGAGACTTTGTACAAAAGTCGTTTGCTTGGGCACCTCTGTCCCATTCGTGTTTCAACCGTGAAGCAGTTGTGTTTGCATGGCTGTGTTTCGGTTTGAAGGGTGGGATATGACGTGAATTTACAGGGTACAGAGGAATAACACTTGATTTCTCAAGAATCGCAACGCATGGGGGTATCATGGGCGAAACAGTATACTCTGTTAAGTCCATGGTACTGCTCATGTCTATATGCGATGGTTACCACTTTTCATCAGGTGGGCCGTCAGCTTGTTTACCATTCTATGTTGTATAATAAAAAATACTATAAAAATCCCATGTCGCGATGTTCGTTCATGCGGATCTCCGAAACTGCTCAATCGATTTTAATGGATTCGGTGACTATGTATTGTTTACTCCAACTTGAGAGATAGTGTAGTTCATATTCCGATAAGTGGACGCGGTAGGTGGCGGTAGGGGGCGCTGTAACGTTGGCCGGGTCAACCGCGGTTATGTAACACCCATACACCTCCGAATGATATGCCAAGTGTTATTAGGGTTCCGTACTGAAACCGTTTGTTCGTCACAGCGTTATGTCTCGGCAACTATATTTATGAGTGAAAAAGGAATGGTAACCCCGCCTGCGCTAACGGTATACGCTGGCGGAGCACCAGTGAAGGGTGATAGATGAGAATGAAAACAGGCCAGTTAGCCCATCGTGATGAATTCATCAGGAATTAACCATGATAGTTTCCAGGGGGAACCGCGTGGACGTCGACCTGGTTGGGTATATTGCTAGCAATGGGATTCTTAGTCTCCATTACTAACAATCCCTTTCCCCCTCTCAGCAACTATTATTTATACCACTGAGGTCGCAAACAAGCATACAGCTTGTCTGATGGTGAACGCTCACTGTAGCCTATGTACGCCTGCAACACTAGAGGTGTTACGTGCGTATTGCCGACTCTCAAGCGACCTCTTTACCTAAAGCAAAGCAATAAACTGAGTTTCGACCATTATGTATTACTATGGCATACGTATGAAAGGAGAAAAATGTTATTTTTTTTGTATTTTGCTTTTTTTCGCATATGTATTCATTTATCTATCTTATATATAGATATAAATTGTATATCTATCTATCTATATATTTTTGTACGGAACCCACGGCGTGTGAGTTCAGTTCGCACTTAACCGATTTTATTTCATTTATAGTTTTGATTACGGACGTGTGGGTGTCAAATAATAAAAACTAATTGGTACCAATACTTGTAGATAGCGGCCGGTAGGTAACTGTGGCACAATTTGACAACATGACTTGCGTATTATGGATGAAAATGAAACGGTGACCTCGCCTGCTCTATCGGTATACACTGGCGGGGCACCAGTGATAGATGACTGATGAGGATGATGAAAGGCGAGGTCAATTGGCTCATCGTGATGAATACAAAGTGTGAAATTCACCGTAGAACACACAGACCCACACATACATACACACACGCACACGCACACTCACACACACACACACACACACACACACAAACACGCACACGCACACACACACACACACATGCAAACGTACACACGCATACACTCACACACGCACACACACATACACACACCAAACATACACACACGCACACACACCCACAATCACACATACACACACACGCATACATACGCACGCACACACATACACACACTCATGCACACATCCACAGGCATATGGTCGAGGGATGGGCAGCAGCGTCGCTCTTTAAACGTCACGATAAGTCTAATTGCAGTTACCAACCTGCCCGTCAAGCGTTGCAAGTATTGGAAAACCTCCAACAGGGGGATATGTTCAGCAGCTTACAGTTAGCGGCTGGTACGACGCTGACGAGTCTGTTGAGTCTTAGTTGAGAATTATAAGAAATGTCAAACGACCCTGTGTTGCAGGCGAACGGTTCATTCGACACCACGGACAACGCGCAGACGTGGCAGGGCCTGGTGGAGGCGCGCGACCAGGGGCTCGCGCGGTCCATCGGCGTGTCCAACTTCAACGAGCAGCAGCTCGACAGCCTGGCCGCGCGCACGCACGTCACGCCGGCCGTGCTCCAGGTCGAGGTATGCAGGCAGACAGGCAACATAACCTTCAAGAAAAGAGTATATTCCTTTTTAAAAGGCCGGCAGCACACCTGCAATGCCGCTGGTGTTGTGGGTGACCATGGGCGGCGGTAGTCACTTACCATCAGGTGAGCCGCATGCTCGTTTGCCCCCTGTGTTGTAAAAAAAAAAAAAAAAGATAGATAGACAGACAGATACTCTCTGTAGTTAATTTATTAATAATTCTTTATATATATTTTTTCCTTTCTATCATAGATTTATCCCTTGTTTCTCTCATTTACTAATTTCCTTTACACATTTCTAACGTTCCCTTCTTTTTTTCCTCAATCCTTTCCTCCAAACCGTGGGTGGCGGAAACCAACAACAAACAGAAAACGTTACACGGCCGTATAACCCTACCAAATTCAGATACAACCCGCTTGCATTCTTTCTACATAAACTGTGTCCAATATATAATCTAGTAATGTAAAATTTGTCATTGACTAATAATTGACGTATCAAACATTGACTATACAGTAGCCTGCTGTGAATTGAGAAAAATAGCAACTGATGGTGTGTCTTTCGTTCTCTTTTTACTAATTATATTTGCATAAGAAGAAAGAAGGCAACCATATGATTTACAGTTTTTGTTTTATAATTTTTTACATCGCCAATGTACCATATACCGATAGCGCACACAAAAAGTACATAATACATGCAATAGTAGATAAAAAATGATTCTTTTTAAATTTTTCTCCATTTGTGTATTAATCTTTCTCATAAGACTAAACCGAATAAGATGACATTTTTACAGTATATAGGCTACGGATTTTGTTTTTTAATTAATTATAAATTAATATTTTTCTGTAGTGAAAGTGTAGTTAAAAGATCAAATTGTCGTTTCAGTGCCATCTATTGTCAAATAGACTATTATCTCTACTAAACAATAGATGGCGCAAACTAACGGCAATAGTGTTGTTTCTACTAGACAATAGATGGCCATTTATTAGATTATGCCCCTTTAGACTGGTTTTCATTCCAATTTCTTATTTTCAATTCATATTTATTTAGGAAAAATGTTCATATTCGTTCCCTTGAAAGGTTGTTAATATTTTCTATGACTTACATGATAAAGGGGAAGATTTTGTTTGTGTGGAAGCGACAATCACTGCAACAAGCGGTCGGATTTGAAAAAATATTTTTGTACTCCATAAGCTTCTTTCTTGTGAAGGATTTTATAGGCTATTCAACATTACGGTGCGACTCATCAAGTCCTTCCAGGGTTCATGTTGATGCTGTACCTCTAATGTTTAAGATTTACATTTTTACAACATGAAAATGCAATAAATGATTGATTTCATCATAATGACATGAGAGTCATATAATAAATTGAGTATTGGTCAGTCAGTCAGCATCCTCTTTTATGTATGTTACATAAAAGAGGATGCTGATTGATTGACCCATATATCAACGTACAGAAGAAGCCGTTTGATGTAGAATCTTGAAATTTTACATGTAAGTTCATTATATTGAAGAAAAATACATTAAGAAAGTAATTTTGAAAATTCAACACCTAAGGGGGACGGGGGGAAAGGGGTTGTTAGTGATGGAGACTAAAAATCCCATTGCTAGCAATATACTCAACCTGGTCGACCTCCTCGCGGTTCCCCCTGAAAACTACCATGGTTAATTTCTGATAAATTCATCATGATGTGCTAACTGGCCTGTTTTCATTCTCATCTATCACTCTTCACTGGTGCTCCGCCAGCGTATCCCGTTAGCGCAGGCGGCAAAACAGGGTTTGATACTTAACGGGGGTAGTTTGCATGGAATTTCGGCAGTTTAGAAGTTAGACACGTGAAACTTTATTGAACATGAAATCGGGTATAATACGCGAGCGATGTCGCTGGCAAAAGTTAGTAAATAAATAAATAATGTGCATTCCAGATCAACCTGAACCTACAGCAGCCATCGCTGCTTGAGTACTGCCGTCGCCAGAACATCACGGTGACCGGCTACACGCCGTTCGGATCTCTGTTCCCGAGCAAGGCCCAGGACGACGCTCCCCCGCCGCGCGTCGACGACCCTGCTCTCGTTAACATCGCCAACAAATACAACAAGACCGTCCCCCAGATCGCCCTCAGATATCTGGTGAGTATAATAATAATAAGTACGAGCCCCTGCCGGTCCTTGAAAGCGACAGCGTCAGACTCTACTAGGACCGATCCATCATCATGGACAGGACAGTTCTTGTGAACAAACCTGATATCGAGATAATGAATCGGGCACTCTCGAGGGTGTTTTTGGTGGATGTCACCATACCGCATAACGAGAACCTCGTGAAAGTCGAAACCGAGAAAAAGAGTAAATATCTCGACCTGGCTCACGAGATGACCAAAATGTGTCCCCACACACATTTCGGTCATCTCGTTAGCGTCCACCGAATCGAAGGATTTAAGCTGGTATCTAGGTGTTCCTGTACGTAAGTGACAGACAGAAATTTATCCGTCGACGGTAATGGCAAGGTAACTCCGTCTACAACTGGCGGGGCACCACTGAGAGATGATAGGTGAGGATTAAAGCAAGTCAGTCAGCCCATTGTGACGAATACAACAGGAATTAGCCCGCAATGGTTTCCATGAAGAACCTTATGGAGATTGACTTTTCGGAGTATATTAAGGTTATCAGACCCCATTACTAACAATCTCTTTCCCCCCAGGTGGAGTTAGGAGTCGTGCCGATACCAAAATCGACGACCAGGTCCCGCATAGAACAGAACGTGGCGGTGTTCGACTTCTCCCTGACTCAGCAGGAGCGAGACCTGTTGAAGAGTTACGACCGTGGCTACAGGACCATCCCGGTGCTGCACTGGATCGACCATCCGTACTACCCGTTTGAGAAGAGACAACACTGAGCAGACAGTTAACAGTGTTTCAATGTTTAGAACTCAATGATTTAACCAAGTTTTAATGAAATTATAACATAACAAAATCTTTCATGAGCATTATTTCCACCCATCCATTATCCATCCATTCCTAAATGTAAATCTAGTTAGTTGATTAGTAAATTAATTTTGTTCAATTCCGCTATCTTTAGTATGCGGGCGACGTCCAGAATTTAAAGATTAACATGCTACTATTATTATTAGTAGACTCCGACCGTTATTCGGTCTACGCAAGTGCCGCGACGCGTGTTTCATCTCTAAACGAGGCATCTACAAGCAAATTAATAGATCGCTGCTGATTGACTGATTACATATAAAAACCGTTTTCAATTGTGGTAAAACTAGTTGTTTTGATTAAAAAAACAAAGTACTAAATTTATTTTGAAAATAAAATCTGTGTGTAAGTATATATTTTCTCCAGATAAAAAAGAATTTTCCAAATCGGTTTACAACTGACGGAGTTATGAGGTGACAAACATAAAAAAGAAATATAATCGAATAGAGAACTTCCTTCTTTTTGAAGTTGGTTAAAGACGCGGTCCAATTGCTGAAAGCAATCTCTTATATACAACTTGACATAAAATAGTAAGTAATTATCGTAGACTAGTGACCCTCCCCGGATTTGCGCGAGTTTAGTTTTTTTTTTAAATAAAATATAGCCCATATTTGTCACCGATAATGTAGCCTATAGGTATATGTTTCTAGAATCGGTTAAGTATTTTTTGAGATTATCCCTGGATAAACTCAAAAAATACTTAAACCTGTTTCCAAGGGGACCGTTGAGTTCGTGAATTGGGTGTATTACCAACTATAGGGCTGTTCTCTTCCATATTATCTCCTATATTTTTATTCTAACAGTTCCGATGCTAGCAGCATACCCTATCAGGTCTATCTCCACGTGGTCCCTCCTGGAAACCATCGTGTTGAATTCCAGGTGTATTCATCACGATGGACTAACTGACCTGCCCCTTCATCCTTATCTATCATCCCTCACTGGTGCTCCGCCAGCGTATACCGTTAGCGCAGGCGGGGTTACCATTCCATTATCATCCATTATAAAAACAAATTCCAAACAATGAACATATCTTGGTCTCGAAATTTGCGGGTAAAAGTTAGTTGGAAAGCTGCAACGGTTTAGCTAACTCCATATGCGAATAAAGTCGGAAGTAAGTACTAGTATAGGACTGTTTAGAATAAATCAATGTAATTAGATTTAGATCTTTGTCAAAGAATAGACAATTTGCAGAGCGTTTAACTTTTAAAAGGGTGGTAATGAAATTGTCAACTCCGCCTGCGCTATCGGTATGCGCTGGCGGAGCACCAGTGAGGGATGATAGATGAGGATGAAACAGGTCAGTTGGCCCATAGTGACGAAATTCATAAAGAATTAACCAAGTTGACGTGATATATTGTTACGATAGGGTATATTGGGGCTGTTAGACCCAATTACTAACATTCCCTTTTCCCCTATCTGCAGAGGTTTTTTTGTAATAGGGGATAATGGAATCGTAACCCCGCCCGCGCTATCGGTATACACTGGCGAGGTAGCAGTGAGGAATCATAGGTAATGATAAAAGCGGGCCAGTTAGTCCATCGTGATGAATTCCATCAGAATTAACCATGATAGTTTCTAGAAGAACCGCGTGGAGGTCGATCTGATAGGGTGTATTGTAAGCAACGGGGCAGCTAGACTCAATTATTAATAATCTCTTACCCCCTATTTGCAGAGGTTCGCACGCACGCACGCACGCAGACGCAACACGCACGACGCCTCCAATGTAGTGCTGTTCTGTAAAGCAAAAGTCGAATTTCACTGCTGAATTCACGAGTGATTTTTTTTTCATTACTTAGTATTCTGGGAACAAGCAAATTCGATGATAGTACAATTTTTTTTAAGATGGCGGAGCAGCGACCTTTGTAAGAGTGCTACCATCCTTGGGAGGGGGGAGAGGGGTTGTTAGTAATAGGGCGGTTAATCTCTATTATCAGAAATATACCCTGTCAGGTTGATCTCCATACGGTTCCACGTGGAAACCATCGTGTTTAATTCTTGTTGAATCTGACACAACGGACTAACTAATCTGGTTTCATGGTTTTCTCCCATCTATCACCTCTCACTGGTGCCCCGCTAGTGTATACCGCTAACACAGGTGGGGTTACTATTTCATTATCATTCACTAAGGACTAGCATCCTCGGGAACTTCTTTCGTCTTCCAATTTCAATTCGACTCACATGCCATTTCCAAAATTTATGGAAATGCGTGTTAAGCAAGTTGCGAAATAAAGTGTGAAGAACAAATTACTTCAATAAATTCTATCACTAGATGGCGCGTCAAAATAATACAAGTCGTTTTTGGTGAATGATAAAAAACCATTCTTAGATTATTACAGTATACTCTGCTATATCTATTGGCGACGGTTACCACTTTCCATCAGGTGAACCGTTAGCTCGTCTGCGATTTTACAACAAATGCGATTTTGCGATAAATATCTATTTTGGTTTTAATTAAATCCAACTGAATTAGCAATGAGGAGGTCCTGTTTAGGGTTAAGGAAAAAAGACAAATTATTAGAACTATTGAGAACAGAAGAGGAAAAATGTTGGGACACTTGATACGACACGACGAACTTATGAACAGTATAATAGAAGGTAAGATAGAAGGAAGGAGGGGGAGAGGGAGACCGAGGCATAGTTACATCAGGCAGATCAAGGAAGGAGTTGGTGTCGTGTCGTATCAAGAGGTGGAGAGACTCGCTGACAATCGTAGTGAGTGGCAAGAGCTCTATCGACGAGAGAGCAGCTCTTAAATAGGATAGATAGATAAGTCCAACTATATTATTTACTAATTCGATTAGCATCATTTTGAATCATCATCATTATGCCTCCCCTTTGGAGGGTTTTGCCAGTAGTTGCCACGCTTGGCAGGCGGATTCTCTCGCCGTTCCTTAGTCGCCTCTTACGACACCTACAGGAAAGGAAGGGGTGGCCTATTCTATGTAGGTGATTTTATCAAACAATAATTATACCTATTTCACTATCTGGCGATATGATCTGCAATGAACTTGACGTAAGAACATCTGATCTAAGGCGCAGTCGACGTGGGATCTTCACCCAGGGCACACATACAGCGATATGGCCATTGCTAATATTATAATTCTCTACGCTTTGGCATTTATACATGTAAGTTGTTTGATTTGAATATATATATATTTTTGTTAAAGAAAAACCAACAGCTGAAAAATTCAATTAGAAAAAACAAAAGTGAAGACGAAAAGCAAATTACAGGTGTTCACAAATAAAAACAAGATTTAACCAATGGACATGACATCGCTAATACTTACAATCAATATCTTTGGTAATTCTTTAGTGCAGTTTACTAAGCTTATTAATAATAAAGATTAATAATTGAGTCTTCACTTTAAAAGCTGTATACGCCTGTAATTGATATGTCCATCTAGCCTTAAGCTAAGAAAGAAAGAAAGAAATGTTTTTGTCCAAGTAAACTTAGATTTAAGCATTTTTAAATAGTCATTATTCATTACTTACTTATAACATACACTATACACATATACATAGTCTGTTTAATTATTGTAAACAAATTGTTGGTGTATTTTTTATAAATAAATTAGACTTGAAGATATAGATACAAACATTGTAAGTAGGCAGTTATGCAAAATAAAAAGTTGAACTCACACGGTCAAAGATGAACCACCAAAGAACCACTGACTCAGCACACGTCTTGCGGATTCTATCTTAGAATTGAATAATACTAAATCAAATTCTTTATAAATATATATATTTGTTTATTTCATTTATTACACCTACACTTTCTGTTTCCGCTGTGAAGCAGATGAGCTTGAATGCCAGTGATATTACACAGTACGGATGCATAACACTTTAGTTCTTTGGGATACCAATGTATTCTGTGATTCCCTCAGTGCTGTTTATGGCAACAGGCGACGGTTACCACTTTCCATCAGGTGATTTAGAATAAATTGTCAGGTGATTTAGAGTAAATCCATTTTTGTATCAACTCCTTCATGGAGTAAGCAGATCCTCGGATCTTTTAAAGGCTTCTTTTTTAAATGGCAAATAAACTGATGGCACTAAGGGCATAAAAAATATATGAAGCTCATAGTATAAATGATGTTCTATTTACACTGTTGATGTTGGGTCTAACAGACCGAAAGACAGAAGTGATCTTTACTCAAAAAGACTTGCTTACAGCGTAGCTCTTTTTACAATGTGTTTTTGTTTTTTATAAATCTGCTGCTGGGTTCAGAAGGCTGTTATCTGTTGAGGAGACCCCGCAAGAAACTCAACAGTTACTCTTATTAAATTATTATAACTATGTAAGAGATAATTCTACATTTGTATGGATACTGTGACTGTAATTATTATTGCTATTTATTTGTTTATGTATGTATGGAAAACGTCTCGAATTTATTCCATTAGACAGAATTACTTGCTTTATCCTCACCTATCCTCCCTCACTGATGCCCTTCTAGCGTACACCGATAACGCAGGCGGAACTACCATTCTATACATCCGTTAAAAAAGATTTTATTTCGCAGAACGCCTGGTGCAGTGGTATACCAAAAATAAAACTCAATGACGGCCGAGAAATACCAAGCATTGGTTTCGGAACATGGCTCGGTATCGCCAAGGGAGTGAGTATCACAGAGAATTGTCTCGACGTCTGTAACAAACGTATTTAAATCTAACTGTATCTTACTCGTTTGCTTGAGCACCTCTGTTCCATTCGTGTTTCAAACGTGAAGCAGTTGTGTTTGCATAGCTGTGTTTCGGTTTGAAGGGTGGGATATGACAGTGAATTTACAGGGTACAGAGGAATAACACCTGAATCCTCAGGAATGGCAACGCGTGGGGGGTATCATGGGCGAAACAGTACACTCTGTTTTGTCCATGGTACTGCTCATGTCTATAGGCGACGGTTACCACTTTCCATCAGGTGGGCCGTCAGCTTGTTTGCCATTCTAAGTTGTATAAAAAAAAATATGGATCAGCTAGTAAATAAATAGAAGTTAGTAAGATCAAATGTGTTTCAGGGACAATCCCTGGAGCCGGTCGTAGATGACAGTGTTCAGAAGGCGGTGGAGTGGGCCATCGACGCGGGCTACAGGCATATCGACACCGCCAGCATTTACGACACCGAAGAGCAGGTATGCCAGTCAATTAATCCCATATTAATTTACTCACCTATTAATTTATGGGTTTCCAATCGTGGTAATCTTTATGCGTCGTGGTTAAATCTTGATGAATTCATCACAGTGCGCCAACTGATCTGTTTTCATCCTCACTTACCAAGTCTCATTTGGTGGGGGGAAAGGGATTGTTAGTAATGGGGTCAAATAGTCCCATTGCTAGCAATATGCCCTATTAGGTCGACCTCCAAGTGGTTCCCCCTGGAAACCATCGTGGCTAATTCTAGTTGAATTCGTCAGGATGGGCTAACTGACCTGTTTTCATCCTCATCAGTCATCTATCACTGGTGCCCCGCTAGTGTATACCGATAGCGCAGACGAGGTTACAGTACCATTATCACCCATCAAAAAAAGCTCTCATTTGGTGTCCTGCCGGCGTATACCGACATCGCAGGCGGGTTACTATTCCATTTTCAACTGACTTCAAAAAGATGGGAGTTTTCAAATCGGTTTTACTTTTTTATGTTTCTTACCTCCTTAACTAAGTTCTAAGGTGATTTGAAAAATTTTTTTTTATTTGTAGGGATATGCTTACAGATTGGTTTCATAGAATTTTTACCAAAATCGATCTAGTAGTTTTGAAATTAAAATACATTTTGCCACGTTGAAGTTGAAGTTGAACGCCTGAGTCCTCAGGAATGGCAACGCGTGGAGGGTTATCATGGGCGAAAGAGTATACTCTGTTATGTTTATGGTACTGCTCATGTCTATAGGCGATGGTTACCACTTTCCATCAGGTGGACCGTCAGCTTGTTTGCCATTCTAAGTTGTATAAAAAAAAACAAAGTGATCGTAGACGATTTTATCATATGTATTAAATCAATAATTATATCATATTGTTTATACAATTATAATGATTGATTGACAAGACGTATGATTAAATATACTTATTATCAATCGGACATAATTACGGCACACATTAACGGCTGTGTCATCTGTAATTAGGTTTAATGTCACGGACAGTACCTACATGTAACAGATGTGTGACCTACGTGCAAGGATATTTAAATATTTTTTTTTAATGGGATGATAACGGAATTGTAATCCCGCCTACGCTATCGGGGCACCAGTTAGGGATGATAAGTGAAGATAAAGTCAAGTCGTGATGAATTGACCTGGAATTAACCATGATGGTTTGTAGGGTATCCAAATGGATCACGCGGCTATAATATATTAATAATATGATTTCGTATTATATTACTATCATTATTCCGGTCGTTGACTGTCCACTGCTGGACATAAGCCTTCCCCATAAGGGGAGTTTTGCCAGTAGTTGCCACGCTTGGCAGGCGCGTTACCGCCGTTAGTTAGGATTTTTGAGATATTTTAAAAGGAACGCCGCTGCCCATCCCTCCCCCTCCCTTAATCGCCTCTTAAGACACCCATGAAAAGGAAGGGATAACTCATTTTATGTCGGGGCACACACGGCGATTTTATTACTATACATATAAGAATTAAAATATTTCTTTCAGAGCCATCTATTGTCAATATACAATGTTGATTCTACTCAACAATAGATGGCGTATAAAAAATTATTTTATACAAAAGTTCACAAACCAAAACCCGACTACTGAAAAAAATCACGCTTTAATAAATATAAAACAGAAAGATATTCCCATCTCAAACTGTTATGTACAAACTATCCAATATTTGTTGTTGTTTTTTTTTATAAATAAACAATTTATATGTATTTTAATGTATATAATTTTAATACATATTCATAGTGACGTCTTTACCTTAGTTTTTACTGTCCTTTTATATTAATAAAATACTTTATTCTTAATTACATAAGATTTAGATTTACATTGTAATCGAAGCAGTAGATTTTGTATTAAATTATTAATTTATAATTATGATTGCGTGCAATTGCCAAGTCATTATAATTATTGTAGAAACAAAGATGTCTAATTGTTACGATCACTGTAAATGTTAACAAGTAATTGATTACATTACAATTGAGAACAAAGTTGTTGAACAGGTGTCTCCATAGATACTGACTAGAACAACTGACTTGGTTTTATACAAGATCTCACAACTTTTTGTAGTGGCAGATCTGTGTTTTTTATACAACTTAGAATGGCAAACAAGCTGATGTTGCGAGGCTGGTGTTGCGAGGCTTGGCCTTTTTTACATTTGACAGTTTTTGATGGAATCTCATTTCTTTTTGTAGGTCATCCTCCTTTCTTTTCTCGGGTGATATATTTTGTCCGTCTGTTACAAATATTGTGAATAAACGTATATATTTTTTAACACAATTATTATTTTTCATTTATTGCAATTGAATAATGAAATTTCGAATTTTTTCATTTATCCTTCATAGCTTGAATGTTAAAATTTAAAATTTTAAGTATGATAATTATGGAATACATAATAAAACAGGGCCAAACTAAAAGTACCCGTAACCGGCGAGCGTGTATGAAAACATTGATGAATGTGGAGGAAGCGAAAGAGGTCTGTTTGAATCGAAGCATTTGGCGTTCCATTGTTTCTGCCTACCCTAAATGGAGACAGGCGAGACTGATATGTATGTATGTATATCAATTTTAGTAAGCAAGAAGAAGTTAGCAAATGTTTATTGCATTACAGATCGGTCGGGCTATCAAAAATAAAATCGACAGCGGTGTGGTGAAGAGGGAAGATTTATTTATTGCCACTAAGGTGAGTACTTATCTATGTCCAGGCCACGTCCTTCCTTTCAAGAGTAGGTAGAGAGCAGAGAGAACCATACATCAGCTCGGCAACAATATAAATGTGATAGTGAGTTTGTTTGTTTGATATTTCCCGGCGCTTTAATATATATATTCTTTATTTCACTAAAACATACAGTAACAACAATAAGTTTAATACCTATAAGGGAAAAATGTTGGCCATTGTTAATCCCGGTCAAAAGTTGGGAAAACCTAGGCTCATTCCACAACCTGTGTGTTCGTGGGAGGAAACATCTCTAAAACCGCGCAGTACGCGACCATTGAGGCTGTAGGACATGAGGATGAACTCCCTGTTGATGGCGAGCCGTACGATGGTAGAAAGTGGCTGTGGGCATCATATTGAACAATTCCTCTGAGCACAATTCATTGTACAGGCGGTATACTCTGTTATGTCCATGGTGTTGTTCATGTCTGTAGGCGACGGTTACCTCTATCCATCAAGCGGGCTATCAGCTTGTTTGCTATTTTAAATTGCATAAAAATTAAAGATACCTTTTGTGATTGCGTGATGTACAGATTTTCAATCCGCGACTCGACACTGTAATTCCGTTTCATTTCTACCTATTTCAGTTATGGAATGACGCCCACGCCAGAAACGAGGTAGTGCCCGCACTGCGGGAGTCGTTGAGGAAGATGGGTTTGGATTATGTGGATCTCTTCCTCATACATTGGCCTCTTGGACACTCTGTGAGTAATTAAAAACTTCCAGACCTCCTCACCCCGACTAGAACCACATCCAGTCCCTTGAAGAGGGACGACGTAAGTACATACGGACGAAGTGCGGTCGAAACTGAGATTTGAACTACTTAGGCACCCTTAAACCTAAGCCATAGAGGGAAAAGAGATTGGGGTCTAACAACTTCATTGCTAGTAGTAATTTATCGGGTATATAACTTCACGTGGTTCCACCTAGAGACCATTGATAATTTTTGTGGAATTTATCGCAAATTAGCTAACCAGCTTGCTTTTATCCTCACCTATTGTCCCTAATTGGCTCCCCGCCACCATACATCAATAGCATAGGTAGGTTTACCATTTTATTTTCACGCATAAAAAATCTGACGTCTGAGCCACTCAGATGCCTTTGGGTATACCCCGTAACCCTTCACGAGGTGATCTTCTGTCGCTTCTCTCTGCGGGCTTAAAGTGTCCTTTGCATTTACTTTGCATGCGTGCGGTGAACCTATAAAAGCCTATGGCTAACATCAATAGTGGAAAAAACTTTTAGATTAATGTATTTATATAAAGACAAAATACCAGCATCATGACACCGCCGTCACAGTAATAGTATACTGTCCACTGCTGAACATAAGCCTTCCCCACAAGGGGAGTTTAGTATTTTAGAGAAAGGATTTATGATTTTAGAGATGTTTTAAGAGGAACGCTGCTGCTCTTCCCTCGACCGTTAATTCCCTTAGTGGCCTCTTACGACACCCACGGGAAAGGAAGGGGTGGCCTATTCTATGCCGCGACCTCTCTGCCGTGTGGGTCCCAGGAATATTTTTTCGAAAATTGGTCCAGTAGATTTTAAATCAACGTTTGTTGTGTTATTTTTTTTGCTGAACTTAATCTTAAATAGTGAGTTAGGTGTTATTTTGGGGAAGTCCATAGCCTTTCTTAGAAGAATTTATTGGGTACAGAGGAATAACACCTGAGTCCTCAGGTGCAAATGCTAGCACATTTGGTACTAAGGATTGACTACTATTAAGAAAAATTATATGAACTTTTTTTTTATCCAACTTAGAATGGCAAACAAGCTAACGGTCCACCTGATGGAAAGTGGTAACCGTTGCCTATAGACATGAGCAGTACCATGGATACAACAGAGTATACTGTTTCGCCCATGATACCCCCCATGCGTTGCCATTCCTGAGGACTCGGGTATTATTGCTCTGTACCCAGTAAATTCATGCCATATCCCACTCTTCAAACCGAAACACAGCCATGCAAACACAACTGTTTCACGGTAGAAACACGAATGGGACAGAGGTATCCAAGCAATCGATTTTTGTACAGTTTCCCTCTGGTATATAACATATGGTATACAATAAATGCTGTGAATACCTATAACAGGCATGTGCATCAATATTGTATTGTATTTAATGTTTGTTGTATGTGTTATAATGCAGTATGATGTTGGTGTTCCATTAAATAAATAAATAAATGTGTACAGACCAACATGACCTTCAACAACATAGACTACCTGGACACCTGGCAGGGCATGATCGAAGCCCGGGACTTGGGACTGGCGAAGTCCATCGGGGTGTCCAACTTCAATAAGGAGCAATTGGATCGGCTGGTGACGAGCAGCAAAGTTGTACCCGCTTCACTACAAATCGAGGTATGTTTCAATCCTATAATATTATGGGGTTCTTCAAACAGGATATTATAAGGTTTCTACAGGGTATGCAACGCGCACGTGACACCCCTAGTGTCTGCAGGCGTCTATGGGCTACAGTGACCGTTTACCAGCAGACGGGCTGTATGATCTTTGCCAGTTTCGTGCTATAAAAAAAAAATTGTTAACCTAGAAAACATGGGGGGAAAGGGATTGTTAGTAATGGAGACTGAGAATCCCATTGCTAGCAATATACCCAGCCAGGTCGACCTCCACGCGGTTCTCCCTGCAAAATATCATGGTTAATTCCTGATGAATTCATCATGATGTGCTAACTGGCCTGTTTTCATTCTCACCTATCACCCTTCACTGGTGCTCCGCCAGCGTATCCCGTTAGCGCAGGCGGGGTTACCATACCATTTTCACCCATCAAAAAAAAACCTAGAAAACATTGAGATCGATTCTGAAGGGTGATTTCTCTAAATTAATTTTAAAATTTAATATTTTTATTTTGTAGAATTACTGTTTTATGAACCGTAACAAACTAAATTTATAGTAATTTCGAAGTAAATCTATTAGAAATTGATACATGTTGGTTATTTTTTTAATGAATGATAATGGAATGGTAACCCGGCCTGCGCTAACGGTATGCGCTGGCGGGGCACCAGTGATAGATGATAGGTGAGGATGAAAAGGCAGGTCAGTTAGCCCATCGTGACGAATACACTTGGAATTCAGCACGATGGTTTCTAGGGGAGACCACGGGGAGGTCGACCTGTTAGGGTATATTATTAGCAATGAACTGATAATCCGCATTACTAACAATCCCTTCTCCCCCAATACATGTTGGTTGAAAGCATAAAGATTTCTGCCGTGTGGATCCGGCTTAGAATGCGCCACTTCCTCCTCTCCCGTGGGTGTTCAAGAGATGGCTAAGGGAATTTAATGCTCGAGCAGCAGCATGGCAGCAACGTCCCTTATAAAACATTACCAAAACCTAACTGCAGTTGCCAACCCGCCTGCCAAGCATGGTAAGTATAAAGTACAAAGCCTATGTTCAGCAGTGGACAGTGAACGGCTGATGTGATGATGATGATGAAGGTTTCGCTGTATTATCAAATTGAAATGTTAATTTTAAAAATAAGTCTAGAGGAATGACGCGTCATAATCGATCGCATTATTTTTAAATAGGAAAAAAAAAACAAAGCAGTGGTGTCCTTTTATATACTGAAAATCAGGGTGTATTTTTTTTATACAACTTGGAATGGCAAACAAGCTGACGGCCCACCTGATGGAAAGTGGTAACCTTCGCCTATAGACATGAGCAGTACTATGGACATAACGGAGTATACTGTTTCACCCATGATACTCGTCATGCGTTGCCATTCCTGAGGACTCAGGTGTTATTCCTCTGCATAGCTTAGTTCCTTTGCCTTTCCCATTGTAGATATATTAATACCACTACTATATGCCCTTTTATATTATTATTTTATTTTGTTTTTCGCTGCTGAATCCTCTTGCTTTACGTCACATTCATAATGCAGAGTAAACCTTTGCCTGTAGGTCAACCTGAACCTCCAGCAACCGGCGCTCCGCGAGTACTGCAAGGAAAAGAATATCTCAGTCACTGGCTACACACCATTTGGCTCTTTGTTCCCGAACAGGGCCGGCCCCAACGCGCCCCCGCCGCGGTTCAACGACCCGGCTTTAGTGGAAATCGCCAAAAAGTACAACAAGAGCGTTCCTCAGGTCGCTTTAAGGTATCTGGTAAGTGAATTAACATGCCTTATTTCCATAACCATTATTCGCAAAAGAACCAAAGTAATCGACACAGCCCGAAGGATAAGCAAGCTGAAGCGGCAATGGGCTCGTCACATAGCTTGGAGAAGCGACAACTGATGAAGAAGAAGGGTCCTTGAATGACAACCCCGTACAGACAAACGCAGTCTAGGACTACCCTCGACTAGATGGAATCTAATGTATTGCAGGTCCCATTCGTGTTTCAACCGTAAAGCAGTTGTTTGCATAGCTGTGTTTCGGTTTGAAGGGTTGGATATGGCGTCAATTTACTGGGTACGGAGGAATAACACCTGAGTCCTCAGGAAAGGCAACGCATGGGGGGTATCATGGGCGAAACAGTACACTCTGTTATGTCCATGGTACTGCTCATGTGTATACGACGGTTACCACTTTCCATCAAGTGGAATGTCAGCTTGTTTGCCATTCTAAGTTGTATAAAAAAAAAGGTAGTCAGTGGATGCAGGTGGGTCAGAACCGTTCCTTATGACAATCTATGGGGAGGCCTATGTTTAGCAGTGAACTGGTAATAGCTGAAGTGATGACAAATGACGTGTTCCATTGGTGTATTATGATTATTTTCCAAGCATGGCCGTTAAAAAAAGGTATAAGCGCCTCTTTAAACGGCCAAGCTATGTAAACCTATCACAGCTATTAACGTCATTTACTTCAATCCTCTCGGAGACCACTACGTAGAGCAACCAATTTCGAAAACCGTCACCAATAAAAATCAAACATGTAGTAGGTACTGTTTACCTGCAACCGCGTTAAATCCCGAGCGTGATTTTGAAAGACGTGTTTGAAACCTTCATGGTCCGTTGATATTAAATCGAAACTTATTGGTGTGTTCGGGAGACTTATCAGGCGTCTACTTGGGTTCACCATCTTCCTTATCCCAATTATTATTCGGGGTCGGCGCAATATGGTTTTATCCATATTACAAAAAGATTTGGCCTTTAGTTTTACGACTTGTGGTCTACTTGAGGTTAAGGAATGATAATTTGTTGTTGGTGTCGTATTTATTTATTTTTAGCTGGTAAATAATGATAGTAGCGATTTGAAAGTTCTTTGATTGTGAGTGGAAGAAAGAAAAAGAAAGAAACGTAAAGAAGTGCACTTCATTACGTTTCTGTCATTCATGTATGTTCATATGTTTGATCTTGTACAAGTAGTTGCACACAGCCATTTTATTTATTTTGTTTTCTGGTAATAGGTGGCCAATGTCGTTGGTGACACAAAAATAATTTATATATATATATATATATATATATATATATATATATATATATATATATATATATATTGTTATTAGGACGACTGTTTGTTGACCTAAATAAAGAGAAAAAAAATGGTATAATTAATGATTCTCAGGTGGAATTGGGCGTGATACCGATACCAAAGTCGACCACCATGGCGCGTCTCCGGCAGAACATCGACATCTTCGACTTCGAGCTGAGCCAGGCCGAGAGGGACCTCCTGAAGAGCTACGACAGAGGATACAGGAGCGTCGAGCTGAAGTTGTGGCAGCAGCACCCTTATTATCCGTTTGAGAAGAATTAAAAATTTAAATCAATAGGGTGTTTTTTAGCAAGGGAGACTTCTTATTAATTTCGGTGAACAATTTTTCACTTTTAGTTCTTCAATTTTGGTTTCAGAAATGCTGATGTTAACACAAAGTATTTAATAAAATGCTCCCTTCAATATTTCGGGGTTGTCAGTTCTGGGAACTAGAAGTTGAAAGTGTAGTTGGAAATTGCACCGAAGTTGGTCAGGGGTCGTACTTGCTGGAAATGACTCATGACGTTAGTAACATTTTTTACTTGTAGAGTTGCATCAATTAGATTCAGTTATATTTTTTATTATGTATGTAATCATCAGATCTTGATCAGTTCCACGTAAACTGGTTTAGTCGGCGATCGTGCGAGATATGGTAGAAGCAGATCAAGGAGATCTTCGTGCAGTAGGACACCATGGCCTATGATTGATCGACTAATTGATTGATGTGAATGAACATGATAATAAATCAATAGAAGATAAACGAGGCATTTTTTTATTATTAATCTATACTTATAATAAATCTGTAGAGAGCGGAACTTGGTACAATTATTCTTCATACTCCTGGGCAGATGATAGTATACTTTTCATCACGCTACGATCAATAGGAGCAGAGCAGTGAAGGGTAATGTTTAAAATGTCCACCCGTGCGACGCCGGGACGGGTCGCTAGTCTTTTAATAAATCTATTTTTTTAAAGACAATCAAGAAAAATGTTCCATAAACAAATGGATTATCGAAGAACCCGTATCACAAGTCGCCAGGACTCGTCCCTTGCATGACACAGTTTATGGTAATACATACAATGGAGAACTCAACAGTTGTTAGACGTGGTAGATACATACACAATACGTACACATACACGTATACACACATATATAATATTTAAATGTTTAAATAACAATTAGTCACAACTGGACATACATTAGTAAGGAAAGGCATGGCAAGATTATTATGGACACTAGATACAGAAATAAAGGAATATAAGAATAAAAAAATAAAGACTTTAGCAGTATTAAAGCTAATATAAAAATATTAATTGGTAAAAAATTGTAGGTAATCTACCATTTCACCGAAGTCGAGGCGGGGCAGACCACTAGTTACAAAAAAAGAAAATGTTTTACTAAAACAGGTATTGTTTTGCAGTAGTCGATATCACTGGTTGGTTGTTTAATTCCGCCATCATTAATACGCATGCGACTGTCAACATTCGAAGATTAGCTACTATTTTTATTATATATATATATATATATATATATTCTGCACTTGCAAATTATTTAGATAATACATTTATAAATTATTTCTAAGCAAGGGTGGACTTATTTCTGACAAAGATCTCTTCCAGTCAACCCGATACAGTTGGGAAGCATGCAGTTAGTCGGCAGCTGAAGAGCACGAGTGCTGTTCGAAAAATATCAATATATAAAACTACAAATAAACAGTTAAATGAAGTATTAATATATATTATAATATTACATATAAAAACATAAATATAATACCTATGCTTATCCTATACAAATGCTTCGAGAGAAGCGGCTCAATTTTTTCATACAATTTTACAGTGATAAATAGTTACGAGTGATTCCTTTATAACTTCTATATTTATTTTGTCTCATAAATTCTGCATCTTTTTAATGCGTTCACACTCATTTTATTTATTAAATAATTAAATATAGACAGGTCAAGATACATTGTGTGCGTAAGTATATAGAACACTGATACAACAAACGAGTCAGATAATTTGACAGTTGGCTGACAAACAGTTGAGCCGTTTTTGAGGTTCGATGCTCTATGTATATAATCTAAGCAATCTACTTATATAATAAATATTAAAATAAATGAAATAAGTTAATAATTTTAAAATTCGACAGTTAATTTAAAAACAAAAAGATTACGAGTCGAGTAATGTAATTTACAGCATTTGAAAAGAGTACGGCTTGCGAAAAAAGAGTACAAAACTCAGTAAATGAGTACAGTTGGTCGCCTTACTTAAACCTATTTTAGCTATTGAACTGTTTTGTCTCTTTCTTTTACGCTAAATTCTTAATTTGAATGAAATTGACAAAACTGTAATAGTTAAATTAATTTTTAGGTTTTAATGTTTATGAATGAGAGGGCAGATAGTTAGGACAATTAATTGTATGAGGTTATATGATGGATATCATGTTTAATAAATATAGTGATATTCAATTTACACCCCTATGTCTTAAGAAATAAGAATGCAACGTAGTGAGAAATAAAACAACTGTAATATAGATATTTGTGTATATATAGAAACTGAATGTAACTTTTCAAATCTTCAGGGGTTGCCCTCTAAGACAACTAAAGATGTCGACCATATTATCAAGGAAGAATAAAGTTCAAAATCCCTTCAAATGTTGTTTAAGCGGCTTGGCGCCACCCAGACAACGCTTCGCCAACGAAAAATGTATCAGTCGATAACGAATTCCATGAAAAACGAACAAAAAAGAACTTTAACTTTTGAGATATAAGTACATAATCCCATTGGATGAAGCATCCAGTGGTGGAATAAAACGCATGACTTTATATTGAAAAGTCAATACTGAAATTGCATAATCGTAGCAGAGGATAAAACACTTTAAAGTTTAAGTTGTAAAGGCGATATTTGGCTGAACAGTAATACGCTTATAGGATTTTCTCAAGTCGCTCGGTCACGAAGATTTTGGCGCCAGACAGGCCGGCGCCATTTTGTCGCATAGATTTGGAGGCAAAGGAACATAATTCGTACAGCCAGCTTCCGCCTTTGGCCTATTATACCGGCTAATTTACTGTTATAGCTAAGACTAACTTTTGCAATGGATTGGGGCTCTTACGTTTATGTGGCAGCGAAAGTGCTTCGCAAATTATGTTAGCATTTCATTTGTTTTGGGGTTTTATCAAAATGTTATTACTTATTGGAACATATTTTTAAGCAAGATTATAAAAATTATCGTAAAAAAATATTTTCAAATAATTTTAAATTCCCTTTTTTTTTAAATAATTCGATAAAATACAAAATTTATTCAAATCTTTATGTGCATGTATGTAGGTAGATTCTGGATCAATTTCTGGGTTTTTTTTTGAAGAATGAAAATGGTATGGTAACCCCCACCTGCGCTAACGGGATACGCTGGCGGAGCACCAGTGAAGGCTGATAGATGAGAATGAAAACAGGCCAGTTAGCCCATCATGATGAATTCATCAGGAATTAACTATGATAGTTTCCAGGGAAAATCGCGAGGAGGTCGACCTGGTTGGGTATATTGCTAGCAATAGGATTCTCAGTCTCCATTACGAACAATCCCTTTCCCCTCGATCAATTTCTTGTTACGACATTGTTTGTCATTGTCATGCATATGCAAGTGAAATTGTAGAACGAGAATATAAGACGACTAAGGGAACTTAATGCTCGAGGGATTGGCTACAGCGTCCCTCTTAAAACATCACTAAATCTTAACTGCAGTTGCCACTTGCCAACCAGCTTGCTAAGTATGGCAATTATTAGCAAAATATCCCTTATGGGGGATGCTTATGATCGGCAGTGAGCAGTTAAGGGCCGATATGATGATGTTGATGAGAATGATAGGTACTTAATATAAAGCCCAATATATTCGAGTAACGGCGGTAGGCTCGTCCCCTGCCACTTTGGATTTTAACATGCTCGGCGAATTGTGGCCCTTTTTGAGTGTTGCCATTGGCAATTACAGTCGAGAATATATTTATTTATTTGTTCATTCTGGTTAAAAATAAATTAACCATACTCTTTATCGTCGAATCACTTATTAACGTCCTGTCATAATTCTGTCAGTTTTGATATGCTGTTTATTACAATACTTGGGTTAAGAGATATATTCTTAATCAAAGTTGTAATGTTTTAAAAATTTAAAGTGTTTACAAATCCCTTCCCTTTTCATGTTCAAATGTCCCTGTTGATTCTACTCGCGGTTGCGTCCTTTACGATTGAACATGCTGTACCGTACGAGCAATACCGTGAAGACGGTGGCGGTAGCGACGACGACTTCGACGATCATTATGAAGAGGAAGGTGCGTTGACTAACTGCTTCCTCTTTTATAATATTTAGAACGACAAATTGACGTCTTACCTAATGGAAAGTGGCAACCGTCGCACTATGCACGTAAATATCTTCCACTTGTCTTTAGAAAATAAGCCCTCAGTCCACTTGATAAAAAATCCTAGTGGAAAACTTCGTACAAGTTACCTTGTTACTCAGCTGTACTGGCACGGCTATGCTTCAGTTAATGATGGGTATATAGCAATGAAATTACAGCGTACGGATGTATACCACCTTAGTTTTGGGAGAGAAGGGATCGTTAATAGCATAAATAAGCAGCTATATTTCCCAAAACATTCTATTGAAAAAGAAATTCGAATATACGTTGATACGGAAATAATTCTTTATTGTATTATTTCGTAAAATCACATGTTATGGGCTAGTTTTTGCGTTTCTGCGCGTAAAATAAATAAAATATAGTAAGAAATAAAAAATATATTAAATACCTAGGTAGAAAGTAAAAGTAAAAGTAAAAATTTCAATTTGAAAATGGCCGTCGCAACAGCAGAAGAAATCCACCGAGTCACTATTTTAGATGATGTAACATCATTTCAGTTATGGAAATTCGAATTAAGGATTCTGCTGGAAGCGAAAGGATTGATACAGTATATAGACAGCGTAAAATCACAACTATTAGGTTGATCTTCACATGAGCTCATCTGGAGACCGTCCATGATAAGCCAATCGACTTGTATTTATTCTCATTTATCTTTGCTTACTGCCACTGATATATTGCCAGCATATACTCGAACAAAAGCATGGGGTTATCATTTCACTGTTAGCCATAATGAAAAGAAAAATGCCTAATTATCCCAGAAGAATACAGGCTTACAGTTGTTAAGATAATTTGTAAAGAGTATTTTTAAATTATGTTGATAATACCAGCTTTCGTCTCGGGGACAGCAGTAACTGTTGCTGCTGACTTCCATACAAGGATGAGAAGGTATAGAGACAATCATCCAACTCGCACTATGAGCTCAGGTCAAATAAAGGACGTCAAGGGTAAAGATTTAATGATAATAGTTCACCTTTATCACAAATTCACTAGAATTAAATTTTTTTTGCTTACTCTCTCTCCTCTGACGTTGAAATAATAGTCATTGGGTTTTTGTTTTATACTACTTAGGTGGCAAACAAGCATACATGGTTCACGGCTACCGTAGCCTATGAATATCTGCAATACCAGCGTTATTTCGCACACGTGCCAACCCTGAAGAAACCTCTTTACCCCTTTTTTGAAGAACAACTTTACTTCAAATTTTAATTTCTCTCTTAAAACTCTTCCACGCCTTTTTCTCTTTTTATACTATGGAATCTTGGCGAACCCGGGCATTATCCAACCGCTCTGCCCCCATCTAAGGTGATATGCATGTAGCACAAGGAACAGCAGTTCATGTCTATATGCAACAGTTACTACCTTTCTAAACGATATCAAATCGTTATCATCTATGATGTAGGTCGGCTGCTTATTTGCCATTCGAAGTTATATAAAAAAGATAAAATGTACTTGCATTATACTCCAGCATTGTATGTAACCTATTTACTCTTCGTTACTTTACAAAGATCTTTAAATGTAAAAAAAACTAGTCATTTTATTTAATCTTTATTAGATCACTGATTAAATGAATGTAGGAAGGGATAATAAAAGGAAACATTAATTTTCAGGAGCTCTAAAGCAGATTCTAGCTGATCGGAAAATTGACAGCCAAATCACAACATTTGCTGAAACTTTGTCGGATATCCAAAACACAGATATAGTTTACGAAAACGTAGCTACAAAGGATATTCCGTATACTGGATTAACAAAATTTGAAGAGTCCAACAAGAAAATATACGACGAGTTATTAGACGAACTAAGTAACAATGTTGAACGAAATATTGTAAGATATAAGCCGATAACTAGAGAAGAGAATGTTTCAGTATCAAAATCTTCTGGAACTGGTGCATTGCTTGGTGCCGTTACATCTTTTGATACTTCTGAATTATTTCTAGCAAAAGCAAGAGAAGGATATGACAACGATAAAACGGCAACTATAAAAAGAAGGCGTCTGGTGTCTTTGACAAACATTACGACCACAACGACAACAATTGCCGGGCCGGCTTTTGATATACCGGCCCTTTTAGAAATCGTATCCAATTTGACGTACGATTATGAGTCTAATTTGACGAGATTATTCAACGAGACACTGCAAAAGTATAATATACCAACGTGCAAGGTTCCTACGACAACAGAAGAAATCACAACCCCGACTTCGGATCAAGACATCGAGAATGCTTCAATTGTAGCAAAGGTTTGTGTATTTTTTCTGGGAATGGTCACTTCGTTTTCAGATGTCAAGGTCAAGGGACTTAACGTGAAGACAGTAACGATAGATTTTTTTAATATAGTTAATAAAGAATAAATAGAAACACTCAAGTGTATTGCCAGCTTTAATATGTTTTCTATTTTTGCAGTGCTTTGTTTGTGGTCTGGAAGTGCCAGCGGTTCCACAAAATGCGTATTGCGCTGACGCTTTTGCTGGTGACTTCTTGCCACTGGTACCAGTGGATCCTAAAGCGAGAGGTCATATCGCTCGATACAGAAAATATTGTCGTTATTTGAATGTGTTAGTTATTCCTCCCTTTGTTTAATTCTATCTTGGTACGGGGATACGTAAGGATAAATATAATATGAAGATAATGTAGATAGAGGAAGAATTTAAATACTAAAAGCGTCATGGATATCCGGATATCAGAGTATTATGTAATACCCGTAGTATATTAGGGAAACATGAAAGATGTTTCCCATTTCTGAGGATTAAGTTATTATAATTAATATATATAATTTCACAAAGCAACTTAATAGGAGAAATTTAACAGTCAGTCAGTTTACGTAAGCTCATTTTTTTTAATGGGTAAAAATAGAATGGTATCCCCGTCTGCGCTATCGATATACGCTGGCTGGTACCCCTCTAGTAACAGATGATAGGTGAGGATGAAAGCAGGTCAGTTGGCCCATAGTGAATAATTCAACAAGAATTATCCACAATAGTTTCCAGGGGGAATGGCGTGAAGTTCGATCTGATAGGGCTAATCTGATATTGGTAGCAATTGGACTGTTAGAACATTTGTAATAAACTCTTTCACCCCACGTATTAGGTTGTGATCTGAAAAATTCTCAAACTTGCTTTTGGCAATCTATCAATCTAGTTACAGCCGTGAGCTGATTCGCTTGCTTTCTTCCAGTTTGAACGGTGACGTATGGCAAGTTGATACCGTTTAGCATTAAGCGAACTGTACTCTTGATTCCCATTCTTGTTATTTAAAAAATCATCTCAAATTTTAGAGACAAATATGTTACAAGCCCTTTGGAGCCGAGTTCAGTGTTCGGTCGCTTCACGGGCGGCTGCTCGGTCCGGTGGGTGGACCTGAGTGGGATTTACACTCAGCGCACTTGCAGGAACAGAAGACATGCTGTCATGGGCAAACACTTTGGTAGCAAGCGGATGGCGAAGCTCGAAATGGCTTTAAAGGTATGCCGTCATCCATGAGCTCAGTTGGAAATTACTTGACTGTGAACTGAGATGCCAAAATCGATTCTCAGTCTAAATCTCTACATTTTATACTTTAAATTTCATTAATTAATAAAAAATTCAATCATTTAAAAATGATTGTCACTTGGTCTGTGTTCCGGAGCGTACGTAAAGCCGTTATACAGTAAGCAGCGTCAAAAGCTTTCGTGTATAACGCAAGCGGCCTAATAACTCTTGATATCAGAGACTTAGATTTAGAAATAATTATTAGAATACAATAAATGGTTAGAACAAGTAAGACGAAGGTCTTAAACCAATACGTGTTGCTAGTGATGTCCTATAGAATCGAAACATAATCCTACACAGTTGCTTGTATGCAAAAGCTTCAAATTACTCGGCGAAATATGGACAGGGTATCTTTTTTTTTATCTGACAGAATCTAAGAATCTCTGCAAAAGAATCAAAGTCACCGATATAGCCCGAAGCATAAGCAAGCTGAAGTGGCAATAGACAGAGTACATAGCTCGAAAAATCGGCAATCGATGGGAAGAAAGGTTCTTAGTGGTGATCCCATATGCGCAAACACAGTTTAGGAAGACACCCACTAGATGGAGTGACGATCTCAATTACATTGCAGGTAGTTAGTGGATGCAAGTGGCTTAGGACCATTCCTTATGGCGATCTATATGGCGAAGGTTCAGCAGCGGACAGATAACCACTGAGATGATGATGATGAAGTTAGTCTGTGAAGTATTTGGAAACCACTTAGTCTTTAAATCCTTTCGGAACGAGTCAATGTGCGAACGGCATTTTCAATCTAATGTCTAGGATTCCTAAGACTTTCAACAGAAGTGAATTTGTTGAATCTTTTAACAGAAGCTTCAATAAATATCTGTATTTTTTTTATACCACTGAGGTGGTAAACAAGCATACGGGCCACCTGATGTTAAGTAGTTACCGTAGCCTATGAACACCTGCAATACCAGAGATATTACGCGTGTGTTGCCGACCCTGAAGAAACCTCTACCCCCCTTTTTAAGAAAGGCTTTGGGAAAGGCTGTAGTCTCTTGTGAAAACCTCAGCAGGGAGCTCATTCCACAATCTGAGTATTCATGGGAGGAAACATCTCTGAAACCGCGCAGTACGCGATCTGTATTTGGGTAGTTTGAGGAAACTTGTATTAGATTTTTTAAATCAATTTAGTAATTCCAGTAAATACACTTAAAAATATGAATGTTTTCATATTGATCAGGCCACAATTCTGAAAGAAGTGTCTAAATATCACTTATATAAACAAATATTTTGACTAACTTTAATAGAAATGTTGTATGTGTGGACTAAATATGAAGTTTTGCTTGCTCTTGATCGTTGTTTTCCAATTTCAGGACGTAGACAATGGATGTCTAATTAGTCCAATGGCTTCGCTGGTACCATTTTCAAGAGGCATATCTCTATACGCACGTTTCCATGCTTGCGTTTGTACTGGAAATTGGTGTAATAATGCGATGTATAAGCGGTCATGGGCGGCGGCCATTTTCGTAATGTCATATTCAGTTTTGGCGGGAGTTTTGACCTGACAAGCGGAAAGGGGGACATATTTTTTTTTTGTTTTTAAAAAGCTTTCGCTTTCGGTTCTACAGATTTCAAAATGGATTCATTTCGAAATTTTAAATATCATTTTGGAATTAGGAAATATTGTTAGACTCGATAAATTCTGGCTAATGAATACTTTTTGTGCATATCTACAAAAACATTTTGATCTTGTATGAACACCGTAAAATCTATGTTTTGGGTTTCTTTTAAAAGCTATATTGATTGGTTTTTGCGTAAGTTGAAGTGTATATCTTAAATAAAGTGTGTATGTCTATATACTCAAAATTTCTATTCAATTTAATTTTTTTTTATACAAATTAGAATGGCAAACAAGCTGACGGCCCACCTGATGGAAAGTGGTAACCGTCGCCTATAGACATGAGCAGTACCATGGACATAACAGCCCTGCCATTAAATGCCCTGGTAGCTCGCGACCTTTCATTAAAATTAATTTAAGAGATGAGATATGGCGTTAACGTTACATAATAGACTTAGTCTTTATAAATAGCGACATATGTGGTAGATATACTGTAGATATCAGTATATTCTGTAATTGGCGTATTTAAAATTATTTTCCAGGAAGGGCCATCATCAGGTAGGCCGTCAGTTTGCTATAGGTACTATCATCGTCATTATTATAATATATCAGCCTTTAACTGTCCACTGCTGAGTCTAAGCCTTCCCCTTGGGGGGTTTTGCCAGTAGTTGCCAAACACGGCAGGCGGTTTTTTTAATGGATTATAATGGTATGGTAATCCCGTCTGCGCTATCGGTATACACTGGCGGGGCACCAGTGCGGGATGATAGGTGAGGAAGAAGGTAGGTCAGTTAGCCCATCGTGACGAATTCAATTAGAATTAGTCACGATGGTTTCCAGGGGGAACCACGTGAAGGTCGACCTAATATTATTGATAGCAATGGGGCTATCAAACTCCATTACTAACAATCCCTTTCCCCCCTCTTTGGTGGGATTTGCCAAACTCGGTAGGCGGATTGGCAACCGCAATTAGGTTTCAATGTTTTAAGAGGGACGCTGCTGCCCATCCCTCGCTTTCATTAGTTGTCTGTTACGACGCCCACGGGAAAGGAAGCAATGGCCTATTCTATGCTGGGACCACGCGGCGATAGGTACTATGTTGCAATAAAAAATATTAAGAATTCTCTTTCCCATATTCTCAATTCATCTGCATTTTTTTTGTGTATAAACGACTTCCGAAAGTGGCTTTGAGTTCGTCCATTTTGAATCCATTTTCAACTATCTTAAATAAGAAATAGGGTCTCAATTCAGTTGTATACTTTTATGTTTGTTACCTCATAACTCTGTCAGTTCTTAATTAGTTTTTTATTCGACTTAGAATGGTAAACAAGCTGATGGCTCACCTGATGGAAAGTGGCAACCGTCGCCTATAGACATGAGCAGTACCATGGACATAACATAGTATACTGTTTCGCCCATGATACCCCCCCATGCGTTGCCACTCCTGAGGACTCGGGCATGGCAAGTTCTGAATTGTTCCTGAAGGTCTAAAACTTTACTGTATGTTTGATCTAGTCACGCCATATAAAAGTGGTCAATTCCATTGATTTACTTATGAAATCTAAGCGTACGAAGCACCGGCCGGAAAGCTATTTTTATATACAACGTTGTATATGTAAATTAAATAAATATGTCTAGTTAGAAAGCTATGTAAGGTACGTATTTCAAGCAAAATTTCCACCCTACGCGTCCCCTCTGAAAATTTTAAGAAACAAGATGGCGGTTTTCGCGCCCACCTGTTTGCCGCCACCGTGATTGGCGGGCACCGCCCCCGCAGTGTATACCTACTTCGATATTTGTGTATATATGAAACCGTTTGTCATTAGGCCTATTGTAATATTAGGTATTGGGTTGGTCGTGAATTTGTTTAAAATATTATTAGATTGAATAAAGTCAATTTTTCTTTTTACATTAACATTAATATCTGATATCTATATATTGGGTTTCTATGGATATTGATGACCATCCATTGGTCGGTTTTACAGGAGACATATCTAGGTGTGGTAGGAATAACGAAAAGGATATAAGGACTCACCATCTCGTCGTGGACTATTATTATGATGTCCTGTGCGGGAGCCTTGATTCCTTCCGTCACTTTATCACCAATGTACACACACAATATTGTCTACAAACACAGCACTTCAAATTATGAAAGCGGCAACCACATATACAGCACAACAATGTTATTAATATTTTTTATACGTAGTTGCTCGTTGATTGCGGAGGTCACATTGACGGTTAAGATTGAAGACAGCTCTGAAGTTTCTTATAATCTTCCGGCGTCCTCATTGGTTGTTGTAACTCGGAGGTAAAGACGATGACGGTGGTTGGATAGGATAGGATCAAGGGGAATGAATTTAGCACTAGTTACCGATTATTATTATTGAACTAGCATATAAATCATTATTAATAAGAATAAATTTATAATAATATTATTTAAAATATATAAAATTAAGGAAACGCGCGAACATCCATTTCGATATCGCCCATACTAGACAAATATATATATATATTCATTACGAGCGGGTTCTTTATTGCCATATTATATATTTTTTTTTATACAGCTTAGAAAGGCAAACAAGCTGACGGCCCACCTGATGGAAAGTGGTAACCGTCGCCTATAGACATGAGCAGTACCATGGACATAACAGAGTATACTGTTTCGCCCATGATACCCCCCATGCGTTGCCATTCCTGAGGACTCAGGTGTTATTCCTCTGTACCCAGTAAATTCACGCCATATCCCACCCTTCAAACCGAAACACAGCCATGCAAACACAACTGCTTCACGGTTGAAACACGAATGGGACAGAGGTAGTAACCGATTTGTATATCTGTTATCGGGCCAATATATGTATTAATATTGTAACTACAATATATACATATTTCTATATATTACCCATTCTTACTTCTCAGCAAATAACAACATTTCGAACCCAGCAATAGCATCATAAAAGTGTCGATTAACAAGACCTCGTTAATAACTATATCCGAATAAAGATGATTTCTTAGTTTCAACGGAATTTAAAAAAAAAACGAAGATTCTCACTTAGTATGTATTTTTTTTAATAGTACGATATGTAGATAGATAGATAATTTATTTACATTACTTACAGCACACAAATTATAATAAAAACATACACATAATACACAGTAAAAGAGATAAGCGATTCACCAGAGGGAGACTGTACAAAAGTCGATTGCTTGAGAACCTCTGTCCCATTCGTGTTTCAACCGTGAAGCAGTTGTGTTTGCATGGTTTTGTTTCGGTTTGAAGAGTGGGATATGGCGTGAATTTACAGGGTACAGAGGAATAACACCTAAATCCTCAGGAATGGCAGCGCATGGGGGTATCATGGGCGAAACAGAATACTCTGTTATATCCATGGTACTGCTCATGTCTATAGGCGACTGTTACCACTTTCCATAAGGTGGGCCGTCAGCTTGTTCGCCATACTAAGTTGTATAAAAAAAAGGAATATGATCTTGTTTTACTTGTTTAACAAACAACTGCACTCCCAATTCGAGTTATCCCACAGGATTAATCATACAATCAACTAAGTGCCGCCGCCCGGCCGCCCCTGCTCGTTCATGACGAATATTATACTCACTCGCTTTATATCTGCGCGCCCCCTATCGTCGTAGCGACCGCGACTTAATCTCCACGCAGAATTCGAAATTGCGTGGTTTTGCTTCAACACTTCACGATGTACAATTTGAAATGTTATCTCACTTTTTATGTATATCTAATATATAAAATTCTCGTGTCGCGGTGTTTGTTACCAAACTTTTCCGAAACGGCTTTACCGATTTTTATGAAATTTTGTGTGCATATTAGGTGTGGTAGGTCTGAGTATCGGCCAACATCTATTTTTCATACCCCTCAATGATAAGGGTCACCCACCCCAAAATATTTCTTTTTATTTTTTTGAAAATTTGTTTTTATATAATTTAGAATGGCAAACAAGCTGACGGCCCACCTGATGGAAAGTGGTAACCGTCGCCTATAGACATGAGCAGTACCGTGGACATAACAGAGTATACTGTTTCGCCCATGATACCCCCCAATGCGTTGCCATTCCTGAGGACTCAGGTGTTATTCCTCTGTACCCAGTAAATTCACGCCATATCCCACCCTTCAAACCAAAACACAGCCATGCGAACACAACTGCTTCACGGTAGAAGCACGAATGGAACAGAGGTACCCAAGCAATCGACTTTTGTACAAAGTCTCCCTCTGGTGAATATCTCAATTTATCTAAATTTATTTATTTATTGGAATTTATTTCAAGAGTTATCCCTAAGACCATAAAATGGCTTGATATTGTACGCCCGTAGCGGATAGACTGTATTCTACACTTTAGATTTACATAGTATCTTATACTAAGTCTATATTGTACACTTAGATTGTATAGATAGAGCATTGAGCCTCAAAAACGGGCCAACTTGGCAATATAACAATATAATACAAGTGAAGGAAAGACAAAATTGATTAAAACTAAATTAAACAAATTAAACAACACTAAATTAAACAATACTAATTTAAACAAATTAAACAATACTAAATTAAACAAATTAAACAATACTAAATTAAACAATACTAATTTAAACAAATTAAACAATACTAATCTAAACAAATTAAACAATACTAAATTAAACAAATTAAACAATGCTAATTTAAACAAATCAAACAATACTAATCTAAACAAATTAAACAATACTAAACAAATTAAACAATACTAAATTAAACAAATTAAACAATACTAAATTAAACAATACTAATTTAAACAAATTAAACCATACTAAATTAAACAATACTAAATTGAACAAATTAAACTCGTAGAAATTTAATTAACTACGGCTCAGTAGTTTAGCTCTTTTTCAAACGAAACTCGTAACTAGTTTTGCTACGATTGAAGTCAATTTTTCCTTCTGAAGCACAATCCTAAATTATCTTTGTTACAGGTAATTTGAAAAAACAAATACAGACATTATGAAAACGAAACTATGAATTTAAAATATCCAAACCCCACATTTGTCGGCAGCCACGTATCCACGGACGGATATGGGGTAGACACGAGAACGATAACGTATAGTAGTTCAGATGAGCATGATTTATACAGGCGGTGAGCGGCGAGCGGGGCCGGGTGACTTGTTGTTTTCACATGTACCCATATTTTGCCGGGGGGAAAAGGGATTGTTAGTAATGGAGACTGAGA